TCGATTGATGAAAGTTATCATCCGATATGTATGAAATTTATATGCATCATTTAAATTTGTGAAACAGGTCTATTGAATTTCAGCAATTTCTGTCAATATTGGTGCCATACATTATCACATATGTGATAGAGCTGGTTAAACACATTCCAAATATAATTTTAACACAGAGATCATTGCTACGATAGCTGAGTAATACAGGTTTCCTGAATCGGAAGTGACGAACGCCAAAGGAAAACATACCATTTAAGTTTCATCAAAATCAGATGAAATTGTAACCTCAAGTGTCCACAAGCTAAAAACGTGATTTTTCGTAAATTCAGGGGCCATAGTCCGTGAAGTTACGGTCTGATACATGCCAATATCGACAGCAGCCGAATTCTTTGGGACATAAACCTATATTTCAAGTTTTGTTGAAAATGGATAAAATTGTGACCTGTAGAGTGCCCATAAACAAATTGTTGATGGACGGGTGGACAGGGGCGACGACAATATACGTTTGAAAGTGCGGTACATACAAATTTTAATTGTAATAGAACTCCCTTGGAAGATATAAATACTAATTTTTACAAAATATATAATACCCATTTTCACAACGTAAACTTAAAAAATATTTATGATAGCCGAATACAAGCAAAGTTCAGCAGGCCAAAAGCCATTAAAGAATGGGAACACATTCTAGATACCGAGTTAAGTGATTTAGACGTAGAAAATATATTCAAAATAATAAACACTGTATGTCTTAGTACAAAACTGAGGAGTTTTGAATACAAATATCTCCATAGGATTATATTCACAAATGATAAATTATTCAAAATTAGAAAAGTTGATAACACACTCTGCACTTTCTGTGAATCTAATATAGAAAATGTAGAACATCTCTTTGTCCTTTGCCCATTTTCACAAATAATATGGAATCATCTTCATACTATCCTAGATCGTGGTAATATAAAGATAAATATAAAAACACATATAATACACCTTGGTCTAACTAACAAATCAAATTATATAAGTAATACTGAATGGATTTTCATTAATCATGTAATTATTTTAACTAAATTCTATATATATCGGGCTAAACTACGAAACGAAATGCTCAATATTAATAAGTATGAAAGCTTTTTAGTAGAGCATGCTAAAATGGAGATTGAGATATCTCCAGAATTATACACAAATAAATGGAAATATCTTTTTAAGAATTAACAGATTGCCTCCATAACGATTCCCCATTGATGGATTTATGTACTTAGATCTGTGTATAGTAGGAACCCTGCGACTCACCATTTATATAGAATAATGTATTTTATCATTTAAGATATAAATGTACTTAATATATGCTTGTAGAAATCTGACGTAAATAAAGTGTAGTAAAAAAAAAAAAAAAAAAAAAAAAAAAAAAAAAAAAAATATACGTCCACACGAGAATGTGGGCGTACAAATATAAAGATGTGTTACTATTTTTATTACGTGCAGATTTGAATATTTTGTTGACACTTGATTTTTAATTGTGGTATGAATCCGTCTGCTTAAATAATGATAAGAGTTATACCCCTTTATTTTTGGTAAAATGTCCGACAAGAAAATTTTTGAAATCCCAAATCTAACTCCTTTGTTTTTTAATATTTTCGAATGAGATATGGTTTGTCGATAGAGCAACGTGTGAACTTCAAATTTGACTGTTTTTCAAAAGTTTGAATTGAAATTTCTCTTTTTTTATAGAAAATTTTTGGTAACTTTCGACACAAATTTTCATACTCTTGCAAATTAGCTGACAACGATTTTATTTCTTATGTTGTTAGAACTGGTCAAGCTGCAAATAAATTGATTTTAATTTTTATCGCAAACCATGCTCCAGATAGGGTACATTACATATCAGGTATCTCCAGACATGTATCTTGTGTAGTCTCCTGACACCTATGGAAAATGAACTTGAACCGGGTGACCATGATAATGTGATAGGGTAAGACCCTGACTATCACGAACAACCAAAAACTAGTTCGCCAGGGTCATGCTACAGCGGTAGTAGTGTGACGAAAATAACTAAAATTTGGCCTAAAAATGACAAAAATCAGCCGAAAAACGTAATCGGCCTGTATCTCGGAAACGGTTGATTTCTGAAATCAGCGACTTTGGCTGGGGAGTAGGCTCGATGGGTCAACCAAACCCTGTGAGTATGAACTCAATCGGCCGAACCCCACCTTCGATCATCTGCCTGATATTGCATGGTTTTCTCGTGGAATGGCTCTTAATTATTATAGCTCATTAATCTCCCATAATGTATCTTTAAGCAATTTCTGTTAATAACTTCCGAATTTATGACCCTTGTTTCCTTTTTTGAACCTTGGGAACATTCGATCTGTATGAAATTGATTTCAGTGTCTTGTATGCTCCTATTACCTAAAAAGCATAAGTACATGTATGTGACAACCCTTGTCGACAATTTGGGCGACTTAGCTGCAGTGGGAGTATGTTTTGTTGCCTGGCAACCTATCTTTCAAACTTATTAGGATTGTGCATTTACATGTAATCATTGAAGATTTAATGGAGAGGAACCAGAGATCAAAATTAGACTTATCCTTCAGTTTATGCATTGTTATTTCCCTGGAAAACTTGAAAGCCGCCCTTCAAAATGCTCCTGGGGTCATATATAATGCCTGGCAATGATATGTTTGTCTTCAGTTTTATTTTAAACTTGCAGTTAGATAGGTATAATTGGGATGGATAGAACTTTTCAATTCTGATACTGATCTTGATATTGTTCAGATGTGGCCATATTCGTTTTAAATCAAATGGTTAGCATGTGCGCCCTGCCCTGTATCATAAAGTCTGTCATTGAGTCAACTGGCGTGGTTTCGATTCCCCGGTTGTACGTGACAATGGGTAGGGTCGACTGTCCAATCTCTCGGGTTTTCTACGGGTCTTTCGTTTCCTCCCACTGCTAAAAAAAACCCTACGCGCAAGCGAATTATTGAAATAAAATTGAACCATGTGTTAGTCTCAAAATGACCTAGTTTGTGTCGAGTGGATCTCTCTCTTTCACTCCTAATCCGCTGCCTATCGAACTTGAAGGTATTATATTTGTCATAGATTTGCATGTTATTATTTAACTACAAGAAGCTGAAATGCTACCTTAACTCTAGAGTAAGATATTTTCAGGTAATCTAGTGTTGAGTTCCCACTGATCTAGACTCATGTTACATAAACTATCCTCTCCTCTTATTTACAAGAAAAGAATAATGTGTGGTAAGGCATTTGGCAAGTAAAGACCATATGTTTGGTTTGTATAATCTCTATGAGTTGTTCACACAATTTTCTGTGATTATTTAATATTTCAACAGTGGCAGATAAGAGTTCTCAAAAAGACCAATGGTCAACTGCTGTCTTATAACTGCTACTGAAATATATTTAAGATTTGTGTATTAGATTTGTAAACAACTGGCCATTAGGAAATAATAAATCAAATCAAATCTTATCAACATGCCAAGTAGGTAATACTTAATTTAAGATATATTAATATTATACTGGTAATCATGTATATTTTCCTGTATTAATACCAGTCTTTACTCAAGATAATGATATGATAGATTTACTTAGATTCTGGGAAGAAGGAAGTGTAAATGTAGCCAAGTTACTCTTGATTTGTTAAAAGACACTTAGCATTTTAAACATAAAAATAACCCCAGAAAGGGTCATAATAATCATTATCCTGATATGCTCACAATTAATGTGAATGATTATGTCACCACCTGTATTTGTTGGTCTGTCTAACTTTTCTTGTGAATATTGTACATGATGCAGTTCTTGTCAGATTATTATCAAATTTGCCGGGATTGTTAATTTGGTGAAAATAAAAAACCTATTCAAATTCAAAAATTTTCATGTGCCAATTCAATGTTAACTCTCAAATTACAGACAAACTTATAAACAAGCTTTCGAACATGATACAGGACATAGCGCTGGATGGAAGGGAGTTTTCATTTGGGTATTACAAAGAACACTGATACAGGAGAAAGTTTGAGATTGATTTTCAATCTTGTTCTGCGCAGTTATAATTTTGATTATTATTCAAGCTTCTTGGGAAAGAGTTCACTGAGTTTTTGTTTTAAACTTTCCCAAGAGAATTTGTTGATAATGATCTACATGTACATGTACCATGGACGTACATGTACATGTACCATGGACAACTTTGCTGATGGTGGCCATATTAGGGAGCCTGACAAGCCCCTGTCCATGACATGTACATGTATATCCCAAAGATCTCAGTTCCTTTCAATATTTTCGTGCATATTGGACTGTAACGTCCTGTTTAATATACCACTGTTACACAATAATGACAGTTGAGTTCAAAACTTTGTGGAAATTGGCTGACAAAATGGCCGCTCCCCGTACGCAAATATAGTGTAAAAGTATGTATTACCAAGGTTGTTTTTATCCGATTTTGATGAAACTTAAAATGTATGTTTATAACGCAAAAATCAGGGATACTTTTGATTTTTGCGCGTATCGAACCCTTACTTACTAGATTATGGCCCCTGATTGTATGCAAAATCGCATTTTTAGCTTGTGGACTCTCTAGTGGTCACAACTTTAATCTGATTGACAATTGAGTTAAAATTTTGGAAAAATCGGATCGAAACTGCCACTGCCAGACAAAATGACCGCTCCCCATACGCAAATAGTGTAAAAGTATTTAATACCAAGGTTGTTGACCCTCAAGAAGTCAGAATTTTTATTCAATTTTGATGAACTTAAAATATATGTTTATATCCCAAAGATCTGGGTTCCTTTGCATATTTGCGCGTATCAGATCCTAACTGTCTGGATTATGGCCCCAGATTGTATGAAAAATTCTTTTTTTACCTCATTCTCTGTCCTTCTCTTGCAAAATGTGGGTGTATCTTGCATGGCAACCGCTTGTTGTTAAATGTTGGTGTACATGATTAGTGGAAACTTGTCTAAATGTTCAAACCCTTACAATTGATTCATGTCAATACATTTTTCAGGGTGATTCTTTACAGTTTTTTTGTGAGAATATGGATCGAATCGGTCAACAGGTGAGTAAACTTCGCAAAAATATCATGAAATATTTATAACTTTCTTGATACCTGTAAAATCTCAAGAACATTCATAAGATAAATTATAATTGATTGTGTTGTCATGATTCTTACCATGGCAGATCAACTGCTCAATATATTATGTCAAATACAAATGTCATGGTTTGGTTCAGTGCTTTTTAGTTAAAAAATAATAGATATAGACCTTATCTTTGACATTTTTCCAAGTAAAATGATAGGCTTACTAAATTTATAATGTAGTACTCAGTAGATCTAATAATAATAATAGTAAAAATCAGTAAATATACAAATGAATAACAAATACAACACCAAATCAAAGGTTTATAGTTATACTAAATGTTTGAAATCAGTTTGGGGTTGTTGAAAAGTACCCAAGCAGATAATTACATAAAGACTATGAAAAATAAATGAATAGCCAGAATATAAATGAAAAATGAATAAAACAGAAAAGTAATCTATGTGGTTTACTCAAGTCTCCTGTGCAAGGTCCTTTGTGCAAGGAACCAAATCAAAGAATCAAAATGCGTAGGTGGTAGATACAGATATAACTCTTCATTGTTTTATATCCAAGCCCCTCAAATTAATATATTCTGTAGAATCCTTTTAATAATTTTTAGTTCAAACCTTGTGAAAAGAAAATTAAACATTAAATTAGATAACAAACAAGATTTACACAAGAAAATAGTTTTCCCAGGCAGTCTTTTGGATACATTCTGTGATAGATATGGTTATACATTAGGGACCTACGAACTGGTAGGATATTATAATAAGAATAAGCTGACATCCTTAAATTACATCTACATGAATGTACCTTTGTATTTGTTATTTGTTGATTTTGTAGAGCTACATTCCAACTAAAGAGGATATTCTGCATTCAAGGAAAGCTACAAAGGGCATTACAGAAAAGACAATATATATTAGAGGTGTACCGTTTATGTTTATTGATGTGGGTGGACAAAGATCACAGAGACAGAAATGGTTTCAATGTTTTGAAGGGATTACATCTATTCTGTTTCTGGCATCATCAAGTGAATTTGATCAAGTACTAATGGAAGATCGGAAGACGAATCGGATGCTGGAATCTTGTTTTATATTTGAGACTATTATTAACAACAAATGTTTTGTGAATGTTTCAATTATTTTATTTCTGAACAAAATGGATTTATTGACAGAGAAAGTGAAGAAAGTGAACATTAAGGATTATTTTGAAGAATTTCAAGGCAATCCACATAATTTAGAAGATGTCAAAATATTTATGTTAAAAATGTTTGATTCTCGTCGACGTGATAAATCTAAACCTCTTTTTCACCATTTTACTACAGCAATAGACACTGACAATATTGAACGAGTATTTAAAGATGTGAGGGACACGATATTACACGACAATCTCAAATCTCTCATGTTGCAGTGAACAAAAAACATACTGGTGTTATTATCAAAATGGATAAGTAAATGAGCCTCCTATAGCAATAATAAAATGTATGTAAGACTGTCGTTCAGTGCCTCACATAATTTAATGTTAGTAGTTTATATCTGGTACATCTGAATTGCCTTTTGCTATTTACAAATAACTTTTCATATATAAGTTCCCTTTCAGTTTCAGTGTGTCATTTCATTCACTATCATTTACATCACTCAGTAATGTTTTGCAACTACATCATATATTGTTATCATAAAGAATAAAAGATTTCATTGATACACACAATGAATAGAAAAAAATATTTAAAAATATTTTATCATTTTTCTGAATATACATACACATATTTAATATTTTACTATTTTAAGTTTTGATATAAAATTTATCTACATGTATTACGTTATAAAGACATGTTGATATATTATGTTAAATCTTTTTAAGCTCAGCACACAAACAAATTTGGATCAATATGCCATGGTAATGAAACTATTGTTAATGTTAATTTTAGTGTTCAAAAAAGTTGATGTAAGCTTATTGAATGATTGACCAAATCTAGTAGTAAAATGGTTTTTCAATCATCAGTGCAGCCAAGGAGTAACTGCACAATATTTATCCATTAGTAATGATTATAATCGCTATAACAATATAACATACAAGTGTATTATAATTTTGCATTCAATCAAAGTTATATGTTAGTAATTACATGCTGGTGGTGTCTGAGAAACATGCATGGTGGTAACTTGAGATGAAAATGATTATGGAATGATTTTATGTTATGCTGTAAGAACAATGTACATGTATTAACATGCTTAAGATTAACTTTTAATTAAATTAATAAACACAACACAGTTTATTTGGAAATACAATCACTGGTATTTCCATATAAACTGTGTTGTGTTTTTTAATGTGTTCAATCGCTTAATGCCACACAAGGATTAAATTAAATTAATGTTGACTTGAATTTATGTTAATAAGAAATTGTGAAAAGAAAATGATAATAAAAAACACCCATATTTATCACCCCCAAGCAACTCTTACATGTATTTATTAAAAACAAAACAACTAGTATTTGTGTATATGATAATACACTGCTGCAATATATATTAAACATTTTGAATGCACTATATTATTTTCTAGAAATGAAACGTTTGACTGCTGACAATATAATAAACACTGTGTTATATTTAAGATAATTCATCTTTGTATGTACACCTTAACTAGTCCATTTTTTTTTTACAATCATACTTGCATAATTTTTTGATATTTAATTTATTTGTATAAAGAATCTTTTTTCAGAAGTACTTGTACATCATTGGTTAATGTTTTTCGTATGGAATTGTTAAATAATTTAAAATATTTAGAATGGCTGAATTTTGACCCAGAATGTATGGCCATAGGCGTACGAGCTGGGGGGGGGGGGGGGGCTGGGGGGCAGCTGCTCCCCCATTTTGGGCACCAAATGCTGAGAAAATTTGGGCACACAATTGTACTTTGTAAAAGTTGTATAAAAAAATATTGTGTTCTTGAATGTGTCCAATTTAACAGCGAATTTATTATTATGTAACATACTAAGAACCTAACTACATTTTTTGGGCACCAACCACCACCGCCCCCCCCAGTCAAAAATTTCCCCGTACGCCTATGTATTGTGTATGGCAGTAGATTTCTAAATTAGATAATGGATAATTTTAAAGGCATCACTAGTTTCATTTATTAAAAAGAAATATTTCAGTTGACAATATTATATATTTTTGTGATGTTTTGATTAGTGAAGGGACAACCTTTAATTGATCAAATAGACATTAGTAACACCCAGTTTAATGCTATGAGCTATTAGAATTATGTTTGTTTAGTAATTTCTTAATACTGTACTTGAATTTTATATACATCTCAATACATTTACATTGATTCTGCTTACATTGACAAAAATTTGTGAATGCCACACTGTCAGTTACAAAGTGCTCTACTTCTGCTAATCTAAGAGTTTTAAAAATTCTAATTTGTCTACAAATCCTGTTTAAAGATTTTGTTATAGTATTTAATTGTACATGTACTTCATTTATTTAGTTATGTAGACATACAAGTCTTGTAGATTAAAGGTTTTCACATACCATGGCCTTGATACTATAGCTATCATTTTCATGTGGATGTATATTGTCGACGCCTCTGTCCGTCCAGACGTTCACATTTTGTTTGTTGACATTCTACAGGTCACAATTTTTTTCCGATTTTGACTAAACTTGAAATATACGTAGGTTTATTTCCCAAAGATCTTGGTTCTTTTCGATATTGGCATGTATCGGACCATAACTTCATGGATTCTGACCCCTGATTGAGCGTAAAATCGTGTTATTATGCTTGTGAACACTCTAGAGGTCACAATTTTTATCCAAGTTTGTTGAAACTTAAAATATTTGTTTATAACCCATAGATCTCGGTCCCTTTCGATATTTGCACATATTGGACCTTAACTACCGGGATTATAACCCATGATTGTATGAAAAATCACGTTTTTAGCTTGTGGACCCTCTAGAGGTCACAATTTTCATACGCCAACATTGAAATGTGGTCGTATATTGTTGTCCCCCCCTCCGCCCATCCGTCTGTCCAGCGTCCACAATTACTTGTGGACGCTAGAGGCTAAAGTTAATATCCAATTGACTTTAAATTTATATACTGTGTTTAAGGCCATGAGACGAAGAAGCCTATTGATTTTCAGCGATTTCCGATAATTACTGCCAGAGTTATGGCCCTTGATCACTTTGAAAAAAATTGTGACGCTCTAGAGGCTAAAGTTATCATCCGATTGACTTCAGATTGATACACAGAGTTTAAGATCTTGAGACGAACAAGTATATTGATTTTCAATGAATTGTTATGGCTTGAACAGCTAAATCCATGATATTCAAAGTTTTGTATACTAAACGTTAGCATGGGGCAGAACTTTATAAAAACCAAACAAATTCTAATGGTTTTCTGATAATTACCTGGCAATCTGTCTTTATTCAATTTTAAAAACCATTCAAATATATCACTGTTACATCATACGCAAAATCAAATTTTTAGGGGTCCCAGTCAGATTTATCCGATTTAAAAAAAACATTTAAATATATCACTGTTACACCGTAATGACAGTTGAGTTCAAATTTCCCTGTTTAAAAAAAACGTTTAAATATATCACTGTTACACCGTAATGACAGTTGAGTTCAAATTTCCCTGTTTAAAAAAAACGTTTAAATATATCACTGTTACACCGTAATGACAGTTGAGTTCAAATTTCGGGAAAATCTGACAGAAACTGCTCGAAAAAATGGCTGCTCCCTATTCACGAATGGTGTAAAAGTATTTTATACCAAGGTTGTGGAGTCTCAAGCGGTCACAATTTTTATCTAATTTTGACGAAAATGAAATAAAAGTTTATATCCCAAAGATCTTGGTTCCTTTCGATATTGACATGTATCGGACGGTAAATTCATGGATTATTGCCTCTGATTGTACGGAAATATTGTCTTTAGCTTGTGAACACACTAGAGGTCACAATTTTTATTCGATTTTACTGAAACTTAAAATATATGTTTATATCCCAAAAATGTGGGCGTATATTGCATGCAACCGCTTGTTTTTGTAATAACTATACTAATCATACTTATGTTAAAATATTTTAATCTTTACCTGCAACGATACGTTTCCTATCCTGGTAACATGTTCTTTCTTTTTGTTAAAGAGGTTGAATCAGTTTTCTTTGGGAAATCTCATGAATTTGTATCTCTACCTTAAGTTATACAAAACTCTTATTGAATTATACCCGTATATTTTCATTTCAAGTTGCATTATGTAAGAGTTAAATAGAGCTTTCCATTCTTGCTATAATAGTTCTATAATTGGTTACTATTGTAGCAAAGGTACAAGAAAAAAGCCAGAAAAATAACATGCAATAGGCAGATTTAGCTCTTACATAATGCATCTTTAAATTGTAGGTCTATGTCTATATTTCAGTTTTCATTTACTTTTATTTAATTCTGAATTTTGTGCTTCCAGTTCTATGTTTTGTATATAACAATTTATAATATATGGATTGCTTCTGTTGTGTAGAAGTCTATTTTTATACGCCTCATGGAAACGGGGTCGTATATTGTCGTCACCCCTCTGTCCATTGGTCTGTCTTTCACAATTGCTTAATATTCGATGAGACAAATTTCAACAATTTCCAACAATTACTGTCAGAGTTATGACACTTGATCACTTTGACAATTCTTGCGGACGCTCTAGAGACTAAAGTTATTATCTGATTGACTTTAAATTATACAGTGTTTAAGATCATGTGAAAAAGAAGACTTGATTTCAACGATGTCCGATAACTTGAACAGCTAAATTCTAATAATATCAGATAATTACTTTATGGGTTGTTACTCTAGTCTTCATCAAATTTTAGTCTATGCTTTTATTACCGACAAAAGAAAAAAATATGTGACAATCCTTGTGGACTGCTCAGGCGACTTAGCTGTTGTGGGCATAGGTTTCATTGCCTGGCAAACTATCTTTGTTATTTGATGTTATTTTTGGCAGAAATAATGTTTCAACATTCATTTAGCTTCCTTTACCATTAACCTTCCTTGTGTATTTTTGTGTCTAAAGTGATAAAATGAATACTGCACATGTCATCATGTATATCGTTCAGAGTGATGTGGTTTAGAACACCATAAAATCTATTTGATTTTTTAAAATCCTGAGGTTAAAGTAAATTTAAAGTATGTAAAACAAGAAATTAATGTGAATGTGCCTGTTACAAACTGTCTACACGTTTCAATCTGATTAAACACAGATCCTATTTCGTTTCGTTTATACAGTTCAAAATTTAGTTTTACTTGTCTTTACTACACTAGGATCTGGAAGAGTTGTTATCATTGACGTGTTCTGAATAGTTTGAGGTATTAACCAATGAAACGGTCTGTTACAGTGAGCTTTAGGCGTGTTTTGCACTCAACTGTGGGTAATCCACTAGTAACACTAATGCTGATTGGTTAATCAAATGTCTGACGTCATAGGCTCAAGAGTACACGCATGCTATGACCTCTCACGTGCCCTATCGCAACAACCGGTCAGATCTTCATGTGGTGTAGGCCATCGAAAGTATAAAAAACGAAACGAAATATAGATCTGTATTTTAATGAGATTGTACACGTTTATGTGTATCTATTCTTTAAACATACATTATGCAAGAGCTAAATCTGATTATTGCAAGTCTAAATCTGATTATTGCAAGACTTCAGATGTCGTAGAAATTATAAATTAGTTCTTTATTTACACAACAAGCACAAAATCAACTCTGTAGACCTACGGATGGCTTGGATTCGGCTTGGATTTAAACAGGATTTCATTGATTGATTAAATTTTTAAATGGTGTCGTAAGCGGAGATTAACCGTAACGTTGACATCATACTCCCGGAAATTTTAGATCGAGGCTAAATGATAGAGTGTACGAAGCGAGGCCGCTATGAATTTGATTGAAAGTTCGATATATACGGCCTTGATATTATGTTTAGTTGTGGTTAAAATGAGAGTTTGGATATTGGTATTATACGCTCTTTTGTCACTTGCGTTTACAGAAAAATTATGGAAATTGATAAACATCGCAGCTAACATCACACCAGTTGAATTGCAGCCCCATTGGATCACTGTTTCCTATCTGTCTGCTTCAGGAGTTACGTAGGCCTACCAGTTACAGTACAAGAGTAAACACATCCTAACAAGAAGTCGGCTATAATTATGCCTTTTTGATTTGGTCCATTCCTTTCAAACTTTCTCTTCTTATCTATATATTAAAAGTCTTATTTTTAATTTGTAAAAAAAATAAATGTCATACGATTTGAATTGCAACCCCGTACCACAGCCATTGAAAACGTTACTTGATAATCGAGATTATGTAGGTGGAGTTAACGCCTGTCAATCAAACGATCGGCAATTCTCGGAGACAGTGAAGAGAGAGTTGACTATTTTTAGTCAAAAATTACAATGGTAATAACTTTGTTCCGAATAAAGTAATTTAACTGAAATTTTTAATATATTCTTCTTTCATCATCTATTTTTGAACTGTTATAGCAAGAATGGCCAACTCTCTATTAAAATCTCCCATAATGTATCTTTAATGTAAAGTGCTGCTACATGTAGTTGAATTAGCATTGAGAACAATACAATAATAAATGTGCAGTTTTATGGTAGTCAATGTCCATGCTTACATAACAGTTTATGCACATGTAATGGTGTGTTCATTACTGGTCTTGATTACTGTACACATCATCATGTTGACACATGCATAACGTTGTTGTAAAAAATAATGTATGCAAGGTAGAAATTCAGTGGCTGTTAAATAAAGGATATGTAAATTTACGCACAGGGAAGTTAATAGAGTTGATTTATATTTTAGTCTTACATTTGCTTTGTGAAACAGGACCCAGTTAAAGTGTTTACTATTTTGGGTAATGAGCACTGACAATTGGGTATCTGACATTTAAATGGACTCGCAGGGCATTCACGCCATCTGCTAATTCTATTGTTCTGTTTAAGAGTAGGATCATTCTTGTTTAAATTATTTTTTTTTTATTATAGTCAAATATTTTGCAAATAAGGCAAGTCACATTACCAAGTTTATTTACATATGAGATTATTATTAATATGGTTTCCAGAACCATGTAAAGAAAATCCAATTCATCAGTAGTACTAGATGATTTACAATCTGCAGTATATTTCATATCATTCCTATTATGGCCAAAGTATTAACTATATTCTAGTTCATTAATCAACACCTATTGCATTTTTTGTAAAGAAACCAAACATTTGATTTCAGTTTGTATTCTTGAATGAATTTGATTTAAAATGTGTGTACCTAACCATTTGTTGCTTGAATACCTGTAGTTTACATTTATTTTTACATCTTTAACTTTTGTACTAGACAGCATATTCTTATCATAGGATGTCACAATATTTTGCCTTACATCCCTAAACAGTAGTCTGTTAAGGTGACAAAGGAGTCTGTATATATTTATCTATCTATCTATTCATATTGTTCACAGTAGCAATTCATGCACAAAATCACCAGGAATGATTTACTGCTCTGACAAATTATCTTGCTGCTGACAAATTATCTTGCTGCTGACAAATTATCTTGCTGCATATGTAGTCATAGAAAATGAAATAACCATATTTTTTCGAACTTAACAAACTATTCTGTTGACGAGGCATTAAACACTGTTTCTTCACTTGTCTCCAAAATGTTAATGTAAGATTTACCAATAAAGAACTACAATATTGTCAAATGTTGTCAATCATATCTGTTGATTTTTGACATGTTAGTCACTGTCTGATCTCACTTTGGTATGCTCATGTTCTATTATCTAAATTATTAAGTAAAATATAACTATATCACATTACATCTAAAATAATACTATTAAAAGTGGTTGTGTCATAGTAATCCTTCAGTTGTCACTAGTATTTAACTTTAGTATAGACCAGTATACTGCAGTATGTAGATAGGTATCTTTATTTGTATTATATAGATAAGTAGTTTTGTATACCTGTATTGGTATATAATAATGTGCCTGGGGCTGTGACATTGACATTGATGATATCACTCTATATCCATATGTAATGTATACTATACATGTATGTAAACTATATTAAATTGAAAAGCAATATTCCTTAAACAGATATATTTCAATTTGATCTTTCATACATAATTTTAAATTCTGAAAACACTATCGTTTGTGTTCATTTACTCTTCTCAGTGGTGCTTACTAACTTTTTAAAAAAAAGGTTTTTTTAAATATGTAGCCTATGGTTTGAATAGTTTCCTAGCCTAGTATTCAGTAATGGTGATAGATGGCTATATTTGACTAAACTGATATCCATTGTGTTCTCTTAAACATATTGGTATGTTATCTGAAATTCATTATTGGCTTACAGATAATTACAGACAGTATTTAACATTTATAGGTTTTCCGTTAACCTGAGCCCCAACAAATACCAATCTAATTAAAATATAGATCTATATTTCGTTTCGTTTTTTATACGCCCACATTGAAATGTGGTCGTATATTGTCGTCTCCCCCGTCCGTCCGGCGTCCACAAGCTCTAGAGGCTAAAGTTAATATCCGATTGACTTTAAATTTATATACAGTGTTTAATTCCATGAGACGAAGAAGCCTATTGATTTTCAGCGATTTCCGATAATTACTGTCAGAGTTGTGGCCCTTGATCACTTCAAAAAATCTTGTGGACGCTAGAGAGGCCATAGTTAACATCCGATTGTTTTTAAATTTATACACAGTGTTTAAGGTCACAAGACGAAGAAGCCTATTGATTTTCAGTGATTTCCGATAATTACTGCCAGAGTTATGGCCCTTGATCACTTCAAAAATCTTGTGGACGCTCTAGAGTCCAAAGTTAATATCCGATTGACTTTAAATTTATACACAGTGTTTAAGGTCATGAGACAAAGAAGCCTATTGATTTTCAGCGATTTCCGATAATTACTGCCAGAGTTATGCCCCTTGATCACTTCAAAAAATCTTGTGGATGCTCTAAAGGCGAAAGTTAATATCCAATTGACTTTAAATTTATACACAGTGTTTAAGGTCATGAGATGAAGAAGCCTATTGATTTTCAGCGATTTCTGATAATTACTGCCAGAGTTCTGGCTCTTAATCACTTCAAAAAAATCTTGTGGACTCTCTAGAGGCCAAAGTTGATATCCTATTGACTTTAAATTTATACACAGTGCTTAAGGTCATGAGACAAAGAAGTCTATTCATTTTCAGTGATTTTCGATAATTACTGCCAGAGTTATGGCCCTTGATCACTTCAAAAAACCTTGTGGATGCTCTAAAGGCTAAAGTTAATATCTGATTGACTTTAAATTTATACACAGTGTTTGAGGTCATGAGGCGAAGAATCCTATTGATTTTCAAAGATTTCTGATAATTACTGCCAAAGTTATGGCCCTTGATCACGTTGAAAAATCTTGTGGACGCTCTAGAGGCCAAAATTAATATACGATTGACTTCAGATTGATACACAGAGTTTAAGATCTTGAGACGAACAAGTATATTGATTTTCAATGAATTTTTATGACTTGGAACAGCTAAATCCATGATACAGTATTAAAAGTTTTGTATACAAAACGTAAGCATGGGGCAGAACTTTATAAAAACCAAAAAATTCTAATGGTTTTCTGAGTTGTTGCTCTTAATCAGATTTTAGTGTATTATAAATTTTTCATTACCGAAAAAAGTAAAAATATGCGACAACTCTTGTTGACTGCCCGGACGATTTAGCAGCTGTGGGCGTATGTTTTGTTGCCTGGCAACCTATCTTTATACTTTCGATGGCCTACACTACATGTAGATCTAACAAGTTATAGTGGGAATTTACGTTCTATGACGTCAGGTACCAAGCAAGCGACATTTGACCCAATTACGCCAGTCATTCGATTAACCAATTAGTGACCGCCATGTATTTTTTATCTACTTTTGCTTTGTTTTGATTTCTATTGCCGCTAATGTCTACCCACAGTTCTGCGCAAAAAAAGGTCAAACGCTCGATTCGACAGACCATTTGATTGGCTGACCCCTCATTTCAAGCAGAACACAAGTTAAATAACAATGCTTCCAGATCCAAGTGTAGCAAAGACAAGAAAAATCAAAATTTTGAACTATAAAAAACAAAACGAAATTGGATCTGTGTTTTAATCAGATTGAACAAATACCATCACTTGTGTAATATTGTGATATATTTCATTCAACTAAAGTAAAATATTTGTCAATTCTGAAAAGTTTGGGCCCTTTTTAAAATTTACCCAATGGCTACTAAATGCACTACCCACAGCTATTATTATCCAATTTGATTGTATTATTTTATGAATGAATATTGTAGAATAAGTTGAATTGACATGTCAGCAAATAATCTATTTAGCTGCTTTATATTTGTTTTAATATAATCTATTGTTTTATATAATATATAATAAAACCCCAAAACTGCATATTGTCTTGTTTGTTTCAAAACATTTAATAAGACCATCCCGGAAAAGACTGGAGATATGGTTATATTATATAATTTTTCATATGTGTCTTGAAGTAAACCTTGGATGTATTGTATCAGATTTGGAGGCATATAGTAACATCTTGGTTATTGTCCAGAAACCCTTACATGTGTAATGGAGTGGAAAAGATGCTTAAAAGTTTTAACACAAATAGGATATGTCCAAATTCCTTACTGGTAATTGTTACTAACATGGTGTTAGTAATTAAAGGGATATTTTAACCACAAGGCACTTTGGACTTAATTTATTGTAAAGTGATTATCTGCTGACTTATACAATTTGGAGAGATGGTCACTAACTGATTTCAAGACTAAGGTGGCATTTTTATATGGTACCATTTTTTTTTTTATTATATGGTGTTTCTAATTCTAAAATTCGCTTGTGCACCCCTACTTTAAAAGGGGTCGGTAGGTGCTTCTGTTCTTACAGATATCATGGACCTTATGTATTATAAGGGCCATGCAGGTATGAGCCTGAAAATTACTCTGGTTATCAGAGAATTGACACAATTGATCAGCCATAACAACTTGGCTTTAAGACAGTAGATTGGTTCTTGGATCAAATAACCCAGCTATCTCCAATGGTTTGAGGTGTACATATAAAATATTTCAACATTTCTACCAAAACAGAAATTTCCACCAGGATCACTGGAAAGTCAACTATTTCAAAAGAAAATGGCAAAATTAAAAAATAGACCTAGATCTGGCTATAATTATGTGTTATTTCAAATTAGAGCTAAAAAAAAATTCATTTATGTAGATCCGGCCTTAAATATGAGGTGTTATTTCAAATTTAGAGATAATTTTTTTTTTTTTAAATAATCTGTTTGCAGGTTATGTTTATTTATACCCATGCTGTTCTGGCTTTATAATCAGCCCACCACTCATATTGGCCGTATATCACATTAATGATGGTGTAAGAAAAGGTAGTCTAGTTAGTTAGTGTTAGTTGTATTTTACGTCCGCTTCCACCGAGGTGATTCTTATATCGCCACCAAGAAGCCTACCTAAATAATTTAAGGAATGAATGATGGATGAATGAAATGCCGTACTTGATGACGGTGACTTTCATCAAGAGTTATTCCCCTTGGACAATGATCCAAATGGACAAAGCTAAATAAATAATTCTAAGAAATGTTGGATTTCTATTAGACCGTCTAGAATTATATATTAGGTTATATGTAGAATTTTATTAAAAATGAAAACAATGATCATTTATTACCAATTTTTTAACAAAAAGGTAACAGAAAAGTACAAGAGTTAGCTTGAGAAATAGACATCAAAGTTCGGAAAAGACGCCATTCGATGAAAACAAATATGGCTTCCAACGAAGAAGCTACCACCGAAGAGGTTACTGTAAATGGCAAAAGCTCCACGACGCAAGAAAATGCGGCAGACATGACAAGATTAAATAATGCACAGAGAATCGCACAAAAAAAATTGCAAGTTACAAGTTTTCCCAGAAACAAAAAACTTGAAAAATTAGCAGTTTACTCGTCATGCAAGGTGAGTAGGCCTAGCCTATTCTAATTACTAAATTAGTTCACATTAGTACTACTATTAGTATTAGGCCTATTAGCCCAGTGGGTCGCAGCTTAATTTAATTTTACTTTTACTGTCAAATTTGAGGTTCCAGATCACTTGTAAGGAATTGATGCATAAACTTGTCGCCACAGAAAATCCCTTGTTATTAAACTGCTCAGTCCCTCTCAATAGGGCCTAGGCCTAGGCCTATCATCAAAAATCTTTGACATTGAAAACACGAATTATTTGTCATTTCAAATCAACATTCGTCTTGTGATCTTACAGTGAAAAGATGGGCTTCTGATATCCAATATTCAAGACAAAATAAACATTTTACCATTGGTACACGAATCGTGTACCATAATGCGTTTCAGCGCCATTTGGAACAATGTCAAGGGACTCAAAGAACAGGGCTAAACATATTCCACAAGTCATGTCAAATGGTGACGCTATATTCTTATCTGGAGAGCATGCGCAATAAATACCATCGGTGTAGCTTGGAAAAACCAGACGCTAAAGATTGCCATTCACATGAGACTTCTGGTTTATTTCCCGAACATAAGTCATAACTGATTAGAAATGACAGTAAAAACAGAAACGATTGAATGTAAATCAGTTTATATACATTCATATTACATTAATAAATGCGTTGCGACCCATTTTTGTCAATTTCTAGGTCCCAAATATTAGCGATTTAGCGCATTTAAAGTCTATCATACTATGGATATCATTTTACTTTTATTTTACTTTTAGGCTTTTTGTTATTATCAATAATATCAAGTTATTGTCATTACTCATTGTTGATGGTAAGCCAATGGTGTGTTTTATCATTGAACTCTTTGGACTTCACTAAAACTGTTCACAGCTGATTAAATCTATTAAAAGATTATTGTTTGTGATCCAATAGATGATAAAAAGATTCTTCATGTGGCAATTACCTTTAAAGTAACTAAGTCTCTCACTTAATATCCTCCAAAATCTTCGACATTGAAAACACAAATTATTTGTCAATTTAAATCAACATTGATGTTGTGATCTTACTGGGAAAAGGTGGGCTTCTGATATCCAATGATTAAGACAAAAAAAATATTTTACCGTTGGTACACGAATCGTGTACCATGGTGCATTTCAGCGCCATTTTTAACAAAGGACTCATAGAAAGAGGCTAGATATATTCCGCAATTCATGTCAAACGGTGACGTCATATTCTTATCTGGAGAGCATGGGCAATAAATACTAGAGTGGAATAACCAGACGCTAGACATTGCCATTGGATTGAGACTTCTGGCGTATTTCGCCAAACATAACTGATTAGAAATTGCAGTAAAAACAGAAACGATTGAATGTAAATCAGTTTATATACATTCACATTACATTATTATATACGTTGCAACCCATTTCTGTCAATTTCTAGATCCATACACTTTTACGTTAACATATTTAGTGCTCTGGTTCATGACAATTGATTTTCTTACGCTGTAATGTATTTGTTGTTGACCCGACTGTTAGCGAGTCATAATTTGGGACAGGAATTGGTAGTGAGTTCGCTGTCTTTTAGTGGGATTAGGTCTTATCAAACAAAACACTACAAGTAGTAAGCTAAACTTTTTGCCCAAAAATCAATTTCTAATCATAGTAAAATGTTACCCAAACTAAAAATGTTGTTGTTTGTTAAATTCTGAATTTTCTTTATAAATTTGTCTGAGTAAAATAAACAACCTGTTGATCACACTATAGACATACATAACCAATTTGATATTCAGTAAAGTGTGTGAAAAATATGTTTTAAAAATTCAGTTCACCAAATCCCAGCGCCCCAAACCCCCCTCCCCAAACTTGTCTCTGAATATACCATTGGTAGACATGCACATGCACTGATACATTATAATCTGGTATTTGAATTTAATATTTTCAGTCTGAGAGCTGTAAGTGCAATGGATGGAAAAATCCAAATCCACCACCAACACCTTCAAGAGTTGATGTTTCACAACCATTAGCTAGTCTTACAGATCCATGTAGGAGTTGCAATCATACTTTAGGTAATAAATATAACTCTTTGTACAATAAATTAAAATACTAAACTACAAGTGTAACCCAGATTGCACTATTTAATAATAATACGATAATATTTGCATGTTAGAGTCTTTGAATGTCCTTGAGGGATTGAGGAAATCCTGGAAAACCACATTATTATTAAACATACATTATGCAAGAGCTAAATCTGTCTTTTGCAGGTCTTTCTTTAGGCATGAAATGTTATCTAAATTATTAATTAGACATTAATTAACCTATCCAGACCATAATCAACTCTAGATGGAATCACTAGCCTGCAATCTTTAGTGGATTATGAGCCGATTTACTGCATAACTTTCCTTCACGATTTAACGATTAAATGGATAATCGAGACTATTTATCGTACTGACTTTAGTAATGATGATCAAGGCTAGGTCGACATTTCAATCGCTTAGTTCTCGGTTCATAGTGGATCAATTTGAATGAAATTTTCAGCAAATTGCCTTTACATTATCTAGTTTTTAACTATTATAGTGAGAACTGCCAACTTGTTATCAAATCTCCCATAATGTATCTTTAATATGAAAATGAATGTTGAATTTCTAAAAAAAAAAATCCACAAATGATTCACTTCTATTCAGTATTTACAAAAATATAAATTGGAAATTTGGCAATATTTGACATCCACTGCAGAAGATATAGACAGGATATGGTCAAAACAAGCCTCTTTTTAATCTGATTAAATCAATTTGAGTACATTTTAGTGTGGTTTAAACTGTGAAAAATTCAATATTTTCCCAAAAATGCAAATGGGTCACAGAGATTTTAAATATGTATTCATACTATTGTCATTCTATCATGATACAAATGTTATATTTTTGTAGCTTCCCATGCATCACATCTAGAGAATGTTTCTGAAGATGAATTAAACCGATTATTGAGAATAGTAGTGGATGTTGAAAATCTGTTTCTTTGTGTGCATAAAGAAGAAGATGCAGAAACTAAACAAGTGTATTTTTATTTATTCAAGGTAATGTATACTCTGAGATATAACTGTACTCCTCTTTTGTCAGTTATAGATATTATGTGGTATGATCAAACTGACTAATGATTTTTTTAAATGTTCAGGTCACTCTTGAAATTACAATTAAGGCTTAAAAATCTGTTTGTACATGTATTTTCACACCGATTTGAGTAACTGCAATTGTGTCAATACTTTAATATTTTTTAGCTTTTGCGGAAATGTATTTTAAATATGAGCCATCCTACTATAGAAGGTCAACTGGGACATCCACCATTTGAAAAGCCCAGTATTGCAAAAGTAAGTTTTTCTTAAATAAAATTTTTTAAAGGTTGTTCTGTATTAAATGAAAATATCATCAAATTCTGATGATGAGCTTGTGAGAAATATCCAAGTTATAGATATATGAGAGATTGTTTAGTTGTTAGATACTAATTCATCATATTGAAATAAAAAATCTTTCCTGATATCCTTTTTAAAAAATTGTTTTTTTTAGGGTGTAACAAATTTTGTTGTCTACAAGTTTGGCCATTTAGCTCAAAAAGAATGGCAAACAATGTATGATTTAGCGAAGATGTTTTTACATTGTTTAAATCACTGGAAATTAGAAACTTCTGCTAACAGAGCTCAACATGCTGGTACAGATGATATGAGTGCTTATAAAGTTAACTACACAAGGTTTGTTAGTTGTTTATTTTTGATGATTAATCTTTGTTACTGTATAATTGTCTGTGCCCATTTATTGCTTGATAAAAACTAGAGAAGCCTAGTCGAAACTTAGCTCTGTAATAAACAGTAATTGTATTCAATAGAATTGTGATCTGTGTATTTCCAGTTTCAATTATTAAAAGCTAGAGAAACAATTTATCAATATAGTCTGTCTATTTGCTATATTATTTGAGGTATTCTGATTTGAACTTGTTAAAATTAGTGTTCTATGTTGCAGATGGTTATGTTACTGTCATGTACCAGGTCTATGTGACAGTCTTCCGCGTTATGAAACAACATTGATATTTGGTCGGACATTGTTACGTTCGGTTTTTCAAACCATGAGAAGACAATTATTGGATAAATTCCGAGCAGAGAAAGATAAAATGCCGCCAGATAAGAGAACTCTAGTATTGACACATTTTCCAAGGTTTGTTGAAAGTGTTTATGGAAATTCATTTCATATACACGTATATGTAATGTGAGGTTATATTGCCTCTCACTTATTTGTTCTTTAATAAGTTGGAATATTTAGAGACTTCTATAAACTTCTATGTATTTATTGATAATATGTGGAACATCCTCCCACAAAAGCCAAATGTCTTTATCTTCATTACCTTATATGTATCTATAATTTCATGAATACTATTATGTGTTTGTATATATTATAGATTTTTATCAATGTTAGAAGAAGAAGTTTATGGAACTAGTTCTCCAATATGGGATCCTGATTTCTCTCAGAACCCTGCTAATATGCCACTTGCCACTTCCCAAATTCTACGTAAGTAATGAATATAATAAATATGTGGTTCAAATATGAATCGAATGTATGTGCAGTTTTCTTTTCAGCTAAGGACGTTTTGGTAACAGCTCAGCTGGATGTAATATAAAATTAGTGTTTTCAAGCTCAGGTTATGTTAATGGTAAATTCAATAAAAATATAGTTCTGTGTTGAGATATTTTGCTCCATGATACAATACAAGATAACCTAAGCTTGCTTTCATGATACAAAATGAGAAATTATAAGTCATCTTTTAACCACATATATGAAGTTTGATATTTCCTTGTTATGTCTGAGAAAAATGACATGAATTGAATGCTGTTTCTCATCAAGGTCCTCATAATCATAACTTATGTGATTTCAATAAGAACATGTTTGTGTTATCCACATTGAGTTATATAGCACTGGCTCGAATGAAATATATGATATATTAAGCAAACATGTATAGTGAGCATTACTTGGAGATGTGTATCGTATCACAATGGTGGTATATTGTATGTTGGATAACAAAATTGATTGTTCAGTCAAAGCCTGATAGTTTGACATTATTATTATTATTATTACAGCCACTTCACCTACTGCAGCTACTGGAGTTAGTGGTTTAAACAGGTTTAATACTAGTGCTACAAGTAATGGGGATAATTTTACTGTTATAAATGTTAGTCCTGGTTTAATACCCAATACTAGACGATCTTCCAAATCACAAGAAGCAGGTTAGTGCTCAAGAAAATTTTAAATATCCAATTAAGTTGCCTAGATGTAAGGCTAGGTATAATTAAAGTCTCATTGCATCAGGTTAGTGCAATAAGAATGCCTTGTAAACTACAATATCTTGAAAGAAGAATCTCTAATAGGAATATCGGTCCAAAAATGGACAGTATTTACAATATGTTGAATTGAAATTTCAGCGATGTGTGCTGCTCGCTATGTAATAAGCCTGTCACCATTTTGTTGTGGGCAAACAGAATCGATAGGCCTTTTTTTAAATCCGATTGAATCCAATCCAAGAGATTATCTAACGTTGGTATTTTAATTTAGTTTTCTTAATTAGATATTAAATAATCAATCTGAGTACATATTAGCATGAATTAAGCCCTGATAAATTTGATATTTTAGCAAAAAATAGAAATGACACATCTTTACTTCAAAGTTGTACCTAGCCATTGTACTTTATGTTACACATGCATAAAAAATGTTAAAATATACATTAAAATGAAAATCTGTGTTTGACAATGTGATTTATGCCTGAATTGAATCTGATTATGTCAATGGTAGAATGCATGAAGAAGATTTCTTATTTTCATACTTATGCTGAGGACCTTTTTTCTTTGAATGGTCTAAAGAACAAAAATATCAACCCTCATAATATTTATTTTTGCCTTACAAAGGGATTCAAAAGATGATAAATATATTTATGTTTTGGGTACCTTTCTACTCTCTTTTTCTTTATAATGTCCATTTTACTGGATTCAAAGAAAATAAGCCACCATATAGAAACTATAGATTTGGAAAACTGAAACTTGATTAAGATTTTTTTATATGTAAAGTACCTGGTGAGAAGAGAAAATTAGATGATGGTAATTTACCTGAAGATGTTAAAAGAAAAAAAATTGAAGGAGACATAACACCTGATGTTTTAGCAGAAGTTATAGCAACAATAACCGATCCTGCAGAAATGGTGGGACCAGATGTAAGAGATATTACTTCACTTGTCTTACAATAAATATATATGCACATTTATTGATGCACTGACATTACCACCCATTTATATTATTGTGGCACTTAAGACAGTTGTCTGGGGTGCAGTTGTCCTAGACCCCTCCAAAACATGGACTTGAAAGATTAAGATTATTTAATGCATTATCCTTTCCCAAAATACTGTATGGTGAATAACCTGATGGTTTTTCTTTTTTTTCAGTCTTCGTTTTTTCCTGCCCATGCTACACGTGATGAAACAGCTAGATCTGAAGAAGAGAAAGGTGTTATACAATTTCATGTAATCGGCAACTCTTTAAATTCTGTACCGTCAAAACAGTTGATATTATGGCTGATTGGATTACAGAATGTTTTCTCTCATCAACTTCCTAGAATGCCAAAAGAGTATATTACTCGACTGGTATTTGATCCGTAAGTTACATTTGATAGCGAATTTAATATGTTAATGGGTCTGCCGTATTCTTTGGTGTATTAGGCGCTTAGGCGCACTTTTTACCAAATATTTTATTTTCTAGAAGGGGTGCACCTAATACATAACGTTAAGCAAATCCAGGCTTTTCCTGTGTCTGAAGTTCAAGAAATAACTGCCCTAGAATCAACACATGTCGACCAGGTGACGCTACCTCAAAAAACTTACGATATATTATCACTCATATTAAATACAATTTTTAAAATGTGTCCATCTTTGTCATTAATGTTTTAGATACAGTTGAAATATGGCACTGGTTATTGCCCGTATTTCAGTTATTTCGTGCATAAAAAAGATGTTGACATTTTCTGCTTTTTCGTGTAAGGTATACTGATTGTCATAAGCAACAATGCAAACACCATTGGCGGATAGCCGTTCTGTGTTAACAGTGTTTTAAAAAATCCTAACACGTCCCCTTTCAAGGTCAATGGTGTTATCAGTCAAGTTGACGATTAGGGTGGGGCATACAATCATACAAGCAATTTCATTGGGTCAATATAAGTATTTTCTTTACCGTAACAGCGCTAAAGGGCGGAATCACAGTTAAACTGCCATATATTGAAGTTCTTGGGTCTAACCTGTTTTGTTGAAACGGCAAATCTTATCGACGTCTGTCATTGATATAGTCAACCAATTCTTTCTCAATTTGTGGATAACGTGCTGTGCTCCATCTATTCGCTTCTTTATTTGGTTTATGTCACTAAGTTCCTGATTCATAGCCCTCTAACTTCCTACGTTCGACTCACCCAAATTAAATTCACAACCCATGGCCCTGTTACCATACTCTTTAGCGGTTCGTCTCGTAGCCATTCTGAATAGATAATTTTTAGTGTAGTGTAGGGTGCGGGGCAATGGACGTCATCGTTTGATTGTCAGTTGTTTGGATAGTATGAAGTAAACTAGAATTGTTGTTTCTCTTTTACTAGTAGTCAGGATTTAAGTCGTGAGTAGCTGATCATGGGAAATTGTTTCTATTTCATTTGTTTATCATCAATACCTATTCATTTTTCACAACCAATTGCTTGTGAATTTAACAGGATGCAACTCGACTACCATACAAGTGTCAGAATTGCCATTTAAAGTTATGAAACAAGGCATTTGAAAGTTATGATTAATATAAAGTCTTATGCAATTGAAATAAATGTAGAGTTTTTTATTTGATAAAGAAATATAAATATATATAAAGCTTGATACAGCTAAATATTGGTAAATATTTTAACTGTAAACAATAGAGTTTGACCCAGTTACTGAAGATCGCAGGTAGATTTGAGTCAAGTATGGTATGGCATGTGTTTCACAAGGTGATGGAGAAGGGTGCTTCTAAACCATGCACTTTTATTTTTTCCTTAAACACCTCTGCCAAACTTGCCCTGCGCCTTATCTACACATGTGCCTAATACACCGAAAAATATGGTAATTGAATGGGGAAAAATGCAAGCAACAATTACTAGATAATTATCACAAAACTGACTGTGATGGAAGAATCAACACAGTAAGAATTCTGCATTGATTTGCACTTGCAATAATTTCTAAAATTCTGGTATTCAATTTCATTTAAACCTGATTATTGTTAAACTACATCTCTAAAGTTAGCTTGTCAGTTTTTACTAAATATTCATATTGTACATTATTTTTTATGAATAAATTATCCTCTACAATTAATTTTATTGATTAATATGTCTGTGATATGTTTTACAGAAAACACAGATGTTTAGCTATTATTAAAGATAAACGTGTTATTGGAGGTATTTGTTTTAGAATGTTTCCGTCTCAAGGTTTTACAGAGATAGTATTCTGTGCTGTTACATCTAATGAGCAAGTTAAGGTGTGGTTAATTTTTTAATAGTTTCAAATTGTAGAATGGATATTGCAGAATAACTGCCCAGCAAAGTATAAAACAAAAAGTACACAAATACAGTAAAGATGATAATAAATGTCAAAGTAAATCGCAAAGCCATTGTTACATCTACATAAAAATGTAATGCACTAAGTGCTAAAATTATAACCCTGTTGTCCAAATAAATATAAAACTGTTAGTAACACGAACGAACCTGCCACATGACCACATCCAGAGGTCGCAGTGGATCAATTTCGAGTTGCGTAAAAATATGCAGACATTCGAAAATTTTGCGTTTTTGCTCTCTACATCTGCGTGATTTAGAGTCTCTCAAAATGCTCAATAGAAGCAAGTAAAATCGTTCCGTGGACAACCATATTTTAAGCGTCCTTATTTCATTGATACTGTATTTAGTCTAATGACAACTGATGGTTGACGGCATATCTATGGTTGATGGCAAAGTTATTTCAATCTTTCACTTCGACAGGAAGTAAAATACAAACTATCGCTATGAAACCCAATATTTGATTGGCAGAATGTAAACAGTTTATCGTGTTCTAGCCAATGCGCTTTATTGCTTCCTGTGCGGCAAAATAGGGGATCTCAAAAAATAGCTACGTATGGAATAGAAGGCTTACTGCCATGTACTTAAAGATTATAAACGAAATAAAAACCTATGGAGACTATGTAGAGTAGCGGTGTGTAAATGCCGCGTGAAGCACGGAAATTGATGACATAGTGTACACTCCGAAATAGAATAATCTAATTATTCCCACGTTCGGGGAAATTTTCTGCTTGTAAATTACGCAGTGTCTGTCAATATTTACGTTTATTTTTTATACACCCACATTAAAAGGTGGTTGTATATTGTTGTCGCCCCCGTCCGGCGGCCACAATTGCTTGTGGACGCTCTATAGGCTAAAGTTAATATCCGATTGACTTTAAATTTATACACAGTGTATAAGGTCATGAGACAAAGAAGTCTATTCATTTTCAGTGATTTTCGATAAATACTGCCAGAGTTATGGCCCTTGATCACTTCAAAAAATCTTATGGACGCTCTAGAGGTCAAAGTTAATATCCTATTGACTTTAAAGTTATACACAGTGTTTAAGGTCATGAGACGAAGAACCCTTTTGATTTTCAACTATTTTCAATAATTACTGCCAGAGTTATGGCCCTTGATCACTTTGAAAAATCTTGTGGACGCTCTAGAGGTCAAAGTTAATATCCGATTGACTTTAAATTTATACACAGTGTTTAAGGTCATGACACGAAGAAGCCTATTGATTTTCAGCGATTTCCGATAATTACTGCCAGAGTTATGGCCCTTGATCACTTTGAAAAATCTTGTGGACGCTCTAGAGGCTAAAGTTAATATCCGATTGACTTTAAATTTATACACAGTGTTTAATGTAGTGAGACATAGAAGCCCAGTGATTTTCAACGATTTCCAATAATTACTACGAGACCAAAGTTATCATCTGATTGACTTTAGATCGATAAACAGAGTTTAAGGTCTTGAGACAAACAAGTATATTGATTTTCAATGACTTTTGATAACTTGAACAGCTAAATTCATGATATTAAATGTTTCATATACTAAACATTACCATGGGGCAGAACTAAAAGCTGCAAAAAGTCTAATGATTTTCTGATAATTACTTAATAAGTTGTTACTCTAAATCAGATTTTAGTGTATTATAAATGTTTCATTACGGACAATAGAAAAAATATGCGACAACTCTTGTTGACTGCTCGAACGACTTAGCTGCTGTGGGCGTATGTTTCATTGCCTGGCAACCTATCTTTTAAAAAATGTGTTGAAAAAGTGGATTTTTGCTTGACTGCTACCTCTTACCACATCTCTCATATATCATTCTATGATTAAAAGCAAAACAGTTGATAAAGAAGATAAATGTACTTATTTCTTTTCTTGATAATATATTTTGAATAATTATTTTTACAACATTGTTCATATTGTATTTTCAGGGCTATGGAACTCATCTCATGAATCATTTGAAAGATTACCACATCCGTCACAACATTTTTCATTTTCTTACATTTGCTGATGAGTTTGCTATTGGTTACTTCAAAAAGCAGGTAAAAATTGATATTTTATGTACTGTAGAGGCTGTTTGAAGTGTAGAACTGTATTTAAATTTGTTGCCAAAAAGTTTGAATTATACTATAAAAATGACAGGAATTATACTGAAAAGATTTTTTTTTTTTCAGGGTTTTTCCAAAGACATCAAGTTATCCAAGACTGCATATGTTGGTTATATTAAAGATTATGAAGGTGCTACCTTAATGGGATGTGAACTCAATCCTAAAATAAGATACACAGAATTTTCTAGAATTATTAGAAAACAAAAACAGGTAATAGATTATAATCATGTTCTGGTATCCCATTTATATATTTCCTTCTTAGAACTTAATGAGTAATTACCACGTAAATTTGGATTATATGTCAATGATTGCTTTCTTTAAAGGGTTACAATCATAAACATTGGTTAATTAGATTGTAACATAATATTTGTTTGCTTCTCTCATTTTTAAATGCCCAGATATTATATTGGCGTATATTGTCGTCTCCTTAGAGGTTTCTTTTTCAAAGTTTCAAACGCTTGGAATGTGAGAAATGCTGGGATATTTCGCCTCCCTGTTGCCAAATCCTTGACAGTTATTTTTCTAACTTACTCAAACTGCTAAAGATTCCAACACCCAAGCAAATTATTGCATTTAAACTGTACCAAAATTACCTAGTTTGTGTTGAGCGGTCGCTAAACCCCAGGTCTCTTTCTTTTCCTAAATTACTGAGAATGTACTGCTAAACATATGAAGGATCTCTATCGAATTAAGACTTTTGCATCAGTTGTATGCAAAGTTATTGCCTCTTGACCATGAAAGCCCTTCAAATGCTGCACCCATTACCTACAAAAGAATAAATATCCAACAACCTTTATCGACTGCTTAGACGATTTAGCTGCTGTGTGGTGTATGTTTCCTTGCCTGGCAAACTATTTTTAAGGTAATATTTTTGTGTTTGATTTTAAGATTATATTTTCATGGTTTTTTTTTTTTTTTTGAAGATTGTGAAGAAAATAGTAGAGTTAAAACAAGCTCAATTTGAAAAGATATACCCTGGATTAGCATGTTTTAAAGATGGTGTACGGCAGATTCCCATAGAAAGCATTCCTGGATTGCAGGAAGCGGGATGGAAACCAGCTTCAAGTCCTGATAAAAGGTATCAGTTCTTTCCTAACTACAACAATCTTAAGTCAGATTAATCAGATTGCCTCCTTTTTCAGTAAGGTGGTTTGATATCGCGATATATAATATTTTTCAAGTCACTCATTTTGGAAAATTTTTCATCTTTTGTCAATCTTTTGGTTGCTTTTATCAGTGTATCAAATGTTGCATAAAAATGTTAATTGTTTTGATTTTACAAAACACAAGTAGATTGTCTCAAGTTTTGATTGTTTTTCTTGGGGAAGGGGGTGGGAAGGAGGGTTGGCGGGGGTTGAAAGTCATTGATTTATTCAATATTTGACAATATTATTTGACAGTTCTAAATTCCTTTGGTATTCAGAAGTCATTATGTTTCTTGAAATACAGGATATTAAGCCAAAAGAAAAAGGGAAAAAAAATAGTTTCCTCATTAATATTTCAAATAACAAAAAGATTAAATTTCTGTAAATAATTACTTTAATTTGATTAATCCATCAATTGTCAAATGTTATCTTATCTGTTTAATATCTCATCCTTTATCTTTTTTATTCTTTCCCAGAAGACATCACTCATAAGAGAGCAGGACAACTGTCGGCAGACAATTGCCGGCGAGGACAACTGCTGATGATATCATTGTTTTTCTGTATTTATGTCCTTTTTGTTAAAAATAACCAATACTTAATAATTAGATTTTCTTTATTATTATCACACAGGTTCAGTTTACTTAACACTTTGTCTATAATAGCACTCACTAAGTGACTGACTTAACTATCTATAATAGCACTCACTGACACAAAGTTATCACAGGTGAATATTTTGTGCAATACCACTTAAATAGTTCAACACATGACGACTTTTGAATTCACGGACAACGTTTAGTAGCCGCTCTGAAGTTAACTGTTAAGTTATGTTTTGATAATGATTACATGTATTGTGCACATCCATCAATTAATAAACTATACTCCAAAAAACCCAATGAAATCACTGGCAATAAGACTAACAGTTATGTCTTTATAATGATTACATAAATACATTTTTTAAAATATGGTTTATAACTGTTGCCTCATTTATCATTTAATAAACTATAATAAAAAAAAAATAAATAATAAAAAATAAAATGGTCGGCAGTTGTCCTAGCCAGCAATTGTCCAACCGGTGGTTGTCCAGTCGGCAGTTGTCCTAGACCCCACTCATAAATATTTTGTTGAATATCTCTGATATAACCTAATCTGAGGAAAAAAGATTATTAATTATAATTCTATACCTTTTATTTAATTATTTAAATTAAAGTTTAACTTTTTATTTTTGACAGTAAAGATAGTGCTACAGATGCAGATCAGTTGTATGCATCACTTAAAACAGTACTTCAACAAGTTAAGGTGAGATGAGTGTTTAAAGTTACTTATTTACTTTTACTTTCTATCTTTGAGTTTGGTAAAAAAAAAAAAAGCATTAAATTGGGTTAATCTGATCAGACAAAATCTGTATAATTTTCGTTTTGCAATATGAAGCTGAAATCCATTGGTATCCCAGTTTTAGTTTCTTTTTAACTTAAACTATCGACGGGGTAGATAAAATCAACAATATCTTAATAATGACTATCCCATTCTGTATACCTAAGATTTTAAATGAATGTCATATGCTAGGAACATATTGAATTAGTACTGTACATCATATACATTTATTTATGCTTACATTCGTACGTGTGATCTTTGTTTTTTTTATCACCATTAGGATAGAATATGATATTTTACACATACCAAATGCTTTGTAGACATGAAGTGATTAAATTCTCAGTTTTTACCCACACAAGATAACTTAGTAAATTATTGCTTTTATTTTCAGGCTCATCAGAGTTCTTGGCCTTTTCAAAAACCAGTAGATAAATCTGAAGCACCTGATTATTATGATCATATCAAGTTCCCTATGGGTAAGTGATCAAATATAAAAGCTAAAAAATTTCAGAAACCATTGATAAAAAAAAAGCCTGTATCATTATTTTTCCTATGCTTTACTTATTCATTCAGTATCTTCTATAAAAAATACTTAGTGTGTTTTAATTTGTATATTTTCAGATTTTAAATCAATGTCAGACAGATTAAAGAATCGTTATTACTGTCATAAAAGACTATTTATTGCAGATATGCAGCGTGTATTTGATAATTGTAGAAATTACAATGATTCAGATACAGAATATTACAAGTGTGCTAACATTGTGGAAAGGTTTTTTATTGCTAAAATGAAAGAACAGGGCATGTGGGATAAGTAAATGTATCCGATTCTAATTAATAGTTATGTACATGTATTTATTTGTTAGTGAATAATCTTAGTGGAAATACAGATTGGATCTGTTTTATAAAAAATTCTCAGATTAGTACATTTGTAGTCCTAAACATGTTCCATGTTCCGTATAGAAATCAACAACAAAAAAAAAAAGAAAAATCTTTTCTGGTTAGAGTAATTTACTATGAATTACGTCGACATTATGATCATCATTTGTTTTTGTTTTGTTTTTTTCATTATATACACATCATCTGTTTTATATATTTATCAGTCATCTTTCATAAAATACCTTGTTAGTCTCAAAAAGGAAACAACTTGTGTAATACGAAATGTAAAATCCAAGCAATCATCATCATCATAGTTTTGTGCATTTATCAACTATTAATATTATCAATATTGTGAGTTCTGACATCTTCATGTTGAAGTTTAAACTAGAAAAATAAAGGACATTTGTAAAATTGGATAAATCGTTTAATTATGAATTATTTATTTTTATTGTACTTGCATCTTAGATGAAATTAAAAGTAAAGTTCGAAAAGATACATAAATCAACAATTGATCTAAAAACAACCAAACAGAATGTAGTACGTATATATATAAAGATTGGGTAATATAAGGTTATTATTATTTAATGAAAATAATTTTATTATGGTGTTTGTAACTTTTGTTTTCTTTTTTTCCAAAGATATTTTTAAGACGCATTATATTTTAAGTTTACCATTACATGTATGTGTATAAATCCTCACATATTTTACATTTACAATATTGTATATTGTTACTATTGTCAACTTGTATGAATAAAGATTTTGATATTTATTGTATAATACAGAACTTTTGTTAATTTCATAGCTTCTGATCTGGGGAGGACTCTCAAACTCTTACACTCAACACTTTCCTCCCTCGTATATCAGGATGCATGATTTTCTTGTTGACATAAATTGTATCTGTAGGCATTAGACACTAAATTGTATCTGTAGGCATTAGACCCTAAATTGTATCTGTGGGCATTAGACCCTAACAGCCTGGGTTATGGCTACTGCCATTTAGGTCAAATGTGTAAGGTAGTTTTTTGGTTCTCCAGTGTGATAAATTTGAAACATGAGAGCATGAAACTTATCGATTAGGTGTTGGTCCCTTCTTCTAGAATCCCGCCACCCCACCTCACACCAAATTTGCCTGGTGAATGAAAATTGTGACCTCTAGAGTGTCCACAAAAAAGTGTTGGTGGATGGACAGAGGTGCTGACATAATAGGCCTATTCTGTAATAAACTCTACGCTCTATCAGGTTCACAAGGTTTTGGCAATGTGGGAAGGTAACACGGAACGGAAGGTCGCTGAACATGGAATGACCACAATGTTTCTCACCAAATTTGAAAGAAATCCGTTAAAAACTGTAGCCTCTATCGGGTTCACAAGGTTTTCGGCAATGTGGGAGGGTAACTCAGGAACGGTAGTTCGCTGAAAACGGAATTTCCTCAGACATATCCTCTTATGATCACAATGCATCCTACCTTATTTGAAAATAATCTGTTAAAAACTGTAGCCTCTATCCGGGTGCATAAGGTTTTGGCAATGTGGAAGGGTAACTCGGAACGGATGGTCGCTGAATATGGAATATCCACAGACATCGTCCTCTCATATGCAGAAAAGTTCCCTTCCAACCACATTTGAAAGAAACTGTGGCCTGTATCGCGTTCACGTGGTTGTCGGCACGGAGCGCCACAAATCGCCATTCACATCCCGATTTTTCCAAATTCCTTGGAGGTGGACCCCAAGCCCCCACCCCTGAAGAAAGGCCTTCAATAGCTCTTGAATAATGCCTTTTAAATGATTTGGAGGAATTGCGTTTGGTTAACAAGCTCCTTTTCTTTGGAAAAATGATAGATTTTGGTAAAAAAAGAAAGGTTCGAAGATTAATTTTAATCTTAAGAATTATTTTTTAAAAAATCAGGCCCCGAGGTCACAAAACATTCTCAGACTTAAAGTTAAGAAATTACACAAAATTGTTCGCCTTTATTTTAACTAAAATATAGCCCCTTATAAAACTTTTGTTGTTTTAATGAATCAATTGCATCAAAAAAACTATGTGCAACGTTTTGTGTTTCTGGATCAAAGATATTTCTCATAAACAGAGATTGAAATTTGAGTAAATTTCTTATGTCTGAGAATGCTTTGTGAAATCGGGGCCAGATTCGACAAAAGTTCTTGACATCTTTTAACTATGACGTCACAATAGGCAAAACGTCATGTTATTGTTCTATCATTAATTTATTGGGCTATTTTATCTGCTAAGAAGAGAAAGACGCTCTTTGATAATTCTGTGAAATTAATTACATTTGCTACAATTTTGTGAATCCAGATATAAAACTGACACTAACTATGACTATGTAAGTATATTTAATTAATTTCAAAATTCTGAAAAAAAAACAAAACAAAACAAAACTGAAAAAACTCAATATTTTCTTCAGTATTTCAGTCGTCGAGTTTAGAACATGTAAATGCAAACTAGACCTATTATTATAAGTTTAGAATGTTATTTTTACTTCTTCAAAGTAAATAAGTTTGAATTATAAAGCGTAATTTTCTCTTTGTTGCATCTACTTTTATTTTGTATTATTTTGTTCCAGAGAAATACCAGACTATAGTGATCGTAGTTTAGACTATGGTGATATATTAAGTCAGATGATATATGATGATAAGAATATGATTGTTACATTAACTGATGAAGAGTTGATCAACTCTACAGTTAATACTTCTGGTAAGTCTAACACCGTCTAAAATCATGTTACATTAAACATGTGTGGTTTGAAACCCTACCAAGCGTCACAGACCAAAGTCAGCCAGTTGCAACTTGATTAAATAGAACAAATGATATGGCTAGTTTTTAGTTTATTGAATGGGGTCATGTTTGTTGTTACTTTATTTCACACATTAATGTGAACGTTTTCTATTTTTATTTTCGTTGCTTATTAAAATGGTTTCCACTTTTTCAGTTGTATCTTACTATAAGAAATCCGACCAAGGGTATGAGAAGATTTGTCAATTGCGAGTTCCAAGGTCATCATCTATGTCACCATCAGTATCCTCCAATGACGATACTGAGAATTTGGACGAAGAATTGGACGACACTTTTCAGCTGAACTTAAACCAAAACCAAAACCAACATTATTCGGTGATCAATTGGGCTGACGAAATTTCATTTGAAGAACCAACAAATATTCCTAATTGGGCTTTGATACCGGGATTAGATTTTGATCGACACCCTAAAGATGATTGTTCTATCAGACATTGCTCTACCAGAGAAAATGTTGATGCCTTCGACCAAATTCACCATCAGTATGTTATCAACTGGGCCGAAGAAGCAATGTATGATGGACCCGTAGATGTCCCTGGCTGGGCTTTGATTCCTGCATTAGATTTCGATCGACGTGCTAAAGATAATTGTTCTAGAAAACATTGCTCTACCAGAGAACATATTGAAGACTTCAGCCAAATTCATTATCAATATGCTATCAACTGGGCTGAAGAACCTGGGTGTGATGGACCCGTAGATGTCCCTGGCTGGGCTTTGATTTTTGGATTAGATTACGACAACCATATCTATTCTGTTTCCCAAGACTCTGATCAAATCTACCATAAATATGTCGTCAACTGGGCTGAAGAACCTGTGTATGAAGGAGATGTGCACATTCCAAACTGGGCTTTGATTCCCAATTTTAAATTTGATGTCACTACTAAAACAGTCAAGTAGGTTCTGCTAAAGCAAATACCCTGTGTTGTGGTCTTAAAGGTAAAATTAAAAATGAACAAACCGAAGGAAAGAATTCGGCTGTAAACTTGTATTTTAATAGACAAAGAATCAACGCCAAATCATATTTTATTGATGTTGTATTTGGTTTATCTACTATTTGGGAATAATATGTTTGTGAGGCTGTCAAGCGTTATGTTTGTGAGGCTGTCAAGCGTGAATTCAACTGTATTTTTGTCAGACTTTCATTAACGGTGATATCAATTGTGTGTTTGTAGGAGTGTGAATATAATTGTATAAAAGCGTGTTTGGAAGTTGTTTATCTAGATGTTGATTTACGGTATGAATGAATGAATGAAATGAAAGGATATGGGGTTCAACGTCATACTTTTCTGCTCCAATCAGGCTAATGAAGACGGAGATTGTTGGGAGTGGGAGGGAGGGGGTATATATTTATTTATTAATTATTATTTTGACATTTAAAATCGTTATACTCTATATTATAATAATGCATTTTTAAGTTTATATAAGTACAATCTGGAACTGATAATGAATAATGTACGGGCATTATATTGTCTTTTTGGACAAATGTTTTTACATCAAGGTAAATTTATAGAATATTATAGTTTTTATACGTTTTTGAATTTTGTAATAAAAATTCCTTATTTATAATGTGTGTATTTGTTCAATATTCATAGGTGGGTTAAATGGATTGACACAACTTAAGTGACTTGTGCACTGTGAATAGCCAATCTTATAGATTTAACAAAATCTACATCCGATGGCCCCAGTTCATGGTTTTGCATTGCCCGTCAAGATCAACACTGGGTAACATGATGAAATTTAAAATTCTTTCTCGAGATCAAAATCGAAGAAACGTCCTTCACTTTGTTGGGTCTACCACTTTATTGGGACTGAAAACTGGGCGGGGTTGTGTTTCGTCTTTGCGATGTGCTTTTCCGCACCGAATCGGGTTATACTCCCCAATGTATCCGAGTTAAAATTATTAACCCAGACCTAAATTGTAACAGGACATGCTCAGTGACAAACATACGCCACAACAAGTTAACCCTTATTTCCGAACACCTTGTGCATGCTATTGCTACAGTTTTTAACCCCTTATTATTCAAAGTTGGGGTGAAGCATTATATATAGTCATGAGAGGTAAATTCCTATCTATTTTCAAATTTGGTGTGAAGCATTTGAATTGGGGAGGACAAGATATATTACGTGTCCGGGAAAGCATGTGAACACGATCGAGATCAGATTTCTTGAAAAATGATCCTTATAAAATTCAGTCCAAGTTTCCCTTTCGAAGAAGCTGCCGTCTTTGACAATATTTTTTTTTTAGACATAGCTACTGTGTTAGCATATTTCCACGCTTTGTGTGGTTATCTTTTAAAACTCACTGGGATTGAGCATCAGGGTATAAGTAAGAACTGTAATGGAGTTTTACGGCATTTTTTCGTTTCCGGATCGCAGAATTATCTCCCTATTTACTTTCATATTTATGAATTTATGAAATTTTGTCAACGATATACTTGATAGAATTTGAAACTCATTGTGGCATTTGACAGAACACTCGCCATTGTTTTTAATCTGCCGCAACTACAATAAAACGCCTCTCGGGATTATTATTCTAATCAATTTATTTGTCAATTATCCCTATATTCTCCCACCCCACCCACAGCAATCTATTCAGCAGGGGCGTCTGCGCCAAAGTTCTATTGCGTTTATTTATTAGCAGCGATCCCAAAATTCTTCTACAAATTGCTCAAGTTCTATTTCCTTTGACACCCCATGCAAAGCTTCATAAGGATCCAAAATAATTATTATTCTGTGGTCAGTAAAATTTAGGCACTTTCGGTGCCGTACATGGTAAAAAAAGATTGTTAATGGAATTTAAGCCATTTTTAGATCAAACTGTTCTAAAAACTGCAGAATTAACTCAGTAAGGGGTTGACTCACAAGAACCAACCAGAGCGCGTTTTATTTTTGTCAATAGCGCCCAAAGTATTGCGACAACTATGTTATAGATATGCACATTCTACATATCCAAAAATTTAAAATTACAAATGACAAGAAAAATGACAAATTTATGGATAGTTGAAATTTTGACAAAAAAAACGGTCCTACTAATGATTTCATAAAATAATTAAATAAAAAAAATTAAAAAAATGACAAATTTATGAATAATTAAATTTTTTACAAAAACGGTCCTACAAATGATTTCATCAAAAAACTGAAACTATCATCATTTTGTAATTTATTTTTTTTTATGAAATCATTTAAATTTTAGATAAGATAATAAGATAGATCTTTATTGCATCCAAACGTACCTTGCGGACAGGACAGCATGATGATGTTTATACATGCATATTATCTATAACATTTTATCTTTCATTGTCAGTCACTATTTGTAATTTATAAAAATCTGTGAGTTATACTTACCATATGCACGCCCACTTTCTTAAAAGGATAATTATTTTATTATAGGCCTATTCAAATTTTCGTTAAATGAAAGTGTCTTCCTTATTATTTTATGCAAAGTTTGCAAGAGTTATCCAAAATGCTTGATCACGTGACCTTTATTTACAAAAGATGGCGGCCGGCTTACTAGAAGAAAGTTTATGGTCGTTGCACAAGAGTTTGGGAGCTTCTGGTGAATCTGAAAGAGATCAAGCTGAAACTGTTGTAGGGAACATAACACAAATATGCTTACACGAGATTTCTTTGAAAGATATAGGTGATTATTAACTGTCACCCGGTATTTTTAAGCATTCAAAATCAATTCCCAGCCCGCCAAACAGAAAAAAAAAACAACCGAGCTCTAGCCCCTAGGGCCTAGGGTCGATTGATCAAAATTTAGTTTTGAAGGCAGCACATGCTTTTCGAATCAATGAATACAAAAGACTTTCAAACTGAGCAATAAGCAATTCAGAAAAAACATTACCACTAAGCTTAGTGCTAGCTCCTGTTGTAGGCTATAAATTAAATTAATGATTATTCTATATAATCATCCTACTAGCCTACTGTCTGAACGGTGGCAAATTTTGAACGGATTTCGTCGATTGTGACCAAATTACTGATACTGAATAATTGCACAATTGAATATCCCAACGAAAAAAAAAATTCTCTCTTGAAAAGTCAATGTTTTTGCTTGTATTTTCGACTAAGTGTACCTACATATCACGTGATGAGCTAAACCATCTTAATAATATGTCGAAGGGGGCAATGGTTGACAAATTTTGACAATCACGTGTGTTGCAATCACAACAATGCGGAACCTTTCCGATCGTTTGAGTTTGGGCAACAAAAATGGCAATGAAAGACAATAAAATTAATTTGAAAACAATTGATTCACAGTCTACAAAATTTTATTCACAATGAATATATCACCGATTACATGAATACTCGTAAATATTACTTTTCACATCATCATCACCCCATAATTGTAAATACCCTGTATATTATATATATTTTAATAAATTATATTAGGTCCTACATCCCTGTCAATTATATGTAACTCTGAGGCTAACATTTATAAATAAACCCACTTTATTTCATAATTTTAATTGATAATATTTCATAACGCGGGATCTGATCCCATTCCCAATGCTCTGTGGTTATTAGTCCATTTTCAAAGTTTTATGATTACAAAAAAAACTACGAAAAAGGGCCACCACTTCTTAATAATTTCCATATTTAATTCACGTTCCGACTGTTCACGTCAATATTCCTGATTAAATTACCTTTTTTTTTTGATTATTCAACAGATACTGAAATCGAAACATTGTTGATAAGAACAGTTTGTGATGTCTAAACATCGTTTATCGTCTTTATAAAAATGTATTTAAAACAAAAATCACTTGTCAAAAGAGGTATCGCAGATTGCGTTTATTATTGGGTCTTGTGTGTTGATTATGCAGACAATGGGAAAAACTTGTGCAAGTTTCATGCTAAATTTAACCATTTTCACTGCATCTGTGTAGCATACAATAACTCATATGGCATGGTACCTTTTACGGTAATAGAATTCAAAGCATTGATTGGCTGAGGCATGATCGCGGTCTATGAAATGCCATCAGAAAATTCCATTCTCTGTGAATTTCAAAATGGAGTTTTACTTGTGATTATTATAGGCCTATAGTTAATAGCTAAGAGTACAATCGTATGGATACATTGCCCTGTGAATTTCAAAACGAAGCCAGGATTTTCGGAAATTAATTGTGTTACCGAGACGCAAAATTCTTGACAGGTTTTGCACAATGGAAATAATATTAGAAGAGAAATAGAAAGACATGGAACAATCTGCCGATAATTAAACCGATGTGTGGTATGATTTGTTGTTGATAATATTTTTTGGTATTTATAAAAAACTAATAATTACGTTATATACCTATTCAATGATTCAATGGCCTCAGCTATTAATTTTGCCGAGGCAAATGTAAAATACATCGGCATTTACGGATCTACCCCAGCTACAGCAGATTGCCGAGGTTAATTGACAGGACTGCTTAAGTTCATCAGAAAATATTAAAGGAATGTCGTTCTTTTTGTTCTGCACCTGTGTTCAAAAGAAATAATCCCACCCAACTCTCTAACCAAATAATTAATACAAGACGGAAACAATGTTTGTAAACTCCCAAACTCATTACTGGGTCCGAGGGCAATACCTTATTCATACACAAAATTTGAATTGTTGTGAAAAGAGCCAAACACCATTACGATAGACAAGCCTTGCTGAAACCCCTTAAATAAGAAATGATCTGTCCTGATAAGTGACGTAATTAGTTTCCATTTTTGTATTTTTCGATGTCCCAAGTTTTTGAGTTCAATTTTACAAGAGAGAACTTTTTTATTCACTGGGATATTTAGTTGTACAATGGATTTTATTGTCCCCCGCCTTTCGAAGAAAGCAGGGGACTATTAAAATGGGTTCGTCCGTCTGTCTGTCCGTCTGTCTGTCCGTCCGTCTGTCTGTCCGTCTGTCTGTCCGTCACACTTTTTGGGACACAATAACTCTCTTCCTAATTGAGCTAGAATGTTCAAACTTGGTGTATGTGTTTATTAGGTCAATGCCTTGATGGAGTTCGAAGATGAGCATTTTCCGCTTAGGGTAAGCAGAGATAAGCAATTTGATTGGTTGATGCTTTGGGACACGATAACTTTTAATTGAGCTAGAATGTTCAAACTTGGTGTATGTGTTTATTAGGTCAATGCCTTGATGGAGTTCGAAGATGAGCATTTTCCGCTTAGGGTAAGCAGAGATAAGCAATTTGATTGGTTGATACTTTGGGGCACGATAACTCTCTTCCTAATTGAGCTAGAATGTTCAAACTTGGTGTATGTGTTGATTAGGTCAATGCCTTGATGGAGTTCGAAGATGAGCATTTTCCGCGCAGGGTAAGCAGAGATAAGCAATTTGATTGGTTGATGCTTTGGGACACGATAACTTTAGTTGTCCCCCGCCTTTTGAAGAAAGCAGGGGACTATTAAAATGGGTTCGTCCGTCTGTCTGTCTGTCCGTCCGCCTGCCTGTCCGTCCGTCTGTCTGTCCGTCACACTTTTTGGGACACAATAACTCTCCTTCTAATTGACCTAGAATGTTCAAACTTGGTGTGGGTGTATATTAGGTCAATGCTTTGATGGAGTTCGAAGATGAGCATTTTCTGCTTAGTGTAAGCAGAGATAAGCAATTTGATTGGTTGATGCTTTGGGACACGATAACTTTAGTTCTAATTAAGTGAGAGTGATGAAACTTGGTGTATAGTTTTATTACATCAGTACCTTGACTAAGTTCGATGATGAGCATTTTCTGCTCAGGGTAAGCAGAGCGATAAGCAATTTGATTGGCCGAGACTTCGGAACACAATAACTCTCCTTCTAATTGAGCTAAAATGTTCTAATTGAGGTAGAATGTTTAAACTTGATGTAGATGTTCGTCTTGACTGAGTTCAATGATTAACATATCGATCTCAAGCTAAGCAGAGATAAGCAATTTCCTTGGTCGATGCTTTGGGACAATATAACTTTGATTCTGTCTGATAGAGAGTGATGAAATTTAGTGTATAGTTGATAAACAGTTTGATTGCTCGATACTTTTGAAAAAAATAGATGTGCGATTAATTAATATGTGGCATCTATTTATTTGCGGATTTCGGCGGGGGACATCAGCCTCACTGTTGGCTTGTTTAACCGGAGGTAATTTCAAACACACAGGTACGTTTATAATAACCAAAGCCAAGTAGTTTGTTCATAATCGAGGAAATCCGTTTAAAATTTACGATGGTTCAGACAGTAGTCAGAATCATTCTGAATTATTGTAGGTGTTTCTGCAATCTAGATTCACATAGATTTCTAGCATGTTTGTCATGGCTGTGCAAAAGTCTGTTGGACTATATTCTGTATTCACAATCACATACCGGTATATTGATATACAGTCCTCGAAATTAAGAATTTTCTACTTTGGCACAAAAAAAATGAAAAATGCTGTGGCAGTATGGAACTTCTACGGCACCACTGCATTTTTTGTACATTAAAATCGATACTTTTCTGAACTTTCAAGATGGATAAATTTATTTATTATACATATGATATGATAACCAAAACTAATGTTAGTGATATTACATATACCATTATAGTTATTATTACTGTAGTTTACTGTAGTGGAAGTAAGCTCTGTGTATCCATACACGCGAATAGTTCGTGAAATGAATTTAAAATTAATTGTTTGTTTGGCATATTATAGTTACAATGCTGAAACAGATCTATTTTATGTAATTTTGGTTTAAAAGAATAGCAAGAAAATAAATATGAACTTTTATGCTCCATTACATAGAGTGTAGTAATTATAAACAAAGGGTGTGAATCGTTATAGCACGGTCAGACGACATCCTCCTGGTACTATTCTATAAACGGGACATTAGTCATTATTAGGATCATAAGATTACCATGGCAAAAAAATGAATTATGGCGTGGCAGACACGCTTGCGTTGGCTTTTACCATGGGTTTGCTGTTGATATTCCCTCCTCTTGCATAAATTCTTTCAGTTTATAATAAATTAATATAGGCTACTGGTATCACAAATACACCACAAATTTAAATGTTGTATCCTCCCCCCCACCCCATCAACTGATTCAGAATTCAGTAGACACTTATAATAATAATAATAATAATAATGAAGTTTTATATAGCGTCTTCTCCATGTTGACACATGCTCAAAACGCTTTTTGTAATGGCTCTACTGGTAAAACTGTTGAAACAGGAAAGTCTTTAGTGCGGATTTAAATTGATTAAAAGTTTGTTGATTCTTGATCTGTTGTGGAAGTTCGTTCCATAATCTAGGACCAGCTGAACTGAAAGACCTATACCCATATGACTTCAAATTATATCTTGGAACAACTAGTGACTGTTTATTTTGAGAGCGAAGTGATCTAATAGGATTGTAGTCATATAAGAATATCTCCAGAATTCCTGTGGGGATTGATCGGCATGCACTAAAGCAACAGCCTACTGTCAAATAAATGTCCCAGTTTGGGTGATGAAATACATTTTCAAAACCCCTGCGGAGGATGGCCATAAAATTAGTTTCGACCTTGACTACTGGATTGTTTAAGACCTTACATTTTGTATTTTTATTTCTCAACCAAACAACATGATAAAATTGCTTTCGTATGTATCTCTTAGAAAAATGAACCCCTAATAATTTAGTAAAACTGTCCTGAAGAAACCAAAATCAAAAGAAACAACTTATTTTGTGGATGCACAATTTTTATCATTGAAAGTAAATATAAATGCAATTTTTAATAAATAGGCCTAAAGATTGTATGCTTTGTAGGTTAAGTGAAATTTGTAATACACACACAATAATAGAATGAGATCATCCATATTGGTCATGCAATAAATGAAACACCTATATGTATATTTAAACTTTTTAATTCAGCAAAAATCATGTCCAAGAGGTATTGTAAAGTAAAGTTTTTATTATCAAACATTTTATATTTTAGATTATTGTTGTTCGGTTTTGTTTGATAAAGAAATTGGAATATTGGCTTATCTACAGAAGATATCAAAGAAAAATGAGGTTAGAAAATTATTAAATAAAATTGTTCAGTGTAAACCTAAAAGATATATTTCTGTTGAACAGCACATGCTTTTACTTCAACAAACACATGTTTTCTTGAGCTAGCATCAATATTCATAATTAATTGTCATGTCAATTGATCTAAAGGGCGATGTCTAAAAATAAGATCATTTTTATGTTGAAATATTTAACCAAGTCACATTTTTGTGACTTTTGAGCAAGATTGCTAAACATGAGTTTAAGACCAAAACAATTATTACATGTAATTATTTTCTTTAAATTTTTGATAGTATCAAGGTTCTGGTACTAAATATGGATTATTGGAATTTTTGTCTGGTTTTATACACAAAGTGGATAAAAAGATTATCCCCTATGCAGTTGAAATCAAGGTAGGAATGAATTGATTCTTTTGAACTTGAATTGTAATTTAATTAAGGTACTATTTTCCCGAGGAATTATGATATATTCATCAGTAAATAGGACTTTGATCTTTGATTGACCATACTTTTATTTTTTCAGGAAGTGTGCATACTCAATTATTCCACTGATAGATTTGCAAAGATAAGAAATGCTGCCTTACCTGTTCTTATCAAGGTACATTAATAGATAGAACTTTACAATGGCCTTGCTCCCAAAACATTATATTTTAAACTCCTTGTGTATAATATGCAAGAGTCTTTCTATAACTTTAGAGTAGCCAGTGAACTGTTATGTAAGCCCTTGTAATATATAATATGTATGGATCTCACTATATGATAACTGTATAGGCTACCGTTAATGTCTTAGTTATGCTAAGAAATTAAATGTTTTCTTCCCATATGATATGAATAATCTACTTAATTATGGTTATTAAAATTCATTGTACAATTAAATAGTATGTTTCTTGTAATTTGTGTATACATTGTTCTCTTTAATTGGAATTAAGATGATAGAAGAAAATGACTTCAGTCCACAGTTAGGTTTTAGATTGTTATTAATAATATGATTATGTTACAGAATAATATGTACATTATGTTATTGAATGATTTATTCTGTAGATACTAGAACTGAGTGTTGGAACAGACTTGGGAGAAGATTTGCAGATAAAAAAATTGATTGATAAATTTTTTATGGAATTAACAAAGGGTTCAAAACTTACAGCCTCGGGTATGCTCTTTTAACTCAGAAACACCACTGACTAAACATTTTGTCAAAATGATTATAAATTGAAAATGGGGTCTGAGGAGTCAAATATCTAGTGGAACTCTTGTGGTGAAAAAAACCCATAGGCTAACAAATTTTAATCAGATTTATTTGAAGTCAAATTTCTATCATTTTCTTCTATGTCCAATATTAAAGCCCCCCAAACCTTGCTATATTACTGAAATCTAGGCCTATTGACTTTATTAATGTTAGATATAAATTTTTGTGTATTTACACAGTTATTGTTACTATCTAATCTCTACTGGTCTTTAAAGTTTAATATGTTTTGACAATTTGACAATTTTTTACAGTAAAAGGCAGTATTTACTATCTGTTAGGTGTAATAGCAGAAGTTTACCCAGAACATATGATGACATATTCTAGTCGTTTACTTGATATATATAAATCAGCATTAAAACAAGAGGTATGGACATCTTTCTTTTAATTTATTTCTCAAACCACTGATAGATTGTGAAAATAGCGATCAAACATTTTCTATCTCTTCAAAATTAATTATTACCACAAATCTTCTGTCTCTGCCTTATAGATGATGGCCAAAACAAAAAAACCTGAACTGACAGTAATCAGTGGATGTTTAAGTGGATTAACAGCTTATCTGATAAACTTTACTCAAAGCTCAGAAGATGGTAAACATGTTTTTTTTATATCCACATTGAAATGTTAATTATTGCTGTCACCCATGTCTGTCAGCAACAATTTCTTGTCAACACTTTACAAACTAGATTGCTCTCTATCCCCTGATCTTTTAAGAATATATACTCTTCAAAAAAAAGTAGGGGATATTCAGAAACAATACAAAACTGCGGAAATGCACTGCTGTTTTTATTAGAGGTAACCAGTGTCTGTTAATAACAGTTCTTCATCATTGCAACCGTTTGTTATTATTGGGCATATCAAATTTCAACCGATATCACGTCTTGAATATAAAGTTGAATCTTGTCAGCACTTCAATGATATTTAACAGTATATTAAAGATTTTGCATTTTAGTTGCCTAAAATTTCACAATTCAACAATCTCTATGGATAACTAGGACGACATATCTTTTGTAGACATGTTTTGTTGCCAGATAACCTATCTTTTTTTTATTTTAGTGTCTTTAATAACCGTCATTTGCGTTTTCATTTTGTTAATGGTTATATTTTTTATTTGTCATGTATATATGATAATATTTAATCATGTAATATTATGTTTGCAGGTTCATGTTACGACATATACAAGTATGCTAAAATGGCAATAGACCCCTCTGTTAACTTGTCTCGTTATGAAGTACCTAAAGCAGGTTTAATTTTATTTTCAAAGCATGCCAGCCAGTTAAGAGAATTCTTTATTGATGATTATCAGGTAATTGCATTGTAAAGCAAGAATCGTTTGGACTCTAAAGTTAATTTGGATCGCCAATTTAGGGACTAAAGTGTTTCAATAATTTATTATTGCGCGCCGAACGAAGTAAGGGAGGGATATTGAAATGGGTTCTGTCCGTCCCCGATTTCTTTTCCGGAGCAGATCTCATCTTTGAATCTTTGTACACACATCAGCCTATTACAGTAGTTGTGCCTTTTGCTAGATAGGAATTTCTTGGATTTATATATTTTTTGTTTCCATGGAAACAAATTTGACTTAGTTTTTGGTGTACAGTTTTGTTTCTGGAGCATATGTCATAAACCATTCAAGATATCTTCATGAGACTTTGTACAAACATCAACCTGTGAATGTGATAGTAGTTGTGCCTTTTGCTAATTAGAAATTTCTCGAATTTAAAATTTTTTGTGTTTTTATGAAAACAAATTTTGTTGAATGATTTTGAATTATTACTACACATTTGACTTGTAAATAATTAATTGTTGTGCAAACCTTACAGGAGTAGCAACTCTGCCTTGCCGAGCTACTGTGATCAGAGTATGAATCTTCTGACTAGTTCCATTGATGTTCCAAGAAGTTGTTTTTCCTTATACCCTCTAAACAAGTGCAAGGGCGCAGGATGGTGATGACTAGTCATGTCATCTTGTTATGACTTGGCTTATATGTAAAATATATCAAAGAATTCTTATAATACAGTGTTATGTTAAATTACATGTGTCTCTCAATTGTACCATTAAAGAATGGGGACAATGTACCGCTTAATAGAAGATCTTTGATTTAGTCCTCACACAAATATTCAAATTCAAATAATTTTTAGTATTCTTTATCAGCTGAGAGTTAAAGATACCTTCCCACGTACAAACTGGGTAATTTGATGATATATTTGGACTAAAACATACTTAAACTAATTAATCTATCAAAATTTTGCTTTAAATCCTTCTCAAAACATTGTATTCCTGAGGGAATACTGCTGCTATAAAAAATCTACAAAAAAAGGTCACGTTTGTGTCACATGACTTGGTACCTAGCAACAGGTGCGAAGCTGGACTAGAATTCATTGCATATACAAGAAAATGTTGTCTTTTATCTCTGTCCATTTATCATAGATATCAAAGCCTGATTAAATTCTCAGATTATCCACTGCCCACGTCTTTTTCTGTGGATTTTATCTCAGAAACTGTTGTACGGTTAAGCTCAACATCAAGTTTATCAACCTATACTACATCCAGTGCTCACTAACGCTGAGGGATCAGACAATCTTCGCATGCAACCTTTGAAGTCAATTGGGCAGACATCCCTAATTGTCGGGTTGCTACCTTGGGAAACCCTTATATTTTTGTCCTGCATGTGCTCCATGGTGTTCTTCAGGGAAACCATTATTTTTCTAGTAAGATTGGATGTTTCTACTTTCCATATATACCAAAATTTACATCCTTTTATTGGAAATAACCATCCGTAAATACTTTTGTGGGAAAGTATCTTTAAGACTAAGGGAATTTGCGATTTTTTTTTGTGTTCATTGAAATATATACTAATATTACTTCAATGAAATCAAATATTGATTTGAAAGATTTACAGTCTATGCAAATTGTAAAATAAGCATTTAATGTGAGAACTACAAAGGTGCACATTTTTTATTTCTATTGATGTATACAGGTAATGTATGAAAGATTATGCCATTGGAGTCATCATCGTAATAGAGAGGTACTGAATATAGGCATGTCTGCAATGGAGGCTTTTCTAAAAGAGGTACAGTAAATTATATGGTTTTCCGTTAAATATTATGACTGTTGTAGTAAATATTAATCAGTTAGATCAAGCATATACATATTAGATTTTGTACATATTTTGGGTTCACCTGCTGAAATCTTTGCAAATTTCAAATCAAAATGTTTTGTAATATTTTTAATTTCAGATTTCTGAGATGCTTGTCCAAAAATCTGGAGAAGGTCTGATTAGAGGAGCTGTATTTAAGGTATTACAAAGTTAAAAATTAGGAGTCGTACATATTTTGTATTTTTTTTTTCAAAGAGGTCAGCAAATGTTGATTTAATACACTTTTATCTAAGTAGGTTTGATATGTGATAATTAATTTATAATTAAATACACTACCATAGGAATTAATTACATTTATTTTCCTTGAAGGTAATCATACCCATTTAACAGATCCTAATAAATAATTTTTTTTTTGGTAGTTTTTCATGCAACAGTTTAGAAGTATAATGAATTCTAGTGAAGCTAACAGTAAAGAGATATCTTTAGCTATACGAGGTTATGGACTTCTGGCAGCTGTAAGTTATAGTTGCAATATTAGACATGTCATAAATTTATTTAGTATTCTCAAATATTGTACAGGATTACATTAATATGGTTAATTCAGCTTGCTATTATTGCATTACTCTGTATTTAATTTAATTAGGGAGCCATAGTGTCTCAGTGAGTAAGGCACTGGCTCGCTTACCAGGATCGTGACAAGGAGTAGGGTCGCCTGTCCAACCTCGTGGCTTTTCTCCGGGTCCTCCGGTTTCCTCCCACTGCTAAAGACCCCTACGCGCAAGCGAATTATTGTCATAAAATTGAACCATATGTTAGTCCCGAAATGACCTAGTTTGTGTCGAGTGGACGTTAAACCCCATTTCTCTCTCTCTCTCGATTACCAGGAGGTCTTGGATTCGCCGAATGAATTCCACAGGATTTTCTGACATGGTTTCCCCTTGTCAGTAGTGCAAGATGGAGGGTCTGGCAAAGAACAGTGTCTAGTTGTTTGGATGGGTCAAAAAACCAAGGTCCCGTGTACACATTGGTATGAATGTAAAAGAACCCATTGACAGTTTGAATTCAAAATAAGAGTGGGCTCTAGCGCCGCGGTCCGGTCAAAATTTCCCTCATAGCACACTGCATGGTGTATGCCTGTCTTCATTAACCTGGTCGGTGTAGAAAAGTAGGATGTTAAATTTCATTTCAATTATTAGTTATAGATAGATAATAAAATGTCTTGTATAGATATACATTGGGCAGAGTGCGATATGAAATTGGATATTGGTGTGTATACAAACCATATTGTTTTATCCTAATGCATTGTTGTATTTTTCAGCCATGTAAGAGTTTTCTAAAAGCCAATGATGTTCAATTTATGTTCAGTGAGATGATAACTAAATGTGAACAACAATTCTTTGGGTAAGATTAAGAAGAATATTTTGTGAAATAAACATTACATGCATATTTTACCTATAAAAAATCTGTTGAAATATATGGGTGATATTGAAAGATAATATTTTTTTATATTTTATTTATTTATGGTTTTTTTTATATAGAAATACAGAAGACTTACAGGATAAATTGCATAGTTTACATAGTTACCTTGAGGCATTGGCCAATATAATCAACGAAGTCAATGAGGTAAATAGCATTGGGCTGTAGGTGTTATAAATATTCTGTGTAATTTTGCTCCACAATTTCAGTCCACAATTTCTTGGTAGCATTCTGGAGGTTACTTTGGTAAAACGAATATTAGTGTTTATTTTGACAATTTATAATGACAACTTTCAGGGTTATGTCATATAGATACGAAACCATATTTACCCCTCAGAGGCCTCAGTCATTGAAACTTTCTACATTTTAATTGGTTGTTCAGCATGATGAAAGGGACATATATCTATTGCTTTAAACCTTGTGAAAAAAATGTATTTCTGTATTGAAAAATAATTTCCATCGGTATGAAATGAACAAATGTATTTTTATTTTAGGTTTCAGACACATTTGCATCTATTGTCGAACATCTTTTGGTTTTACAACTTGAGAATATACCATCTATAAATGAGAAAATACATTATAGCTGTATTAGATCTGTTATACATGTATTACTCTCTTTAATGACTAAAGGTTCAACATTTCATCAAGTATTATCTGGAGTTGGTAAGTTATTCATTATTTAAAACAATTGTAATGTATACAATGTTTCATATTTCTGATCATGGTATTATATTATTCTAATGTATCATTATATGTTTTCATTGCAATTAGACCATCTATTGTACTGTGTGTTTCATACAGTAATCAGAACATGATGTAGTGTGGGTATAGGTTATTTTCATTGTATCACAGTGTAATGAGAACATGCTCCCATCCTATTGTAATATTGTCTAGTTCAGTGTTTCAGAGTGTAAACAGAACATGCTCTCATCCTATTGTATTATTGTGTATTTTCAGTGTATCAGGGTGTAATCAGAACATGCTCTCATCCTATTGTATTAGAAACTGAACAAACAGAGGAAGATTTGACAGCAGTTGATACATTTAAAGAAAAAAACATTTCATATAGAAATTATCTGGATGTTTGGACTCATTTATTAGAAAGTGCTAAAATCAAGGTGAGAGATCCTGGTGAACAGCTTTCAATAAGTATTCCAAAGTTTGTTATCTTATTAAATTGCCCAAAAAGATTGATTAATTAAGAAGCATTAGTGTTTTGGGGGTCTTCGCAGGTTATTAAAAAAATATTTTGAGGTGTATGGTTAGTCTGATTTGTTAATACAGTTAAATCAAGGATGTTCAAAATAGACTGTGTGCAAAATTTGAGACAAATTGTCAAAGCTGTCCCCGAGGTACAGGCATTTTATCTTTGCATTTATCAAACTGTCTTTTAGTGGTTTTCAAGGAGTTTAACGAATGCTTGTGAAAATTGTTTTTGGTGAGTGTGATGTTTCCTCTTTGATTTTGAATTAGATGAATAATTTGTAATTACTAATGTTTTTTTTTACTCTTTAGGATTTGAGTACTCTGGGTATTTCTATTGAGGAAAGAACACAATTAACTGATGCTGTATATAATGAACTAATGACCGCCATTTTAAAAGTGCTGAATAAGTTAGATCTGACATCAACATCATCTACAGAACTTACAGAACAGGTTAGTAGTCATGTATACTGTATACTGTAATATATGCGTATTCTAATTTATTCTAATGCAATACATATTCATTTAATACATATTTATATCATGGCACAAACAAGGGTCATGTTTTAGAGAGAAGTGATTTCTCCCTACAGACAAAATAGGGAGTGAGGGAGACTAGTAGAAGAGATCAGATTAAACAAATTGTTACAGTACCAGTCTGTCATGTTCAGCCACTTTACCATCTAAATTTAAAGATGCATTATGTAAGATTTAGATAAAGAGCTGGCTGTTCTTGCTATGATAGTTAATAATAGATAATGCAAAGGAAATAGATCGAAAATTTCAGTCAAATTACTTCATTATGAGTGAAGTTATGACTGTTTGAAGAATAGCGTAGCCTCGATTTTCATTGCTACCATTGTTACGATAATAAACAAAGGCTCTATTACCCATTTTTATATTAAATGGCGATCATATTTCAAAATCACAACCATCCCATTTTCTAGAGTGTTGATTTGGGGCTTGTCATTTGATTAAATGTCTAATTAATAATTTATATAACATAAAAGAAACACTGGCTGTAGGCAGATTTACATAATGCATTTTTAATTAAAACTTTTATAAACCAGTAATTGTTATTCCATATAAGGTCTAGTGTGTAGAAATAGGCAACTAATGGTGCTGTATTATGGTGTAAAATAAATCTGATTAAAATATTCATTTGTTTCACTTTTTAAATATTTTCAGGTAGATGGTGCAAGTACAAGTGCTGATGTTTCTATGGAAACTGATGATGTGTCTGCTGATCCGACCGTTGGTGTTCAAGCCACTAAACCTAAAGATTTTCAAGTTTTTATCAATTTAGTTGATTTCTGCAGGTATATGCATGATTACTGGTATATACTTTTACATACCACGATAGAACTGCTCATTTCACAGTGTTTCATTGTTTAATACTTTTAACAAATTTATCTAAATTCATGATCAAGAAAAAATTATCTTTGATTTAAGAAATGAGTATTTTACACTTGTTTTACTTCGTTACAGAAATGAGTATTTTACACTTGTTTTACTTCGTTACAGAGATCTATTACCAACCAAATGTACAGAACTTTTTGAAAAATGGATATTTACATTTAGTCATAATATTATTCTACTATCCACCAAGTAAGTTATTTTGTTAGAACAATATTTGTATTCAGGATGTCTGAATGGGATTGGGGAAGAGGCTTAGCCTATGTAAAACCACTCTCCCCAAGAAAGTGAGTGTAGCTTGTGTTTAAAATGGTTGTTGCAAAATAATCAAAAGATTTTAAGCTGATTATGTGAACTTATAACAGAAAAGATCCCTACAAACAGTGGCAAATATCAGTATCTTACATTTACTGTTATTTGCACATTATTCTTTCTGTACTTTGACACCGCCTTCATCTTTTATTTCGTTTCTGTTTTCAGAAATCCTTTAGTTAGTGGATTTTATAAATTTCTTGCTATGTGTATGAAGATATCCAACAAACTCTCATATTTCCAGGTAAGCATAAACTTAAAAGGAAATCGTATATTTTATGTTTTATAAATTAAGAGATGGCTCTAAAGTTTGTTTGTATTAGTATGGTACTAAAAAGAATTTAATTTTACAGAGTGTTGCACCAATATCTCCATCAAAATCTCATGTTGCTATGGAAACTGAAGACTCAAGTGAAAATGAAAAACAAAAAGCTGTCTGCTATTTACTTGTAAAGAAATTTTCTAAAGAGGTATGAACAAGTATTCAATAAAATTGGTACTTGTGATAGTATTTAATTTGTCTCAATTCACAAGTTGTATGGTCTATGGGGGAGTTTGGTGGCCGAATGGTCTAACGCATGCACTTTAGTTCATAAGGTCTGTCACCGAGTCTAGTGGAGTGGTTTCAATCCCACCCTTGTATGCTACAAGGAGTAGGGCTTCTTGCCTTACTTTGTGAGTTTTCGTCTGGATTCTCTGGTCTCTTCCCCCTGCTAAAGATTCCTAAACGCAATTGAATTATTGAAATAAAATTGTATCGTATGTTAGTCCTGAAATTATTTAGTTTGTGTTGAGTGCACGTTAAACCCCATTTGTCTCATTCTGTATTATCAGATTTAATCAGCATGGATTACAAAACATAGTTGTTTTGGAGGACGAGTTCTCTGGTTGAATATAAAGTGCATTGTTATATTATTATAGGTTTTAGTTCGTATGAAACAATATCAAGATGATTTATTAGCAGCATGTTTAACATTTGTATTATCATTACCTAAAGAGATCATAACAGAACAAATGATAGAAGTTATACCTGCAGTACAGGTAAATATATAAATATTTACTAGTATATTTTGTCATTAATAACATAATTAACTTAATCTGAAAAGTTAATATTTTCAAAATTAAATAAATAGGGTGAGTGATTTTGTTTCTCAAAGTGTGTCGGTGCTATTAAACAGGTTAATAAAATTGTATTGTTATACTACAGAAGTATTTGATTTTCAGTCCTAAAAATTCGCCCTTTATCTGACAGTTACAGTTTCGGTTATTCGTGGTATTTTTGTATTTGATATTTGAAAACAATACATATAAATGATTCTTCAGAAGTTGGATTTCTAAAACGAGTACTATGAAAGAGCTGATATCCTTCAAAATCTTACCTTTAAGTAGCAGTATTGCTGAACAAACCATGAAACTAAAACATCTGTATTATGACCATCTAAAACTTTTAGATTCTTACTATGAAAAGTCTAATTCTTAAATTTGTTGGTTACCAAAATAATGTTTGGTTACAGTAAGTAACATTATAGAGATATAAACAATATGCATTATTTAAGAATATTGCAAGTACCAGAGCTTAAACTGTTAGAATTGCTAAATTAATGAACATATTCAGCATTTATGTCTTACATAGACTCATTGCTACTGTAAAGAATAAACTTATTGTTGTTAAAATTCTTAAACCATGGGCATTTCACACCACATTCTAAAATATTTTGTTTTTTTGTTATAGGTTGCACTGTCATTGGGTTTAAGTTATCTACCATTAGCTGGCATAGCTATTGATGCTCTAGAGTACTGGTGTCATAATCTGCCTCATCATATAATACATCCATATTATTCAGCTATATTACCATACTTAGATAATTATATTAAAACAGTTGATAAAGGTAACATTATTTATTAGTGATGGTTATAAAGCATAAAAAAATCCATTTTTTTATGATCTTAGTTGTGGCTAAACAGTAACATGTATCAATCACAGAAAATTGAATTATTAATCATATTGCTTCCCATCTCCACAGAATAAGAAAAGTGAGATAAGAAAACATATATTATGAAAATTGCATTTTCAGGTGCAGAAGAAATTAAAGTGGAAAGTACTGTTAGTACTGGTAAAGGGAAGAAGAAACTTCCTATCCGTTTGATACGAAAGCAAAAAATTGAATCAGAAAAGGTATGTTTATTTAATGACGCATACACTCTTTCAGGATAACAACATTAATTTTATTTTATTATGAATTGCCAAAGTAACCATATTTATCATTGGCTGTATCGATTAATAGCTATATAATTCTCCAATATCTAAATTATAATATTGTTGTTAATGTTATACCATATTATAATGTTATGTTATCATTCAAAATAGTTAGTTAAATTGGGGAGAAGTTGTTTATTTCTTAGTACACCTCAACTAACCTGTAATTTTGATTTCTTAGTACACCTCAACTTACCTGTAATTTTACCATTTTTAATGCTACCAAGTGCCCACCCTGTCATAACATTGTATCATCATCTCCTTACCAGCAAGGTGGTTCTAGAATTTTGTTTTTGATGCACTTGTATTAAGCATACCTAATTTAATGCCATGCTAGGGAGCTAAAAAAAAAAAAGAAGAAATATGCAATAAATAATTTGGTATGGTTCAATTTTGACATTGTAATCTTAAAATTTAAATTTCAGAGCTATGAATCAAAATTAGCAGTTGTAAAACAAAGAGTTGTGCAATATCTTGGATCACTAGGTGGCAGTGTAAATTATGCCTTGTTAGCTAATTCTGAAGAAGAAATAAGTAAACAAGCCATAGCCTGGGATACTAATAAACATCTTCGATTTGATATTCCGTTTATAGATATGAAACCTATTATATACTTTGGTAAGTTTGAGTGTATAAGCTTTTAAAGGGTTTCTCATTTTTTCCCCAATGTTTAAAGCAGTTTTTTTTATTATTTAAAATAACACCATTTGGGTGCTTAAGACCATTTGTACTCTCCTTAATTTCCTCTTGGAATAGTCTTGTGAGGTTATAATGTCAGAGTCAGCAATTTATAACAACTAAAATATGTTTTATTCTTCAAACTTGTTAATAGAGAAATTCCAGGTATATTTCTGTGAATATAATTTGTTAAAAACAACTCTTCATCACACAGCTTCTGTTCTTCTTGAGTCTGTGGATTCCTCACTCATTGGCTTAGCAATTACACAGATTACTTTCACCTGCTTCACTGTTTAGTTTCTAGCTATTTATCTCCTATCATCGCTTCATTTTTTTAAAACTGGTAAATTCTATGTGAAAGGTTCCTAGAGCCCTTTACACTTAAGGCCAGTTGACAAAGTTTAAAATTAGTCTGGGTCATATCAGGTCTCTTAACGCAAAATTACATGCAAACATTTTAAGAATTATGTAACATCTATAGCTGAATCAGTAATTTGGCTGTAATCTTTAGGACACAATTAATCAGCTATTTTTTCATTTTTTACAAGTACTTTATTTAGTAGACCTAGTGAAAAATGAGTGAATATCAAAACTCTACCAAGTGAAACGATTAAAATGGCTGTCACATCTCATCCTAAATACGTTTTTAATACAGTTATTGGAATATTTGATATATAACTATTTCTAATGCAGATCCATTCTTACCCCATGTTGTGGAATTAGCAATGAAATCAAGTGACAGACAGACGAAAGTTGCAGCTTGTGAATTATTACATTCATTGATTTTATATTGTCTTGGGCGTGGTGCACAGCAGCCTGGTGAACAACAGAAACGTTATCCTATGGGAGCAATATACAAGAAACTATTTCCTGCAATGCTACAGTTAGCATGCGATGTAGAATTGGTGTGTTTACTTTAATTAACTCATGGATATACTTATTAGTCACTTTCTCCTCACCAGGAATGTACCTTTTGGTTTTGGGCAATTGTGGGATTCTCTGCCGAGATCGGGTCAAAGTTATCCTGTTGGTTTATTTTTTATTATGGTATATGTTTTAATGCTTTGAGTCTGTTGTGTGATATATTGACATTTTAGCATATTATTGATAATGTATTTCTTGTCAATCTCTTTCTAAAACTAGTACCGATATTTGAGTTTTCAATGGAGTAAGACTTAGTCTAATAGACAGTGCAGAACTAACTTTTCAATGAAAACACAAAACAACACTACAGATGATAAAGTAGCAAAGGTACACACATATATAAAAATTCCAAGAATTGTTATCACTGGAACTGATTTAGACAGAAATTTGTTGATTTTCATCTATAAATCTAAGAATTTAGTCATTATATATAAAACTGTAATTTCAGGTATCCAAGCAACTATTTGAACCATTAACAATGCAGATCATTCATTGGTTTACTAACAACAAAATGGCTGAAAGTATGGAAACTATGGCTCTACTTGACACAATATTTGTCAGTATTTTAAATTATATTAAATTTACTTTAATAAGGGTTCTGTTTCATAAATAACGTACAATATTTATAGATTTGGGTTAGGTGTCCAAATGGTCTAACTTGTGCTTTAGACCCTAAGGTCTTTTATTGATGCAAGTAGCGTGGTTTCATTCCCACACTTGTACATGACTAGGAGTAGGGTCACCTGCCAAACCTTATGGATTTTCTCTGGGTCTTCTGGTTTCCTCCCACTGGTGAAGACCCCAACATGCAAGTGAATTATTGAAATAAAATTGTACCATAATTATGTTAGTCCCAAAATGTCTTAGTTTTTTTAAGTGGATGTTAAACCCCATGTCCTTTTCTCTCTTTCAGGACAGTATTATACAATCATCAGATACAGCTTTAAGAGATTTCAGCGCTAAGTGTTTAAGAGAATTTCTCAAATGGTCATTAAAACAATCTTCTGTAAAGGTCAGTATATTTTGATGTATATGTTGAAATTGCTATTTCCTGATTATTTTTAATTAGTTACATGTATGCGAAACAAAATGATAGTTAGAGAAAGAAAGTTAAAATGGTCAAGTGTGTTTCATATGTTGTAATGAAAGTTAAAATTGTTAAGTGTGTTTTATATGTTGTAATGAAACAACTGTATTTATTTAATTTTTTTGTTTCAAGGCAACTGAAAAGAGTCCTGTTAATACTAGTTCGATGTTGAAGAGAATATTTAGTTTTGCATTACATCCAAGTGCCTTTAAACGTTTAGGAGCAGCTCTTGCCTTCAACAATATATACCAGATATTCAGGTAGGGAAGATAATATTTCATAGATTTTTTTTATGGGATATTTTAAAAATTCATTGAGATTTGTATATTTCGGACAGAGATGTTATCTAATTTTATTTGGCTACCAATTACTTTATTTAATGATTGACAGTGTTCTAGAATTACCCTTTTTTTGTTTTCCTTATTTAAGAGAAGAAAAGAGTTTGGTGGATCGCTACATTTTCCAGATTTTAGTACATTTTGTGGAAAGTCTCAGCTTAGCTCACCAAGATGAGAAATCACTGGGTAATACTTATTTGTATTTTTTTAAAATTAGCTTATGTGTAAATAAAATATAGATGACACAAGAGAATTGGTGCTGTTTATTTATTAAATTAGTTTTCAGTAGTGTCATTTGTTAAATACAGGAACACAAGAACAGTGTGTTGCAGTTTTAGACCATTTACAAAGAATCATCATTTTCCATGCTGACTTGTTGTCTAAACAAAGTAAACTTAGACCAGAACCTAGGTAGGGAATATGTTTTATAATATACTCAACTAATGGCCATAGATGGCCCAATGTATGTGTGTATGATATATTAATGTTGCATCTTCTTGAAGTGTCCTCGGATGAAAAGTTTGGAAATTGAATGGTCCAATTAGAAAATAACCACACAGAACCTCATTTATAATACATAAATTGTAACAAAGAATTCATAATTATACTGTTTGTTTATTTGGAGTCACCATTATTGTGAATCTAAAGTTGTTATAATCCTAATGATAATATAAGAACTATGACTAAACATCAAATTTGGGATTTGGCTCAACAATTAGAGATTGACTGTAACAAGTTCAATTGTGATTCAAGTTTTCAGCCATATATTCCTGTTCACCCAGTAGTACATGAGTACTGGTAGGGTGGTGTTTTGCAAATACACACAAAAAATTGTTGTACAGTTTGGGCAGCATAAGCTAGGGGACTTTCTAAGATTTAAATAGCTCCTTGGTAAAGGGACTTAATCTGGCTATACTTGTATCTTAGACCTGGGTAGTAATCGTGTTTGTATTGATTAATTATTTGGATGGTTATTATTGTAGAGAATGGAGTAGTAAGACATTAGATATTGCTGTTAGATGGTTATCAAGACAATGTGGACGACCTCAAACTGAATGTAGACATGCTTGTATGAAATTAGTTTATCAGTTATGTACACATGTGCAAGGTAAGTTTCCATGACATTCTGATATTCACCTTTTCATTTAATAAATTATCTTTATGTTATTTTTTCTTTTTTAAATTTCATGCAAAATAACTTTGTAACATATTTATTAACAGGAATTAAAGCAACAAAAGATTATTTTGGTACATTTTTAAAAACTGGTGGTGCACCTCACTTTATTTCAAGGTAGGGATTAAACTAATCCTTTGGGTATCTTTATTAGGTCTAGGAATAAATATGTTCTGACCTGGGCCAATTAGAGGAGAGATGGGCTGGCTGAGAATCAGTCACGCCACTATAATAAGGACCAAAAATTATCCCAGTCCAACAACCCTCTCAGCATTTATAGTTTCAAAAGAGATATCAGTTGATAGTGGAATGTCCATCCGTCCGTCTGTCATCCACAATTTCTTGTGAACGCTCTAACTCCAAAAGTTATTATCCGATTGTTTTGAAATTGATATATGTGGTTTAAATTAGTGAGATGAAGAATCCTATTTAATTTCTGAAATTTATATGCCAAAAGTTATCATCTGATCTTTCTGAAATTTATATGCATTATTTAAATTAGTGAAACGAAGAAGCCTATTGAATTTCAGCAATTTCCATTTATTGTGTCTAGAGTTATGGCCCTTGTTTCACTTTATTGAACCTTGTAAATGCTGTAGCGCCAAAAGTCATCATCAGATCTTTGTGAAGTTTATATGCATTATTTAAATTAGTGAAACCATAAAGCCTATTGAATTTCAGCATTTTACAATAGTTACTTCTAACGTTATGGCCCTTGTTTTACTTTGTTCAACCTTGAAAATGCTCGATTAAATGAAAGTTATCATCCAATATGTATGAAATTTAAATGCATCATTTAAATTTGTGAAACAGAGGTCTATTGAATGTCAGCAATTTCCATCAATAATTTCTAAAGTTATGGCCCTTGTTTTACTTTGTGAACCTTGTGAACGTTTGAATGACAAAAGTGATCATTCGATCTGTATGAAATTTATATGCATTATTTAAATTAGTAAAACGAAAAAGCCTGTCAAATTTCAACAATTTCTATAGACTACTTCCAGAGTTGAGGCCCTTGTTTCAGTTTGTAGAACCTTGTTAACCCTCAAACGACAAAAATTATAATCTGATCTGTATGGAACTGTCTTGTAAAGGCCCCCAAATATGCGATAACTCTCGTCGACCGCTCAGACGATTTAGCTGCTGTGGGCGTATGTTTTGTTGCCTGTCAACCTATCTTTGAGTCTGATGTGTTCCTTGTGATCAATAAAGAAATATGCTTATGATCAAAAAATGTACTTGGTTAGTGATCTAAAAATTAATGTTTTTTGTTTTTCAATTATTTTTTAATTTGTTTGTTTGTAGGTTTGAAGGTGGTGGAACGGCTACACATGGTAAAAGTGGTATTTCAGCATGTCCTACCATGATTAAAGTATCAGAAGTCTTCTCACTTACGTCAGCTCTAAACTGGTTTGATATGTTACTAGCTGCATTAGATTGTTATACCTGGGTTTTTGGTGAAGGCCTGTTGACACCATCAGATTTATTATCAGGTATGATTGTCAAATAAGCTAGAATTTAATAGATCGATGACAGAGAGTTGTCTAGGAATATTAAATGCTTCTGTAATACAGGTATTTTAGATTTTTATAAAGTTAAGTTGCTTGCACAGAGCACAAAAAGGTTTGTTTTATTTTTCAGAGAAGTCAGCTAATACTTCAAAAGTATTTGAGAGTTTGAAGTATTTTTTAAAGTATGTTGCTTTAAGTGAGATTGGAGACGCTGCCAAATTATTTAAGAAAAATGTAGACGCAGATCTTTTTACACCTCTCGAGATAGAACAATACAACAGGTAAATTTATTATTTATATCATCTTCAACTCTTGAGCACTTAGACCCCCCCAAACTTGCCTGACTAGGGCCCAGTGGGCCTATTCACATATCTCAGGCTATTTGAGCAGATCTAAGGAACAGCAGTTTCGGGCTGTCCAGGGATGTACTTTAATTGATATATAACATTTCTCAAATTGTCTTCAAGGAACTAGGGTAGTCAATATTAACATATACCAAGTGCTGTAAAGGGTTAACAAATATAGGTGTTTAGTGACTAAAAATCAATGACATTTTGCCTCCATTTTCCAATTTTAAAATTTATTACTATTTCAGAAATAAATGTACAGTTATTGTGAGATTATGGAATTTTGTTGCTGTTATTGTTGGAAAATATCCGAAAGAAGCTTTCAAGGTAAAGAAGTCTCTTTCTTAAATTGTTGCAGAACAACAACATTGTGCATGATTAATGTTCTGTGTAAAATTCTCTGATCTTCTGTCAAGAATTGCAATTATATATATGAAATTGATGTCATTTACAATACAAACATAGCTGTAATGGCAAACTAATAAAAACATTTGTATTATTTTTATGTTGTTGTTCTTAGTGTTTAACGTCCGCTTCCACAAGTCTTATTTTTCATTTTCATTATCTTAGCAAACACGCAGGGGTCTTTCCTGTGAGTTGAAACCAGAGTAAACCCACAGGGTTGTGAAGGCGCCCCTATTTTCAAGCCACATACACTCACACCATGCTAAATGATTCTGGTTATAAACTAAATATACTGCCATGATAATATTTTTCTTTTCAGGTGATACCTAAAGATATATGGAGTGAAGATTTATGGGAATTATTAATTAAGTGTGTTGTACAACCTCAAGCTGTAGGTTTTAATATGGGGGATATAGAAATTATAAACAAATTACCAACAGAGGTAAATAATTTAAAAACCTAGTATTAATATTGTTCAGTGGTTATTATACATGAACTTGATTTTGATGTTAATGTTTACTTTGTATTACCAAGAAATTTATTTTAAAATAAATGTTTCTTATGCTTGATCAGGTAATAAATATAAAGTGATTGTTTTGATTTCAGTTAGAACAAGTATTGATTATTTTTAACAGATATCTACCTGAGAATCATTCTAAAGATTTAAAAATAGCTTTGAGGTCACATCTGCAAGGAGACAGGTAAACTTTCAAACAAAGCATTATATTATTGGGATTTCATTTGTTGTTGTGATTACTATATACGTCAGTAAATATCATTCGATTGGCGAACAACCAAACACAGTTGCATTGGTTGCAACATGAAAATACCAGACATCCCATGATAATTCAATGGTTCATACAGTGAGTATGTTTCTGGCTCACTAACCAGGAGGTCCCAGTTTTGACTGAGGGAGTTGTGTGTGTTTTTCCAGTTTGTTTTCATTTTCCCCACTGAAAGTAGACTGTGTCATTGCTATCATGGCCAAATTTCCCTCTGTATGGTGTATGTCTGTCTTCATTTGTTCGGATGGGGCACAAAAGTAAGAGTTAGACTATAAACCCTATAATTCATTTCATATTTGTCAGATTTTACAATGTGGACGTATAATAAATCAAGTTTTATTTTTCATTTATGAAGAGACTTGATGAAAAAACAATTGCCGTCGCCCCACTTTGTGTGTGTGTTTATGCTTGTGCGTCTGGGGGTCGCCTACAGGCCAAAATTCTTAAAATGGATTGTCTTGAAACTTTCCTTATATCTTAGGAATGATCCCTATTGTTTTTGGTGCATGCCTGACCCTCAGGGGCAGAGCCACGGACAATTTTTGTATTTGTTTGTTTATCGTTTGCAGGCTCATTTCCTAACGAATCATCTTGAAACTTTGAACACAGATTCCTAATACCCTAAGGATCATCCCTATTGTTTGTGGTGCATGCCTAACCTCCAGGGGCAGAGCCATGCCCATTTTCTCTTTGTGTGTTGCCTACAGGCCACAATTCTTAAAGGATCATCTTGAAAACTTTTCATACTTATTCCTTATACCCTATGGATGACCTCTATTTTTTTTGGTGCATGGCGACCTCTTAGGACACAGACACGCCCAGTTTTTGTTTTTGGCGTCGAAAAAGGCCACATTTCTGAACGGATTATCTTGGAACTTGGTATGCTTATTCTGTGTACCCTAAGGACGGCAATAATTATTGATTTTGGTGCATGATCCACCCCACTTGGGCAGTGCAACGCCCCTTTTTTTGGTAACATTTTGTCTGTAAATAATCTACAGGTTGCAATTATTAACTGATTTGCATCCAATTCCGCATGATCCATCATAGGGCTGTACCTATTTGTATTGTTCCATATCCAACCCCCGGGGGCCCGAGCCAAACCCAATTTTTGTGTATATCGTCTACAGACTTCAATTCTGAATGGATCATCTTGGAACTTTACATATTTATTCCTTATACCGTTAAGACAGGAATTATTTATTTGGGTGCATGCCCCTACCCCCAGGAATGTGGATGTATATTTCAGCGGTACTGATGATCTTGTTATATTTCTTTTAATTGTAGAGATATGTTTGGATTGTTGCCAATATCATTAAATGATCCTGGTATAGCTCACAATATATTACATCATCTAGTTATTGGTTATAGTTTGTTAAATAAAACACATCTATTACAACATGTAGTACAAACACAGAATAAAACACAACTACTCGTCTTTAATACAGTGTATAATGTAAGTCATCTTTATATACTATTTACCACAAACGAAATGGGGGGATTGAGTGGTCATTGTACATGACAACAAGTAAGATCGCCTACCAAAACCTTGTGTGTTCTCTCAGGAACCTTCTGTTAACTCCCGTACAGACAAGCTAATTATTGAAATAAAAATTGTGCCAGAGAGAGAAACCATATATTTTAACATCTACTTGACTGTAACCCAATCATTTCAGGACTAACATATAGTATATTTATTTCAAAAATTTGTTTATTTTGAATTTGTCCATTCCATAGATCGTGAGGTATTAGCAGTTCTCTGTCTTTTATAGAATAATTTTTTAACATGAACCAATATAGTCACCATATAACACAATAATATGTTTATTGATTTATTCAGCATCATTTTGTTTAAAAGTTACAAAATGACTTTATATTTTATTGATTCTCTGGGCTATAAGATACCAGATCACATGCTTTTCTTTTTCTGTGTTTTAGAGTGTTTTTGAGAAGACAGGCAGTAAGAAAACAGTTGTGTCATTAACACCAACAGCCCTTGGCTTGGGACGTTCTTTATTAGAATTGTCTTTTCAGTTAGATTTACCGGTATGTTTGTTAAAAAGTAAAATGTAATAATCCTGTCAATATATCTGTGTTACTGTTAATATTTGGCATCCATGGCACACCATATATAGGATATAGTTAACACAGTAGCACCTATAAGTTTCGCTAAATCTTTGAATGGCCTCTTGCTAATCTGATTGAATCCAAGGCGGGGGATTGTCTACCGTTGATATTTTGATTTTGTTTTCTTATTTAATTCGATATTTTTAAAGAAATTAGAAAGTCTTTAAAGTATTTTTTCTAATTTTCAGGCAACTATATTAATAGAATCGTTATTAAACCAAGATGGTATACAAAATAAAAGTATGAATGTCCAGTTACAACATGGAGACTTGTTTTTTACCAGATATAAGTCAACCATTTGTCATTCTATAGCAGAACAAGCAGAAACCGTTATCCCTCTGCTAGCCGATAGAGCAGTTGACAATGCTAGAAAAATCAGCAGTTTTCTTGTCGCTACTGTGGATTATATTGCAAGAGACAGGACTCTCAGAAAAAAGTAGGTGAAATCTTGACTATCAAATTATTAAACAACTTGGTACAAACCCTGACCATACAAAATCTATTACCAACAGAACTCCATACGATTAAAAACCTTTCAACCACATGGTATCACCAACAAAATCTGAACTCAGGCATACTGCATTTATTTTCTTTATCGACAATGTTATTCGACTAATTTGATAGATTTATATGTGAATTTATATTTAAAAAATTCTTAAAAAATCCACCAATTGTCTGCAGTGTTATTCAACTTTTCAGGAATAATTTTGGTTGACATCTGAAACATTGTCCTTTCTTTTTGTTTTTAGAGAAGGTGCTAAAGTTGCATCCATTATTTTATCACAGTGGGATAAATTTTCAATTTGGTGGACCAACAAAGCTTCTGCGGAGTTTCAGAGTCTGGCTATAGCTTTGCTTACTAAAGTTTTACTTATTGATAGTAAGGTAGATAAATTATTTTAAATAGTTTTCAACTGATGTTTTTGATTTCTCTTTTATATTCACATGATGTAGCGATTTAAAGGAAAGGTCCATGAAAGCAAGAATTTAATATACAGAGTTTATTAACATGACCGATAATCACAATTTTGAAGTGGAAGCCCTTGTATATACACATTTATAGATAGTTCTTTAAAGTTGCATTAGCTAAGATTAGATAAAGAGCTGACAGTTCTCGCTATAATAGTTACAAAATAGATAATGAAAACAGAAAATGCTGAAAATTTCAGTCAAATTGTTTCACTCTGAACCAAGATATTAACAATTTAATTTTTGGCTAGCCTCGATCATCATTACTAACGTAGGTACTGTAATGAACAAAGTCTTGATTTTCCATTTTTACGCTGAATTATCCATCACAAAATGTATTCAAATCCACCAAAGATTGCAGGCTAATGATGGCATCAAGAGATGATTATGGTCTGGATCAGTTACTTAATGTCTGATTAATAATTTAGATAAACATTTCAGGCCTTAAGAAAGACCTGCAATAGGCAGACTTAGCTCTTGCATAATGCATTTTTAATCAAGGGGGTGGGGTTGCTATTCACGATAAGATTCATTAGCTATTTAACAGACTGATATGATAATGCTGTGTATTTATTTTGTTATAGGTAACATCTCATACTTTGCATCCATCTTTTTCTATCGTATTTAATATGTATGAGATAATGTTAACAGATAGTAAAACTAATCTAGCATTTAAGGTAAGGCATGAATCATTTGAGATTATTGAAATGTACCACACAGATCTGAAAATTCTCTGTTTGTGACGGATGATTTAAAGAGAATAAACTGCCATATAAATTTTGTAATTGAAGCACAGAGTATTGATCTTTTGGTGGCAACATTATGTAAAATTTAGATAAAGAGCTGACCATTCTTGCTATAATAGCTCAAAAATAGATAATGGAAAATGAAAATGTTGAAAATTTCGTTTAAATTACTTCATTCTGACCAAGTTACCACAGTTTGTAGTTTTGACAAGATGTGTGTATTATCGTAACCGTAGTACTGGTATATTTGAGACTTAGCCTCGCTTCCCCATTTTTAAATTGAATTTTTAAATGGCGAACCGTTGTAATCTAGTTAAAATCTTGAGTATCCGATGCCATCTAGAGTTGATTATGGTCTTGTTTTGTTAATAAATGTCTAATAAATAGGCCTAAAGAAAGACCTGCAATTGGCAGTTTTAGCCCTTGCTTATAAACCTGTAACGGTAAATCTCTATGATCTTTGGGGTATATTCTATGCCAAGAATAACTTGCGGTCTGAAAGTCGGGGAAGGTTTTGGATATCTACAGGGAAATTTGGGGTTATTCTCCTGAAAGTTTTTCTATAAACCTGTAACAGGTTATTCTTCCAGGGTAGGTTTTATTTTCCATAAGAAAACATGATATAAGGTTTTTCTTGCGGGAATTCTGGGATATTATTCTCATCTTGTGTACATGTAAACAGACGGTTTATAAGCAAGATAAAGTCCTCGACTTCGGTTATGCTGGGGAAGAAAGACTTCAGAAAAACCCTTTTTCTCGGGTTATTTTCTTCAGTCTTTCTTTCCCCAGCATAACCTCAGTCTCGTGCTTTATCCTACACGTAATGTATGTTTAAATTTGAATTTTTAGCATTGATAGATTTTTCAGAAATGTTGTAATGCAACTAATTTTGACAGTTAACCCATTTTTATTTTAGATTTGATGAAAACTACGTTATTATTTTCAGATCACTGACAATTTTAAGTTTTATCTTTTCAGAATCATGTTTTAGACTTACTGCCATTCTTTGCCATGTCACAAGATACTTACATAAAGAAATTAAAGTAAGTTACTCTTATATTTGTCCCCCGCCTTTCGAAAAAAGCAGGGGACTATTAAAATGTGTCTGTGTGTCTGTCTCCATCCGTCCGTCCGTCACACTTTTTGAGACACAATAACTCTCCTAATTGAGCTAGAATGTCCAAACTTGGTGTAGGTGGTTGATGCTTTGGGACACGATAACTTTAGTTCTAATTAAGTGAGAGTGATGAAATTTGGTGTAAATTTGACTAAGTTCGATAATCCGCATTTTCTGCTGAGGGTAAGCAGAGCGATAAGAAATTTGATTGGCCGAGATTTTGGAACACAATAACTCTTCTTGTAATTGAGCTAGAATGTTCAAACTTGGTGTAGGTGTTTATTAGGTCAGTGCCTTGATGGTGTTCAAAGATGAGCATTTTTGCTCAGGGTAAGCAGAGATAAGCAATTTGATTGGTTGATGCTTTGGGACACAATAACTTTAGTTCTAATTAAGTGAGAGTGATGAAACTTGGTGTATAGTTTTATTACATCAATACCATGACTAAGTTTGATAATGAGCATTTTCTGCTCAGGGTAAGCAAAGCGATAAGCAATTTGCTTTGATGAGACTTTGGTACACAATAACTCTCATTCAAATTGAGCTAGAATGTTTACACTTGGCGTAGGTGTTCATTAGGTGAATGCCTTGATGGAGTTCGAAGATGAGAATTTTCTGGTTAGGGTAAGCAGAGATAAGCAATTTGATTGGTTGATGCTTTAGTTCTAATTGAGAATGATGACACTTAGTGTATAGTTTTATCACATCAATACCTTGACTAAGTTCGATAATGAACATTTTCTGCTGAGGATAAGCCGAGCTATAAGCAATTTGATTGGTCGAGACTTCTATTGAGGTAGAATGGTCAAACTTGGTGTAGGCGTTCATTAGGTAAATACCTTGATGGATTTCGATGATGAACATTGTTGGCTTATGGTAAGCAGAGATAAGCAATCTGATTGGTTGATGCTTTGGGGCACTATACCTTTGGTTATAATTAAGTGAGAGCGACGAAACTCTGAGTATAGATTCAACATATCATTACCTTGACTAAGTTTGATGATGATAATTTCATTCTTAGGCTAAATAGCGATAAGCAATTTGATTGGTCAAGACTTTAGAATACAACAACTCTGCTTTTAATTGAGGTAGAACATTTAAACTTTATGTAGATGTTCATTAGGTGAATCTCTTGACTGAGTTCAATGATTAACATTTCGAGCTTTGGGACAAGATAACTTTGATTCTATCTGATAGAGAGTGATGAAACTTTGTGTATAGTTGATAATCAGTTTCATTGCTCGATACTTTTGAAAAAAATAAATGTGCGATTAATTAATGTGTTGTCTATTTATTTTGGGATTTCATCGGGGGACATCAGCACCACTGTTGGCTTGTTATGTTCCTGATATAGGAGCCACGGTCTCTCAGTGAGTAAGGCACTGGCTCACTAACCTCAGATTTTTCAGTGTGGTTTAGTCTAGTCAGTGATGCAGGGCCTGGCAAGGAATAGTGTCAAGTTGTAACGTGTACATAAAAAAGCCCTGCTCCCCCAGCACATTTATGGCACATGACCATCTTCCTCAGCCTGGTTTTGGTGCAAAACAGTAGTATGTTAAACCCCAATTCATTTCTGTTCCTATTTTTTAAAATGTTGTGTTACTAAGAAATAAAACACGGAAAGAAAAAAAAGAAAATGATGTAATAAGTAACATATCCAGAGATGATCATTTATCATGTCGATATAAACAGTTACTGTCACACGTTTTAACCCCAAAACTGTAGTTAGTTAATTATTTGCATTTCTCAAGTATAACAGGAAACATCTTATTGTTGTTAAAAACTGTTTTAGGATAATAAAAGTTGTTGCTAATAATTTTCTACTGATTTTACCAGATATAGATGTAAGATTTATACAGGCATTTTTCTCCAGTTTATTCTGAAATCATGTATCTATGTACATTTTACTTTTAGAGTTAGCCTTGATCGTTTGGTGGCTGACAATTTCCCATTAAAAAGTTCAGAATTTACTCAGGGTAGTCCAAAGTATAATGATTATATATCAGCTTTAAAAAAGGTGAGATCATTTCAAATATTGGTAAAAAAAAAAAAAAATTAAATTAAGGTGTTATCAAACTAATTCAAATTGTTCAGTGTTATTTTCCACTGCATCATGAATCTGATATGATATTTAGTTGTTTTGCAGTAGTTTATGATTGGTTTCCTTCCAACTTGATCACCAATTAGATTGATCAGAATTGATTCTGAACTTTTATAAATCGTATATTTAACTTGACGTCAGTAAAAAAGGTAACACCTGTTCGAACTTTCAGATATTAGTAGCCTTAGAACTGTCTGGTAGTTCCATGTTGTTAGAATTACTGATTAGTATATTTTGTCGTGAAAGTAAACATGCATATGAAGATGAAATACAAACTGTCATAGCCAGATATACTAGAAGGTAAGTTTATTTGTAATTTGTAACATATCAGTTTAACAATTAAAGATGCATTATGTTTATAAGAGCTAAATCTGACTATTGCAGGTCTTTATTTTGCCCTCAAATGTTATATAAACTATTATTTTGACATTTATTCACATGACAAGCCTAGAATCAACTCTGTAGACCATCAGATGGCCGAGATTTGAATGAACTGAAACACAATCACCATTTAATGATTTAATTAAAAAATGGTGAATCAAGAACTGTTGCTACGATAATAAACAATATATGCTACATCTTGTCAAAACTCCAATCTCTGATAACTTCGCACAGAATAAATCAGTTTCATAGAATTTTGGAGCCATGGTGTCTAAATGAGTTAAATGATGGCTTGCCTTGAGGTTGTGGATTCGCTCCCGGTGTTGGCAGAGAAAGTTCATCGGTATTTTCTTGCAAGGTTTCCCCTTGTCAGTGGTGCAGAACGGAGGGCCTAACCAGGACAGCTGTCTAGTCGTTCGGATGGTACAAAAAACCGATGCCCAGCATACTCATTGGCATGCACTAAAAAGATCCCTTAGCACTTGGAATTCGATATAAGAGTAGGCCGTAGCACCGCTATCCGGGGCAAATTTCCCGCATAGCATACTGTATGGCATATGCCCATCTTCATTAGCCCAGTTGGAGCAGAAAAGTAGGACGCTAAACCCCATTTCATTTCATTTTTTTATAGAATTTATTGCATCTACCTTTAATCATTTGTATGATATCTGAAATACTTGCAATACGCTTATTTTATTTTGAGCAGTAGTAATAATTAAATTTTGTACTTATTTTAGGTTACCACAAGATAAGCAGAAGTTGGCCCTCGACGTTCCGTATGCTATATTTATAAAAGAAGGGAGCTTTCCACCAGCTATTAGAACTGCTGCTATGGACCGAGTTTGTCTGCCAATGTTACGTTTAGTTAGGAAATCAGCACTCTTAGAATTTTTTCAAGATCATATTAAACATGTGATGATTGAGATTGAAGCTAAATTAACCAAGGTTTGTTAATATTTTACCTGTCAAAAGTCATACTTCTGTTAAATGGTTTTATATTCGTGGTACCCGGCATCTCCACCATGCTCTGTGGGGGTAGTTCTCTGGTTCACCATGGATGGCATGGATTGAAATGTATTGAATCTAAAAACCACATGTGGCCATGTTTTTTTCAACCTCTCAAAGTACAAAAGATTCCACATATGGGAGATAACTCCCGAAGACTCCAATAAAGAACAAAGGGGAGGGAACTCTTCCATGAAAGGTGGCATTACTATATGACATTCATATTTAGTGATTTTTATTTTTTTGATAGAAAATTACAAAAAAATTGTAAGCTACATTATATGCACTTCCCACTAAAAAGAGAATTAATATCAGGTGTTCTCGAAAGGGTAAGCATACATATATACTAGACATCACTAGGTATGATGGTATTGCTGTTTGGGGTAATAGTTTTAGTTTAATAGAAGACAACTTCAGGGTAAAAACTACAAGCATAGATACATTATTTAAAGTGAAGTTTTAATTATTTAGGCGGTGATCCTTGATTCAGGTTTGTGACCTTATTATGGTGATCCTTATATTGCAGACTTCAGCTGGTCAACTTGAAAATCAACTTGTTACTAAAATGGGTTGTTTTCAACTAATGGAACTTCTGTATTCAAGATTGAGTAAAGATGAAGTGTATAGTAAAAATTCTATAATAAATGAAAAATATTGTAGCGGCCATGTTGAAACAGGAAAAGAAATGACACAAAAATTAACAAAGTAAGTCCTTTTCTGAAACAAAATTGTACATGCTTACACTGGGGAATATATGTTATACTCTGTGAATGAAATCTGGCTGATAAAATCTTAAGAAAGTACATTCATTTCTTTATAAAAAAAAAAGCTTTTTACAATAAAAAGAAGTACAATTAGTTCTGGCCATTTGTCAAAAAAAATAAAGTGGAAAAATAGTAACAATGAGATCTACTAAATGGAAAAAATACCTTTTTGAAAAGTGGGACTATGTGATTTGAGAAGAATTTTTCATGACTTGATTCTTAATTATTAATAATAAATATTTCAAATACATTACTGTAGAGAAAATTCTAGGCAAAAGTGTACATTGTTGGGATGTAACTTGATTAAAATTAATGTAAACATGTGAATATATACTGGAATAAGATAATTTGTTCATGTTCTGTTTTAAATATTAAATACTGATTGTTTGTATCTATCTATAGATGTGCACATGATGCTAGAAGTGAAGATACTAGAGGAGAAACTATGTTGGTAGAATTAAGACGTCTATATCATTGTTCAGCATATAATCTAATGGTATCCATTATATCATGTACCCAAACAGACGTTAAATTTTATCAAGGATTTCTTCTGTCGGATAAAGAAGATAAGGTAATCAATGAAGGCAATTATAAAATCCTGAGCGAGTGTTTGATATGGTCAGGTGATGGATATATAAATACCATCTTTTTGAAATGTCGGCCAAAATATTGGTAGCTGTTTTCCAAAGTATGTGTTAATAGTTGATTGCTCTATCCAGTCACTAAATGCCTCTAAAGATGATCATTTTTGTAGTAATCCAACATGTACTATACTGATGTAAAGGTTTATTTTTAAATCATTATCCTTCAATGTTTTTAATTTAAATTTAAGGGCCAGTTTGTATTAGAAAATATTGTTGATAAAGACAAGAAATATGAATTTTCAGCTGAATTAGAGGTAAAAAGCTTTTGGTTATTTATTTAATGAAATATATCAATATAGTTCCATATTTGTATTTTTATACATCTCCCATTTATTGTGGATGCATATTGCCTGTCTCCATTGCCCATCAGCAATTTTTCGTGAACAGATCAAAGTGATTGTTTATTTGGGCATAAGGCAGAACCATATTGGATGATTATCCTGCTGGTGGGTGTATCCAGGGGTGTTACTATGATCCGTCTGTGTTGACTAGTTCTTTTGTTTATGACTTTTGGAAGGACTAGATTGGAATGGGGTTGAATGTCTCATCACCACAATACCTCAGTCACTTTAGGACAAGCATTTGGAGGAGGAGTGGTGGGTGGGGGGAATTTGCCTAATCTACTTCAATTACAAGTTTTTACAGATATGAATGACTAAGAACACTTACATTGTTGGCCTTGGCTTAAAATGTCCTGAAGGATCTTCTCGACCCACACAAGGATTTGAACATAGGACATTCTTAAATGCTCGGACTACCACATGGAAGGGATGTCATCAGTTTGTTTCTGAATGCTAGGTTCCCACTGTCGTGCGATGCATTGTGATATGATTGTCCCTATTGTGTCCACAATCTGCTACATACAGATGCGTTCGGATATGTTTCGATACGACTGACCGCAATATATAATGGGACCTGATAGGATCACCACGATTACTCTACGATTAAAACCATGATTTCAATCGTTGCACGAATCGTGATAGTGGCAACCTGGCTGAAGAGGATATTTGATTCTGAATATATGTTGTTTTATTATAGAGTTTAATGGAAAGAAAGAAGAGATTTGTATCTATAAGAAGTGAAGTGAAGGAAAAAAGAACAGATGATATTGAAGAATCCATGTTTTCATCATTTAGTCTAACATCACAGTATATGGATGATAGTAGTCTTAGTGATGATCTCAATCAGTTTGATTTTATGGCAGGAACAGTACAGGTTAGATCTGCATGTTTTTATATCCCACTATATTATTTCTTTGAGTCAATGGGCCTACCCACCGTGCACTTCATTTCAGGCGGGTTGTTGGTTGGTCGAATGGTTAGAACGTGTGCGTTGTATCATAAGGTCTGTCATTGAGTCAACTGGCGTGGTTTCAGTTCCGTTGTTGTACGTGACAAGGAGTTTCCGCTGGGTCCTCCGGTTTCCTCTAAAGACCCCTACACGCAAGCGAATTATTGAAATAAAATTGAACCATATGTTGGTCCCGAAATGACCTAGTTTGTGTCGAGTGGACGTTAAACCCCATTTCTCTCTCTCTCTCTTCATTTCAGTTATTTCAAAATTATGTACAGAAATATTGTGTTATTTATTTGATATGTTTTTGTAGATGATGTCAGGATCTGTAGAAAAAGAAAGATTAAAAGGTAGATCCGAGTTGATGAGAAAATCCAGTCATCCTAATGAACCTGAGGATACGGCAACTTTATCTGGAGATTACCTGGAACTAGAAATGGATGAATTAAATAAACATGAATGTATGACACCAATGATAGCATTATTAAAACATTTACATACAACGATAACACCTCCAGAAAAGGTATTTATCTTCTCAGCTTTTTTAATCTATAGAAAAATGTATGTATTCATGAAATAAGAAAGTTCCTAGATGAAATTTTGGTTAGACACTGGAGTTGACCAACCGTCTGTTAAACCTGATGTTGTTTCTGAAATAGCTGAAGTAAATACTTTTCAGTCTGAATAACTTCAAGGTGCAAACTGTTTCTGCATTGTTAAGACTATTGTCTTAATGTTTAAAATTTATTATTTTGAATTTTTCCAGGGATCTATACCCAAAGAGATGCCAAAATGGATGCAGTTTTTTCACAAGAAAATGAAAGATCCTACAACAAACATTAATATAAAACTTTTTATAGCAAAACTTATCATCAATACTTCAGAGGTGAGAATATAGTTATCAAAATAGATTTCTACATTTTAGTGACAGTAACCAAAGTAATTTGGAATTTTTGTTATTAGCACAATCCTCAATGATTTTTAGATCATAGAAATTTATACTGACAGTTTAAGACTTCATTATTGCATTATGATTAATTGTCTAGGAAATTACTAACACTATTTGAAACAGTACTATATTGTAGGTTGTTATATTGTTCAGATTTTTAACTGATACATCACATTTTCAGGTATTTCAGCCATACACCAAGTTTTGGTTGCCATGTTTATGTCAGTTAATATTTTCTGGTCCAATGAGTTGTGGTGGTATAAACTATTTTATAACAGATATTATAGTAACAATGATGTCCTGGCATACTATATCTATACCACAGGTAAATACTTTAATTACTTTGAAGTACAGATGAGTTTTTTGGAATGATAACCTTCTAAAAGTAATAATGAGGGTTTTTTTATAATAACCTGCTGTAATGATGAGTTTTTTGTATGATAACCTACTATAGAAATTATAACTTTTTTGTATGATAACCTGCTAAAGAAATGAAGACGTTTTCGTATGATAATCTGCTGAAGAAATGATGATTTTTTTTTTGTACAATAAATTTCTAAAGAAATAATAACCTTATTGTATGATAATCAGCTAAAGTAAAGATGACTTTTTTGTTCGATAAACTGCTAAATAATCAACATTTATCATCTGATCTGTATTACATATTTATGGATTTTTAAAATTGTTAAAAAAAAGAATCCTATTAAATTTCAGCAATTTCAATTAATTTTTTCTAGAGTTATGATCCTTGTTTTACTTTGTTAAACCTTATCAACACTCTACCAACAAAAGTTATCATTTTATCTGTATGAAATTTATATGCATTATTTAAATTAGTGAAATGAAAAAGCCTATTGAATTTCAGCAACGATATTATACCATCTAAATGTTTTGCCAACTGTTTTATTGCCTGGCAAACCATCTTTTATTCATGAATGACATCGATCACAAATGTCTTTTCTTCCATCACATATATATCCTTCACCAAAACATTACTCAGATTTATCATAAGATAGGTGTTTCGACTTTATCAGTGAAAAAGAAGAGTAAGGATTTGAAATTTTTCTTTCACTGTTAGCTTATTTTTGTATTTTCTATTTTCTAGGATACATTAGAAGAAAGAGCCATGGCTTCTCGCTTAGTTCAGTTTCTAATGGCTAATATTTATCATACCAATAGAAGTGTTTACAAGAATAATTTAGAGATGTTAAAAACATTGTTAGAATGTTGGAAAGATCGTATTGATATACCATACAAGTAAGTCAATTGTTCATAATTCAGTGTTTAATGAATTTATTATAATTAATCTTCATATAACATGAATTAGATTCTCAAAAATAGGACTGTGTGGCCGAATAGTCCAATGCATGCGCTTTAGATCATATTTAGGTCAAGTTGTGTGGTTTTGATCCTATATTGTATGTGACATAAAGTGGTGTCGTTTGCCTAACCTCGTTGGTTTTTAATTGGTCATCCTGCTGCTATAGACCCCCTACACGCAAGTGGATTATTGAAATTTTTAAAAAAATCAGATGTCCCGAAATTATCTAGTCTGTGTTAAGAGTATGATAAACCCAATTAATTGCTTTCTCTTTTCTCATGTATCTAGACTGTCTAATGACTCAAACATTTATTATGTGTTTATATTGTAGAATTGTATATAATCATCTGAAAAGTGAAGAGTGTTCTGTTGGTGTTCAGTTATTAGGTGTCATAATTACTTGTAAATTTCCACCCTATGGTCCTGATGCTCCTGTTGATAGAGAAAAGTATGTTTTTTGTCTGATAAAAATTTAGATAAACACAGAATGTCACATTTCAGTGTAATAATATTAGAAATTTTACCTTGTCTGCATTAGTCACTATTTCTGAACTACAGAGTACAGACGTATGATTAAGGATATGGGAGTGTTACTGTTAAAGACCATAGTTCTGGAAAGAATATCCTTACAGTGCCTCATGCACAACACCTGCCACAATAGGTATCAGACAATAATTGTAATACCTTGATGTTGTAAAGTTGAACCTACTTGGGAATTTGAAGTGACTAAAATTTCAAATAAGTAATGTTAAATTTTTTTAATGTAGATCTAGGTCAAATTAAAGCATTTTATTTTTTAACAGATTTTTCATAACAGTGGGAAATATTATCGGAGCCAAATCTAAACCTGTTTATACAGCGGCTAGTGAAGTTGTTGGTATGATTCTTAAATATCTGGCGGAGAAGGAGAAAGAAACAGAGGGAGAATTTCATGATTACTTAGTAAAGCAGATTTCGTCACTACAGTTTACTAAACCAGATAATTTTATTGTTTGTGTAAATCGACTTAATCATTATTATGGAGCTATAGCTGACAGGTATATAAATATATTATATGATTTATATTAGGGAGAAATAGATTCAGATCATTCTTTATCTAAACTAGAATTTTACCAAAATAGTAATAACTTCTATTGAATGTAAGTGATTTTCATTAAAAAAATACATAAAAATGCAGATTTTCGATATTTTTGTATCTTTTCATAATTGATGTGTTTCATATAGTGGTGATTTGTGTTATTAGTAGACTTGTTTTTAATTCAGGTTTCTCAATAAGATATTATTTATGTTACCAAGTCTAAGTGGAGATTTCCGTACTCAGTGTTTAGTTATCATCAACAGTCGTATAGAACAAATAGACAATGTTTTTATGGAACTCAAGTCAAAAGGATTAATATCTTTCTTGACACACAGGTAATTAAATTAAATAGATGTTGTTTGTATTTTTGTTGAATTACAGAAAATCAGTGGTTTTATTGTAATTTGATATGATTTCTCAGGACTGATTAAACACCCTGCTGTATTTTATTGAAATATAAAAAGTCAATAAGAATCAGTTTTATAAGCAAGTTGAAAAGAAATACCTTGTAGATAAGGACTGGTTGTCAGATATTCTTTTATGAACATTTACAAACATTTATAAAATTTAAGATTGAAAAAGTTTAAATTCCCAAAGTAAATGTGATGAATATGATCCTAAGTGTTACGAAAAAAGTAAACAGTAGTATTCATCTGGATTCTCTGAATTTAATTTTTTTTATTTCATAGGAATGAAGATACTCAACTAGAATCATTAAACATTATAACATCTATCCGTCATAAACTAAAAGCCAGTGAGATGAATTCTCTAATGGAAGCCATTACTGCATTTACTCATCATCCTAGTACACCATGTCGCAAAATAATGTACGAACTTTTGATGTGGATATATGATAATTACAGGTAAGGTGTTTATTGAATTAATCTCTTGTTCTGAATAACCTCTTCTTTTGTATAATCTCTTGTTCTGTATAATCTCCTGTTCTGAATAACCTCTTGTTCTGTATAATCTCTTGTGGGTTAACACATGCACACTGTATCATAAGGTATGTCATTGAGTCAGCTGGCATGGTTTCGATTCCCCTGTTATACGTGACAAGGAGTAGGGTCGCCTCTGACCTCTGTCCAACCTCGAAGGTTTTCTCTGGGTTCTCCGGTTTCCTCCCACTGTTAAAGACCCCTACGCGCAAGTGAATTATTAAAATAAAATTGAACCATGTGTTAGTTTCAAAATGACCTAGTTTGTGTCGAGTGGATGTTAAACTCCATTTCACTCTCTCTTGTTCTGTATAATCTCTTAATAATAAAAACATTGGCATTTATAAAGCATGTTAATACTGAAGAACAGTATTAATTGATTGTTGTTATATATTCACTAATTATTTTCAGATCAGGGTTTTGGAACAAGAATGTTTTGAGTTGAGATTTGTTCTTTATCAATGCCACTTCATGTTAGTTCATATTCTCATCTGTGTACAGATTTTAAAACATTTTATAGCATATGTGGCTGAAGGTTTAAAATTGAAAATGTCAAGTAGTTGGTCGATGTTTTTATACCTTTTTTAGGGAAGATGAATCTGAAGAAAGTCATGTCATAATGCAGAAAACTAAAGAAACATTGTTAAAGGGTCTTGGTGATGATGATATACTCTGTAGGTATGTAACTATTTAGTGTTGGCAATTTGTACACAATAGTTGGTTGTCTGTTTTGTGCAGTATTCCTATATTGTCTATTGTGAAGTCAGAACTTTAAAATCATAAAATTTAATTGAATTTCGAGTGCGGTAGATATTGCATTTTCTCAGCATTTTTTCTGTTTTCTTTTTAGGTTATTGGTTCAGAATTTCTGGAGTAGTGAAACCCGTCTGCCGACAGGAACATTGGATAGAATGATAGCCATGTTGAAAGCTATGTATTCACCTAGTACAGAACAACAATATCTAAGCTATTCCACCAGCCTTCTACTAGAAATGACATCAAAGAGTCCTGATTATCAAAGGGAAATATTTGAGCATCCCTTGTCAGAGTGTAAATTTCAGGTAGGACTTGTACTAAAAGTTAATTTTTTGTGCCGTAATCATACGCGGAAAAATAATACTTTAGTTTATTGTAATTTTTCTCCAATTTTAATACTAAAGGTTACATTATTTTATTTTAGGAATTTTCAGTGCGGTCATCGTGGAAACAAAGACATGCAGCCATGACTCCATTATTTGCATCATCACTGAGTACACAGTCTGAGAGCATGGAAGGTGTAGAGGATAGTTTAGATGGTGGAGTTAGAGCTACTCAAGATGGTCAACAATTTACTGCAACAGTGGATGCTGGTAAACTTAACATGCTTCTTTATCCTATCATATAACTTTTATTTTTAGATTTGTTAATCAAAAAGAAATACACTTACCGCTACAGCAAAATTATGATTTGTAGAAAAATGGAGAATGATCTAGAAGGCATTAGTCAGTGGGTTTAAAAGAATCTGGTTTCAGGTATCAGTTTGATGTCTAATTTGTTCAGAACAAATCAACTTGAGGGTTGATGGAACTGGAAATTTCAACTCCCACAATAATTAGGCTTTCAACCTCATTGACTTAGCTAAAGGATCCTCATGGGTCAAAAAATTATGTGTGTGCTGTCATAACAGAATTCACTTGATCAAGAAATCATTGTATAATATACCCCAAAAATTATCATTTCATTTCGTTTTTATAGTTCAAAATTTTGTTTTACTTGTCTTTATTAGACTATGATCTGGAAGAGTTGTTATATAACCCACGTTCCTATTGATGAGAGGGATTAGCCAATGAAACGGTCTGTTACAGCGAGTTTTTGGCGTGTGTTGCATGTCTAATGTCTAATGTCATAGGGCCAAAAACTGCTCGTATAACCTCTGACGCGACCTCCTGCTTTAACTGGTCAGATTTTCATGTAGTATGAAAAAACGGAACGAAATATAGATCTGTATTTTAATCAGATTGTAAAAAGTGAAGTTACATAAAACAAATTTAGCTTACATTCTTGATGAATATCATCCAATGATAAATTTTTCTGTTGATCAGGTTCTGGAGCACCATTTAATTGGTTAACACAGAGTAGTTTGGATACATATGGTGATTATAGTACAGTTGGTCAAGAAACACCGTCATCGTTGTTATTTAGTGTTGGTAGTACAGATAGTCAGTCTATGTCTGCTAGTAGGCGAAGTAGACCAGGTTTTGGGTTATCAAGAAAACCTACACCTCAAAAACCAGGAAAAACAACTAAAAATGAAGGTATTTCTATTTTCATAGATTTGAATATTAGAAATGTTAAAACGATTGATGATTTAAACTCTAATGTGTGTGTATGTTTTTTTTTTCTGCAAAGGTTACTTTCTTCCAAATGTTGGGACAGTGACAGAATAAAGTGAACATAAAAATTAATGTTACATATCACTTCTGCTAATTGCTTAATGTACTGGGTAAGACGCTGACTCGCTAGCATGGTGGTCAGGTGTTCGATCCCTACATTGGCGGAGAAAATTCATTCAGATTTTCCGTCGTGGTTTCCCCTTGTCAGTGATGCAGGATGGCGGGCCTGGCAAGGACAGCTGTCTAGTCGTTCGGATGGGACAAAAAAACAAGGTTCCATGTACACATTGGTGTGCACGTAAATGATCCCTTGGCAGTTGGAATTCGATATAAGAGTAGGCCGTAGCGCCGCTGCCCAGGCAAAATTTGCCTCATAGCACACTGTGTGGCGTATGCCCGTCTTCATTAGCCCAGGTTAGGAGCAGAACAGTAGGATGTTAAACCCGCTTACATTTCATTTCATTTCTTTATAATTTATAGGGTCTAAGGGGTCAAATGTGTGCACATTACATCATAAGGTTTGTCATTGAGTCAAGTGGCGTGGTTGCAATCCTAGGCTTGTACATTACAAGGGATAGCGTCATTTCTGGGTTCTCCAGCTTTATTCCACCATTAAAGATGCCTATGCACCAGCTAGTTATTTGGAATCAAGATGTACCGTGTGTTAGTCTTGAAATAACTTAGTTTGTGTTGAGTGGACATTAAACCCTATTTCTTTCTCTGTTGGATTTCTATTAGAAACAGGTAATGGTCCGGGTAGTGAAATATGGAGATTAAAAAGAAGATTTTTAAAAGATCAACAATCTACTAGTGTTTATTTTGCTAAGAGACAAATGAACTTAAACAAAAGAAGAGAGGTAGGGGCTAATTCTTTGTATATTGATATTGTTTTCGTATAACTATAACTATCTTAAATATTTTGATATATGTTAGATTAATTAAATAATACTGTGCTTATCTTTAAAGGAACTAATCAAAGAACAGAGATCTAGACGAGAGAATCAAGTTACAATGTATAGAAAATATAGAAGTGGTGATTTACCAGATATACAGATCAAATATTCTTATCTTATAGCACCATTACAAGCTTTAGCTCATGTAAGTCTTCAACTAAATTCTCAAAGGATTTTTTAATTTGATTTTTGCAGAAAAGATACATATAACCATAACATGATTTACGATGTATTCCTTTGAAATTTGGCCTCCAACTTCCATAACCATCATTTAGAAATTATATCCGAACTACAGGGATAATTATATTGGTGCTGAAAATAACATAATTTACAGGCTATTCTGTTTCAATATCACCATTACGTGCATAGTAGTGTATTGCTAACGATTAGTTTTGACCTTTACCTGAACAAACTGTCGTCTGCCAGACTTGTCGTTGATATCTATGGATTTTTTTCTTGTTTTATTTATTGTGAGTTTTCAATCATAAAAAATATACTTAAAATAAATTTTCAGGTTTCACTAGGTGATCTAATTAACCTTGAAGAGCCATGTCTAAAAAAACCCAAAACTTGAAGAGCCATGTCTTTTAAGGTGTTTATAATTTATAATAATTGTATTTGCACTAATTTTCAATATTTTTTATATTTATAGAGAGATAGTACGATTGCCAAGTTGTTATTTAGTTCTGTGTTTAAAGCCATCTTTAAGAAAATGGATGAAGTTAAGACAGAAAGGGAGATAGAGGAAACAATAAGTCAGATAAAAAAAAGTATGGAAACAATATTTAATACAACCACCCAATATTATCCTCCATTTCTGGGTTGTATCATGGTAGGTTTAAAATTTACATGTATTTAACCAGATTTTACATACAATAAATCAATGTAAAATAAACAACAACAAAAAAAAAATTAAATTTGTGAATACTACATGCCATGTATAAAACTTTAATGGTTCAATATTTACTCAAAATATATCTTTACTCATTGATCACGTAATTAGAATTTTATTAAATGAGGAGACATTTTTATGCTAGAATATTTTGGTATCATATCACAGAAATATTTTAAAATATTACAGAATATATTATATGAACTAAGATCAAGTATTCAAGTCAATCCATCTAGTTTAAGTACTGGTGCTATCGTTAGTAATTTACAACCTTTAGGTAAGATTCAACAATTATTTCATTGTTAGGGTGACCCACCATAAATAAATATCTCCATATATCTCGACAATTTCGCCACAATATTTATATATATGCCAAGCCTCAAATCAGTTTCACACAATTATAGTCACTAAATAAACGATCATGTTGTACTTAATAAGCTATGACCATTAACCATCTATAAATAATAGACTGAAAACTGGTTCCATGTGTCGTCCATAACATCCAGACACTTTTGAGTAAAAGATAGGTTACGTGCCCTTGTTTTGAAATTAGTCTTGCTTAACCAGTCTATCGACCATTCTAGGGCTGATTGACAGGTCGGGATAATCAAGACTACTTTTTTACGAAACATAACAGAAAGCTAGAACAAGAAATTGAATTTAGAAATGAGCATGTTAGGTAGCTCAACAATTGTTTTAAGAAGCTTGTAAAAGTAAAATGAAACTACTGCTAGTATCATGTTCCTGTCTAACCTGAGTGTTTCAGAGATATTATTTGTACTAAACCAAAAGATGCCGCTTTTAACGGTACAGTTAATGATAAAGCGATTTAAAAAATGAAACAAACGTAATTTCTAAATCTGCTGTAATAACCAAGAAGCTTAATTTTACTGCTATTCAAAATCGTCAACAATAAATTTTTTACGGCTGTAAGAGTTGATAGATTTGTAGAGAATTGCACGTGCCATGGCTATTTATAGTATCATACTGTCAGAAAGTTGGCCTTGACACGGCGAATGTGCACGCTTCAGTGGTAGTCTCGAACTATCAGCAGTTGACTGTATTTCTGTAGGTGCATGGGTCACCCTATCATAGTTATTAGTTTTCATGTCAACCCTTTTTTGGTTGGGAATTCAGTGTTTTAAATTAAAGTCTAGAGCGTCTCAGCAAGAAAATTGTTTTTTGTAGCTTTAGTCAATTTTTCACCCACAGAATAGTATTTATATTTTGTTGTGAATAAATAATGAATTTGGTATAATTATAGGTATAACAGTGTTAGAAGAACAACTAATACAGACAGATAATGTTGATCCAAGACCTACCAAACGTGGTCGGACAACAGCAGGTACACAAGTATCATTGGATGTTAATCAATGGATAGAAATGGCAAGGTAGGAAGATTATGTTGCATATATAAGATATATGATATTATATAAATCTGTCAATCAGTATGATGTATGTTACATGGTATATTTTCAGATTATATACTGAGTGCCATGGAAAACGCATCACTTTTTTTTCCCAAATATTTTATTACTAGGTGGTTTTCTATGTATAATATTATGCAATACTATGAACTATTGTTTCACACAATGCTCCCAAACGCAAACAATATCGGCCCGTGTGCACAAAAAAAAATTGCACGAGATGCGCATGAAAAACCCAATATTCACGCGCCCATTAAAAGCATGTTTTCAACTTAATGTGCAGTACATGAACTGTGAAACGTCAATCTGTCGTAATTTGTTGTTGGACGTGTGAAGGAAACGAGCTAGAGATGCCGAGACTTACTGAAAATCAACGGAATGAAGCCATGGGAATGTCCAGGGCTGGCATGTCTACATCTGCTATTGTCAGACACTTCAATTGTCATCAGTCCACTATTGTAAGGTTGGTGGAACGTGTTCGAGTTACTGGATCAACACGTGACCGTCAACGTCCTGGTCCACAACGCGTTACAACCCAGACTCATAACCGCTACAACCGGGTCACTCATCTGAGTGACAGATTCCCTCCAGCGACTCAAACAGGTGCAGCAGTCGTCGGAAGACAAGGACCAGTAAGTGCCAACACCGAAAGACGTCGTCTAAGAGAAGTAGGACTCCGTGCACGACGACCTTATGTTGGAGCTATCCTCAGGGATCATCACCGTCAGCGGCATTTGATATGGGCTCAAGGACACCAGACATGGAGAAATGTAGACTGGCAAAGTGTGATCTTCGGTGATGAGAGTCGCTTTCATCTTTATCACGCTGATGGCCGTCAATGTGTGTGGAGACATCTTGGGGAACGTCTTGCAGACTGCTGCGTCTTCGAAACGAATCGATGGGGTGGGGGAAGTGTAATGGTGTGGGGAGGCTTCACAATTCATCACCTACCGTGATGATGGCCGTGGAGGACACACGCGCTACTGACATCTGTGTCGTACTTTTGGTTTTGACCCCTCTGACTTTGTAACCTTGATTACAGATTAAACATCCATAAGTGTACAAATGTGTTGTTCTTGATGTGTTCCCATTTGAATATTGTTCACAATAAGAAGCAAAATAAATAAGATATGTTTACAGGATCATTTTCCATGGCGCTCAGTATACAAATCTGTGAATCGGTATGATGTATAATTTTAGGTTGTATAAATCTGTGAATCAGTATGATGTATTACATGGTATATTTAGTGGTAAAATAGATACTAAATCTATAACACAAGAAGCTATGATAGCTGAAGCTAAAGGAGATTATCAAACAGCTAATAAATTATATGATGAGGTATGGAGAAATTTAATTTAAAAATAAGGTTGTCTTTTCATTTGCAAAGCTTCAAAGTAGTTCAAGGTTAGACCTATAACAGACATTATTTTGAGATGTTTGAGTAGGTAACAACTTTAAAAAAATATGTTTTCCACATCGTGCTATATATCAATATTTGATTCCGGTGTTGGTAAAGAAAGATCCTCAGGACATTTTAGCGTGGTGTCCCCTTTTCTGTGGTGCAGGACGGGAGAGCCTGGCTAGGAACAGTATCTAGTCGTTTAAATGGGACGTAAAAGTGTTATCCTGTCCGGAAAGAAAAATATCAAATGTAAACTATCAATTCTGCTCAGGAATGAAATAGGGCATTTTTATACACAGACTTTTTCATGTGGATGTATATTGTCGTCGCCCCTGTCCATCCACAATTTGTTTGTGGACACTCTACAGGCTACAATTTTTATCCATTTTTGACGAAACTTGAAATATAAGTTTATCTCCCAAAGATCTTGGTTCCTTTCAATATTGACATGTATTGCATCTTAACTTCGCGGATTATGGCCCCTGATTGTACGAAAAGTCACATTTTTAGCTTGTGGACACTCTAATTATCCGATTTTGATGAAACTCGAAATGTTTATAACCCAGCGATCTTGGTTCCTTTTGATATTCGTACATATCGGATTGTAACTTCATGAATTATGGCCCCTGAAATACATGTTTATAACCCAACGATATTGGTTCCTTTCGATATTCTCGCATATCGGATTGTAACTTCCTGAAATATGGCCCCTGATTGTACGAACAGTTGCGTTTTTAGCTTGTGGTCCCTCTAGAGGTCACAATTTTTAACAAATTTAAAAATTGTTTTTGATAAATCATCATTACACCCTGAAACTACCTGACAAAATGGCCGCTGCTTGAACGCAAATTGTGAAAAGTATGTAATACAAAGATTGTGGAACCTCTAGAGGTCACAATTTTTGTCTGATTTGATTAAACTTAAAATATATGTTTATATCCCGAAGATCTCAATCCCTTTCGATATTCGAGCATTTCAGACCATAATTTCCTTCATTATGAACCCTGATTGTACGAAAAATCACGTTTTTTTAAGCTTATTCTCTGTCCATCTCTTGCAAAATGTAGGCGTATCTTGCCTGGCAACTGCTGGTTGATTTCATATTTATGTGGTACAAATATGAATTTCGTATATAGGCCCTATCAAAGGAAGATTGGGATGATGGAGATCCACTCCCAGCAGAAGTAGATCTTTGGGATGATAGCAGAATGGAGGTAAAGTGTTTAATTCCATTTCATTTCTAATCAAATATGTTGTTAATGTTTGTCAATTGTATTTGATACTATTTGTGTGTATGTCGTTTTCGAGAGGTGTGTACAGATTTGTATGCAGGTATGAGCCAGGTTGCTTATGTAGGCTATTCATTGATAATATGGCAGAAGTGAAAGGTATGTTAGTTGTGAAGTTAACACATCTACTTTTCTATTCTTTAAATGACATCTAGTAGTATGGTTAACTATTATAACAGAACACAACACAAGGTATATCTGGATATAACTACTTCTCAGTTATTTAATAACGACGTTTCATAACTCGTGCAGGTCACGTTTTACTTGAAAACGTGACCTGCATGTAAAACGTTACCTGCATGTGTTACGAGGCATTATAACATATACTTTTATCGTAAAAGGGGTTATATGAAAAATTATCTTTATTTGTTATTATAATTATTATCTAGTGTCTGGATCATTTAACACAGTGGACAGATCTTGAAGCTGTATCAGTAGCAGGTGTAGATAACTCTACCCCACCAGAATTAAATAAAGTTTGGGATGATACATTTTGTCAGGTAAATTATTATTGATATTTACAATAGATTCAATACGTAACTGTACAACCTGATAATATTTCATCAAGGAGTTTGGTTCTCTGTGTAACCCATTGTTAATGGTAAATAAATATATATACAAGCAAAACATTGAAATAAATTTTTACTGATTGTGTTGAGTACATTTATTATGGGTATGGTACTGCTAATGTTGTTTTACTTTAATTACTGCCTTTGTTTTATGTTTCAGGAACATTTTTTACCTTATTTAATACGTAGTAAGTTAAAACTGATGTTACAGAGTCAAGATGAACAGTCATTATTAACATTTGTTGATAAAGCCATGCAAAATCTAGAACATAGAGCTGTCTTAGAGGTATATTTCATGATATTATATTATATCCTCATCTAGAAATTGACTGGTCTGAATTTAAACATGTTTTGTGATGGCAAATTAAAAATTACCATGCATTTCATTGTTAGTGACTCAATTTAAATTTGTTTCTGATAATAGAGTCGATATAGCATGGAGTTAGCATTGATGTATCTATGGCAAGAAGACTATGATAGAGCCAGACATTATGCCGGTATTGCATCACAGAAATTTTTACAGGTGAGTAAATATTTATAAATTCTTTATACCCTAGGTAAATTTCATCTCAATTGATAACACCAAACAAAGTTTATGACCAGTTGTAGTCTCCAAGGTCTTTTCTTTTTACTAATTTTTCCTTTCCATTACTTAATACTTGTAATAATTTGTAGAGACTACAATAGCTGTTAGACACATACAGTAAATGGGGGCTGTGGTAGTCAAGTGTTGTTCAGGGCACTGGCCTATCAACAAGAATGTTCTGGTTTTAAATCCCAGTGTGGACCAGGAATAACATAGTCATTTGTCTACTGGATTGTCAGTGAAAGTGTCCCTAGTCATATGGATGGGACATATACTTGTGCACATTGACATGCATTGTAAATCAAAGAAAACAGTGCATAAATGTCAGTCTCTGGGCAAAAATCTCTTTTCTTGCATTGCACATATAATGTTTGCTTCAAGATATTGTGTGTTGACCACACAATGTACCACATAGTATTTGGTTCCATTCAATACAGATTTAATATATTGTAGGAATGGAGTAGTACTGATAGTTTAATGATAACAAGTAGAACATCACAGTTACAACAACTACAACCTCTTGTTGAATTACAGGAATTTCTACAATTTATGGCTAAAGATAGTAAGTTTTATTTGGTAATATTAGAAGTTTAATTTGAAATAATGAAATTAGTGTTTTCTTTATGTTATATTGAAAGAGCAGTCACAGATTTGATAGGATATATGTTTATCAAAATGGGTTTAAGTATACAAATTAATAGACCGAATGTAAAGATAGCTTTCTTAAAATATTGAGCCATTAAGAAAAAATGTCTAATTATTCTGAACAGAATTGTGGTAATTGTGACAGATGGTCACTTGCTGCTGTAACTTGACAATTACATAGATATGGCTATCAAGGCTTTTGGGATTAGAGACCTTATTGTTAACTACAGAAGGGTTGCACTTCTTGTATAAAGTTAACAGAGCTTGATATAATAAGCTGCTTGGACAGGACAGGGATATAGGTTTCTTAGGCGGTACTCGATTGAATTTTCCGGAATGGAATTCTCTCAATCCCAAAATTAGTGACAATCGAGTGAAAAGGGGTTTTTCGGGCTACATGCTTCGACTGGATAAGTGAATATCTCAACCAACCATGCAGCGGAAAAACATTTGTTGTGTTTAATAACGTCACGATTCTACTCACACCACCTCCGTAGTTGGAACTGACAGAACTATGACAGGACTGAATTCCATGTCACTTGATTGCAATTCTGTCAATTCTGGACGTTCTGGACTGTGAAACGAGCATCCCCTTAGTGTCTTCTACACATAATTAACCTATTTGATTCACTAAAATTTATATGGGATGGCAACCTCAAAAGAATTGTATAATTGCATGTATAATCAGTGCCAACACTTGAATAAGAAAAAGTCTTGTGGTTTACAGAAATATGTTAATAAAACTGTATGAAAAACAGACTATGAATGAATTGAAGTGTTATAATAATGTGTGTTTTATGTTTTATTTAAATCACTAGGTAATATAACAAATACTAATGCTAATCAACTGATAAGAACCTGGGAAACAAGACAACCACATCAATTACTTGATCCTGTTACAATCTGGGATGATGTTATTACAAACAGGTATCATCATTAAAAGTTGGTTCTTAATTTTTGCTTATGTCAATATCAGCATTATACTATTTTAACCTTTCAAAATAAATGGGGGATGCTGGATGATTGAGTGGGCTAAAGTATACAATTTACATCATAAGATCTGTAATTGAGTCAAGATTTGTGGTTCCGATCCCAAACTTACTGTGTCAAGGAGTAGGGTCACTTGTTCAACTCGTATGTTTTCTCCTGTTTTCTCCCACTTCTAAAGACCTCTCTATATGCAAGCGAATTATGAAATAAAATTGAACCATATGTTAGTCTCATAATGCCCTATGTTTTGTTGAGTGTATATTACTATCCATATCTCTCTCTCTTTCAAAATTAACATATTTTGTGATTATTAAAATACATGCACAAAGGTCTTTTCTTTTTTTTCCAGAAATGTGTATTTAGATCATATTTGTCATCGACTCAATACTAAAAACAGAGATTCACAAGAAGATGATGAGGGGGATCTTTTTGAAGAATCTAAACTCAGTTTAAAATTAGCGATGGCACAAAGTTGTAAAGAACAAAACAACTTTGCTTTAACATTAAGAATACTGAAGAAAACTAACACTGTAAGTTAAATGCGTTGACATTGAGGGTCACTATGTCTTTTATTTCTTTCCTTTGTTTTCTACTTTTTAATCTAAATTTCCTCCTTAGTCTGATTTCTTTAAAACTTCATGATATTTATAATGTACAGAATGTACCAAATTGTTATGACGTCAGAAACCTTTAGATGTCATAGTAGATACTGAAGACATGCAATCGAGTATATACTAAACAAGTACAATGGTACTATGGACCAGGAACCAAGCATGACGTCATCACCGCCATCTTGAAATTGTGATGTCATATCTAAAATCGAGGTCTGTCAATTGATGAGTAATTAGCCAAGGAATAAGCTTGCCAAGTTTCATTGGCAGAGGCTTAGGCTTTTTAGCAATCCTATTTTGTTTCGTTTTTTATAGTTCAAAATTTTGTTTTACTAGTCTTTACTACACTAGGATCTGGAAAAGTTGTTATATAACCCGTATTCTGGTTGATGTGAGGGATTAGCCAATGAAACAGTCTGTGTGTACGGCCCCAAGAAGATAAACAAGAGGAGTTGCTCTTTCTGTCCAGTTCATGGTCCAGAAACCTACAATGACTATTGCATTGAGTTTACATTAGAAAGACCAGACATATTGTAAAAAATATTGAATATGATTATATATTTTAGATGTGTAAAACAATAGGTAATGAACAGTTAAATATAGAATGGAGTCAGTTGTATGCTAGTACTCACCATAAAAAAGCAATTTGTTCAGAATGGTCAGAAGATACTATTAACAGTGTTTTAACTACCATAGATCAGTTAGGTAATTAACATAGTTCTATTTCCCTTAAAGACACGCCATTACTATCAAACATGGAGGTTCATAACCTAACATAGATGTCAAGATTTGCTTGAATCTTATAAATTCAGTGAAATGACATAGAAATAGTCACCACGGCTGGACAAATTTCTCAGTGACTTGGGTAAATATCTTTGTACAACCATATGGTCACGTGGCAAGCAAATAAATCATTAGGGTTACCTCCTTTATGGGGAAATGTCATTTTTTGTCTATAAATTCTGTCGAAATGATATATTTCCGAGTTCTGTTTTGCATGTATGAACTGATATGAAGTGGCAATTAAATGTACATTCATTTATATTTATATCTCTTATAGGTAAATACAAGGACTGTGATGCACTTTCCCAGAAACCTGATTTGTGCAGACGACATCATGTACTAACTGGAATATCTCATGGAATATTAGCTGAAGCCTGTCTGACTGCAAATCCTTCTGAAAACTTATCAGGAAAAACACAAGAAAAACTTTTGCAGCTTTCAAAAATAAAAAAACTCAACCAGACAGAGGTAATATATCTGTGTTGTTATGGGGAACATTTCAATGTTTTTACTAAATATATTCTAATGTGAAGACATTTGTCTAAATTATACAAATAAATTTGTCCCGTGAACATAAGACTTGTTATTTGTAGGTTGTTAGTAGTTTGATTGAGAAAGGTTATCAAGCATTACGAGCAGCTGTATCTGATGGTATTGTTACTAGGTCTAGATCAGAATCATTTACACAGGCAGATGCTCAAATGGCTTTATGCAAATTCTGTGATAGGTTCTTAAGAACTAAGGAAGAAGGTTGGGCATTTTTCATGTTTTCCTAAAAAAGATCTTATAATAATGTTTATTGTAGTCAGTCCTAACTTGTATGAAAATCATCCAAAAATTAATAAAACTTATTATTATAATTTGTTCTAATGTATATATACAGATGATACACATAGAAAGAAAATTATTATTGTAGTTAATCCCAAATTATATAAAGATGATATAAAAATTTGAAATATTTTTTATTGTAGTTAGTCCTTGTGTCTTAAGCTGAACGTGTCAATGTAAGTACTCAACGATATTTAATGTCAAGTGATTAGTTAATGAAATCTTATTGTATTTCTAGATGAAGAGCATATTGACAGTAAAATATTAGAATCCTATCCTGAAACTATAATAGTATGTTTATTAAAAGCAATGAAATTAGGTTCGAAAGAAGCTATTGAAAGATTTCCACGATTATTACAATTGGTGGAACTTTATCCAGATACAATGGCTGCTTTTGTTAACAAGGTAAAATATAACTTTATCATTAGGATATATTTATACAGGAAATGCTAAAGAACTAAAATTAAAAAGAGTAAATGACTTCTTTATGATATATGAATATCAATTAAACTTTAGTAGATTATTCCAGTTTTTCTATAAATTCTGACAGTGATGTCCCATGATATTCAATGTTGTTTATTCTGTCACAGGCTAGTGAGGTACCTAGTTGGATGTTTTTATTATGGATCAGTCAGATGATGGCATTAATGGATAAAGTAGAAGCACCAGCTGTACAACCTATATTATTACAATTAGCTACAGACTATCCACAGGTTAGTACAGATATTTGTTATTAGGAAACACATTTAAATTTGATCTTAAATACGCACACATTTAATGTTTACATATATTGTCACATCTGACAACAAGTCATTTTTATACACCCACAGACTTTTTTCAGATTCTCATGAATTGTTTATTTAGTGGTAAAAAAAACCCCTATCAAACTTTTTCGAGCCCGGAATTCTGAGTTACGTTCAGATTTATGAAAAAATACAGGATAAAGTTCTTTATATAATTTTTTAAAACATGGTCGGATTGTTTAGACATAAGGAAAAACCCTATCAATTTTCAACTTGTGAAAATGATGCAAAATAAAGTTCAGAAAGTTAATGAAACCTTGTATGTATACTTTGTGAAACAGGTACTTGGTTAATAAACTCTTTCTTTTTATGTGAATATTTCAGGCAGTTGTTTATCCATTCCGAATTAGTTGCGAAGGTTTTGAATTTGATAATTCTACTCAAGGCAAGAAAAATAAACAGTCTGTTGAGAAGTAAGTAATGACCAAGGGGGAATATTGACAAATTCAGGGTCATACATTATTTGTTTTTGTATAATAAATGATACACATAATATTAGTTTTTTGTGTAAAAAATGATACACACAATATTAGTTTTCATGTAATAATTGGTACACATAACATTAGTTTTCGCATAATAAAGCTGATATAGTTTTCATGTAATAAAGGAGACCCTTAATATTAGTAATTGTTTAGCTGGACAAAAATAGTGATTTGAGATTGTACAAAGAAAATTATATTCTCAAAATATCAAGATTCATCTTGTCAATTTGGATAATTGCCATCTTTTAGTAAATGACTTATTTTCCCTGTTAAATAGGCTGGCATCTCTTCTAACCGAAGAAAGAGTACCATTAGTGAGTAAATTTATCAGTGCCCTGGATCAGTTTGCACAACCAGAGATGCTTTTCAAGGTAGGCTTTGCTTTAATATATTATATGATACTGTGAAGGGAGCCACGTTGGCTATGTGGGTAAGACGCTGGCCCGCTAGCCTGTTCGCTCCCTGCATTGGCCGAGAAAGTTCATTGGGATTTTCCGACGTGGTTTCTCCTTGTCAGTGGTGCAGGACTGAGAGCCTGACAAAAACAGCTGTCTAGAAAAACCGAGGTCCTGTGTATACATTGGCTTGCACATAAAAGACCCCTTGGCAGTTGGAATTCGATATAATTTTCCTCATAGCACACTGTATGGTGTATGCCCGTCTTCATTAGCCCAGTATAGGAGCAGAACAGTAGGACATTAAACCCCATTTCATTTTGATACTGTGGAACATTTTATTAGGCTTATTTGGGGATTAACATGGTTCTGCCAAGCGTGTAATTCTTTTTATCTTGCATTTCTTTTAAATAAGGGGAATATGCAATATGTTTTCTATACTGTACATCAGTGATGTACCATTCATTTTTGTAGCATTTTTTCATCTCTTCTTGAAGAATTATTCATGGAATTCGAATACATTTATTTCATTAATAATTAATCTAATATAATTGGTGAATATTTTAGGATTGGACAGATGATATTAAGAAAATGTTGATGAGTAAAACTAAAGCTAAAGATAAAATAATGGAGAAATATAAAGAGATATATAATATACTAATAGACTATAAAGATGTACCAGAGGTATCTAGTTCACAGATGTCCTTTATATCTCAATCAACTACTGTAGGCATGGGAGATTACCGCAGAAAATTTGCTGAGGTAAGACTTTGTAAAGTATTTAACAATATTCAAATTGGTGTTGATTCAGTGTTAATTTCAAAAGCTTAAATCAATTTCGTGTGAATTTTTTTTTTAGATTTTTAAGAAAGATTTTATAAGTACATTTGGAAAGAATGGTGAGAAATTAGTTAATATGACAGCAAAGGTAAGCAGATTAGTTTTTTTATATTTTCCAGTTTTCTAATACTCCTCTTAATACTTAAACATGCATTATGCAAGAGCTAAATCTGCATATTGCAGGTCTTTCTTTATACCTGAAATGTTATCTAAATTATTAATTAGACATTAATTAACTTATCTAGACCATAATCAACCCTCGATGTCAACGCTAGCCTGCGGTATTTATTGGATTATGATCCGATTTGCTGCTCCACTTTCATTCATGATTTAATCATGAAATGGATAATCAAGACTATATTTTTTATCGTACCGACTTTAGTAATGATGATCGAGGCTAGGCCGAAAAATTTAATCGCTAAAATCTCAGTTCAGAGTGGATCCATTTGACTGAAATTTTCAGCAAATTGCCTTTACATTATCTAGTTTTTAACTATTATAGTGAGAACGGCCAGCTCTTTTTCTAATCTCCCATAATGTATCTTTAATTGTCTATAAATAACTTCAAAATGATCAGTAATGATTAATCTCTATGATTGCATAAATATTTTTTGATTTGTTAGACAGCTGTTAGTTAAGACAACTATTACTTACGAGGCAGGTGACAATATCTTTAGAAAATTATGTATGGTTTATTTTATTAAGTATACCGTTCAGAGTGCCATCTTTTGGTTCAGTAGAATTTAGATATTTAAAAAACAGGTTGGCATGCTACTTACATTTCTATTTTGCTTTTATAAGGTTATTAAAACTTTGTTGACTGAAAGCTCAACGTTGTAAATCAGATATGTTTTCACCAGCTGTCTATGATATCTATTATAAAACAGTCTTGACAGTCCCCGGACTAAGTTCAAACCAAAAGAAAATGGCTGTGTTGAGAGCTAGTAGAGTTTTAATGATTTCAGTGAATTCCGCTGTTGAATGGATTTGTAACTTATTAAATACAACATGATCTTTTATTTAGTGATGAAAGAAACTGGGGTCAAATTCGTCATATATGAATATATGTTCCTGCATGACTGACAAGATTAACCTCATATATGGTGGCATAATTATCAATATCTTTTTATACTATGTGGCATCGTACTACTGTATGGAAATTGTCTATGTATTTCAGGAATTTCAGATTCAATTCATACGTTTAAATGGTGAATTTGATAAACATAAGAAACCTCGAGGTAAATTGATACCGCCAACATCTTTACGTGAATATTGTCAATGGTTGGCGGATTTTAATCCTAATAGAGACAGTAGAGAACTAGAAATACCAGGTAAACATTATGTTTAAAAATACCTGATCATAATGTGGAAATGTGGTTAGATTTACTCTTTTTTTGGAGCCACTGTGTTCAAAAGAGTTCCTCAGGAGGTTTTTTTAGCATGGTTTTCCCATTACAGCGTCTTTTCGTTCGGATGGGACAAAAAACTAAGGTCCTGTGTACATATTGACAGATGGAATTAAATTGATGTCTGGGCAAAATTTCCCTCATAGCATAATACATGGTGTATGCCCATCTTCATTAGCCCTGTTGGAGCAGAAAAGTAGATGTTATATTCCTCTGTAAATAGTCAAGTATAGAAACCTATTCATAGCAATATTTAATGCCTGAATAGAATTAAGGCAACATGTTTAGTAGAAATAATTGAGATTTTAAAACAAGTAAAATGTGCCTGACTTTTAATTGTATGGTTATTTTTTAGGTCAATATGATGGATTAGCTAAACCGTTACCAGAATATCATATCCGAGTAGCTGGTTTTGATGAAAGGGTGGGTTGATACATACAGTATATATTCATTATTAAAAAATGAAAAAAAAAATAAACATTAAGTTTAGATTAAATATGATCATACCCTCAAGTGAAATATTTGACACCATTGTTATAGTGATGTACATGTACGTGGTCCTGGATGTTTTGATTTGGGTTATATTTATAATTTTTATTGGTAAAACACATACATAGAGGTAGTTCTTGACATAATCTTGAAAAAAATGTCTTGATAAACTTTAACATAGTCCAAATATTGACCTGAGCCCTAGTTTACTGTAAAATGTTGTCTTTTGATTGGGAAAATTTTGGTACAATATATATATATCTCTTCAGCTATTTATTGGAGGTTGGTGGAAAAATAATTTTAGTAATGTGTCATTACAGATGCCAGTGCTATATTGTCCCCCGCCTTTCGAAGAAAGCAGGGGACTATTAAAATGGGTTCGTCCGTCTGTCTGTCTGTCCGTCCGTCCGTCCGTCCGTCCGTCCGTCCGTCCGTCCGTCCGTCCGTCCGTCCGTCCGTCCGTCCGTCCGTCCGTCCGTCCGTCCGTCCGTCCGTCCGTCCGTCCGTCCGTCCGTCCGTCCGTCCGTCCGTCCGTCCGTCCGTCCGTCCGTCCGTCCGTCCGTCCGTCCGTCCGTCCGTCCGTCCGTCCGTCCGTCCGTCCGTCCGTCCGTCCGTCCGTCCGTCCGTCCGTCCGTCTGTCTGTCCGTCAAACTTTTTGGGACACAATAACTCTCTTCCTAATTGAGCTAGAATGTTCAAACTTGGTGTATGTGTTTATTAGGTCAATGCCTTGATGGAGTTCGAAGATGAGCATTTTCCGCTTAGGGTAAGCAGAGATAAGCAATTTGATTGGTTGATGCTTTGGGACACGATAACTCTCTTCCTAATTGGGCTAGAATGTTCAAACTTGGTGTATGTGTTGATTAGGTCAATGCCTTGATGGAGTTCGAAGATGAGCATTTTCCGCTTAGGGTAAGCAGAGATAAGCAATTTGATTGGTTGATGCTTTGGGACACGATAACTTTTAATTGAGCTAGAATGTTCAAACTTGGTGTATGTGTTTATTAGGTCAATGCCTTGATGGAGTTCGAAGATGAGCATTTTCAGCTTAGGGTAAGCAGAGATAAGCAATTTGATTGGTTGATACTTTGGGGCACGATAACTCTCTTCCTAATTGAGCTAGAATGTTCAATCTTGGTGTATGTGTTGATTAGGTCAATGCCTTGATGGAGTTCGAAGATGAGCATTTTCCGCTTAGGGTAAGCAGAGATAAGCAATTTGATTGGTTGATGCTTTGGGACACGATAACTTTAGTTCTAATTAAGTGAGATTGATGAAACTTGGTGTATAGTTTCATTACAGTAATACCTTGACTAAGTTTGATAATAAGCATTTTCTGCTCAGGGTAAGCAGAGCGATACGCAATTTGATTGGTCGAGACTTTGGAAAACAATAACTCTCCTACTTTGATTGTTAGACTATAAGTAAAGATATACTGTTTGATTGTTCAATACTTTGTAAAAGATAATTTGTGATAAATTTATATGTGTCCTCTAATTATTTTCCTATTTCGGCGGGGGACATCAGCCTCACTGTTGGCTTGTTTATTTTCATGTTTACATACTTGGAACTGTTACTTTAATAAATAAAAAAATATTATTTTTATTTGTGCAGGTATTGGTTATGTCCTCTTTACGAAAACCCAAAAGAATAACAGTACGAGGAAATGATGAGAAAGATTACCATTATCTAGTTAAAGGTGGTGAAGATTTACGTCAAGATGCAAGAATAGAACAACTTTTTGTTATCATGAATAAAGTCTTCAGTAAAGATCCAGCCTGTAGACATAGAAAGTTAACATTAAAAACTTATCAAGTTATTCCTATGACACCAAGGTAACGTATAACCTATGTCATATTTTAATAGTATCTTTTGTCTGATTCTGAGAGTCATTATATTACATTATTCATTCAAGAACACAAGTATTTAATAGGGTATAAGGATTTCACATTTTGAACATGTCATGTTGAATTATCTCTCTGGTAAAGTTTTTTCTGTTAAAGCTTATGAGTTTGTGGCAGAATTTGTTAAGACTTTATATAAAATTTTGTGAATGCAATACAGGACTCTGTAAAATTTTTATTTCAGGGTTGGATTGATTGAATGGATGAATAATACTATACCTCTAAAAGATTTTGTACTAAATGCTTTGACTGAACAAGAACGTAAATATGTCATGGGAGAGTAAGTACATATTTCATTTAATGGAATCACAAAGATTTGTATTTAGGATATATTTAATTCCTGAACACATTTCTCATGTCTTGTTCTTATTTTCTACTCTACTTTAATTTTTTTTTTCACTATATGTTTTTAACATTTGAAATTTATATCTAAAGGTGAAGTATGAATAGGAACATATGCTTTAGTTGTATTCTGTACATATTACTGTGAATTTGGAAAAACAAATCTCTAGTTCTGTTATGGAGAAATGTTCACTTTTCTACCCCCTTGTGGTGTTTGTAAACACAGTTAAATTATTAGATATCTAAACCAATGTGTAACACGGAACTCAAATGTAAACAAAGGAGGCCAAATTCAGATATGTATTTGATGAAAATACAAACAGAAAATACAAATGTGTATTTGATGAAAATACAAACAGAAAATACAAATTTGTTTTAAACATGGCCGACCCTCAATTTATTATCTTAAGTTGGATATTTTACTTTTCTTTAGACAAGGTCCTATGAAGCAACATGAAAAATGGGCATATAGATATTGGGATGACAAGAAGAAAAGTATTGCTGGAATGTATTCAAAAATTTACACGAATTATAGCAGAGCTGATAGTATAAAAGAACAAAGATTGAAAGAAAATAAAGTACCATGGGATCTTTTTAGGTGATGATTCTTTTTTAACTGTATGATATGGGGGAGGGTGGAGAGAAATACTATTAATATAAATAGTGTGAAATCTGACAAAAGATGTATTGAAAGTCTCAATTTTAAGTCTTCTTTTGTACATAATGATATTTTTTTAAATATTTGACATTCAGTTATTATATATAATGAATTTCCTTTCTAAACTTCTTCCTCATAGACTTATAATAGTTCAATATTTTAGATAAAGATCTGTGTATGTGGTCCTAGGTTTTACAGGTGTATTTTTATACGCCCCACATTTTAATTTTCATGTGATCGTATATTGTCGCCTCTGTCTGTCCGGACGGATCCGGACGGATCTGGACGTCCGTCCACAATTTGTTTGTGGACACTCTACAGATAGGTTTATCTCCCAAAGATCTTGGTTCCTGTCAATATTGGAATGTATCGGATCGTAACCTCATGGATTATGACCACTGATTGTACGATTTTTGGCTTGTGGACACTTTATAGGTCACAATTTTTATCTGATTTTGATGAAACTTGAAATATATATTTATAGCCCAGCGATCTTGGTTCCTTTCATTATTCACGTATATCGAACGTAACTTCCCGGATAATTGCCCCTGATTGAACAAAATATCACGGTTTAGCATGTGGTCCCCCTAGAGGTCACAATTTTTATTCGATTTAAAAAAAAAATATTGAATATGTCAACATTATACTTAAATGATGGTTGAGTTTGAATTTTCTGAAAATCATAACCGAAACTGCCAAACAAAATGGCCACTCTTGTGTCCAACGTATGTAAAAGTATGTAATACGAAGGTTGTGGACCCTCTGGACACTTGAGGTCACAATTTTTGTCCAGTTTTGATGAAACATATAATATATCTTTATATCCCAAAGATTTCAGCCCCAATCGATATTCCCACATTTAAGACCATAATTTCCTGGATTATTTGCCCCTGATTGTACGAAAAATAATGTTTTTTTAAGCTTGTTCTCTATCCATCTCTTGCAAAATGTTGCCTTGCAACGGCTAATGTGCTTTTGACTAAGTTCGATAATATCTTGACTAAGTTACATGATGAGCAATTTGATTGGTTGAGACTTTGGAGGTTGACAACTTTGATTCTAATTGAGTGAGAATGGTGAAACTTGGCATATATCGTACATAAATACCTTGACTAAGCTCGATAATGCACATTTTCTATAGTTTCATTAAGAACATTTCCTGCGTCGATGTTTTGGGTCATGATAACTTGGGTTTTAATTGATTGAAAGTGGTGAAACTTGGAGTATAGTTTCAGTACAATACCCTGACTAAGTTTGATGATGATAATTTTCTGCTCAGATAAGCAAAATGATCAATGCTTTATAAAAATATAAATATGAAATTAAAAAATGTGTGTCATCTAATTACTTTTTCAATTTGGCGGAGAACATCAGCCTCACTGTTGCTGTGCTTTGATTCTGTGTAATGACTAATATTTGTAGATTTTAATAAAAATGTTTGATTTTTGTAGGAGAGCTTTTCATCAAATGAGCACATCTCCTGAAGCTTTCCATGTATTACGATGTGAATTGATTGTCACCCACGCTGTTATATGTATTTGTCAATATGTTCTGGGTATTGGTGACAGACATTTATCAAACTTCATGATTAATTTAAAATCAGGAGGAATGGTTGGAATTGATTTTGGTCATAATTTTGGATCTGCAACACAAGTAAGCTTTTCTTTTGCCTTAAATTTATTCTGCAATTTTCAAGATTTCCTACTGTAAAGCAATAAACCTGTGGATGTCTTTGGCATCCAATCTTGCACCTTATGTAATTGTAACTTTCTCTCTTTCAGTTTTTACCTGTTCCTGAGTTAATGCCATTCCGACTAACTAGACAAATTGTTAATCTATGTCTACCATTACAAGTGAAAGGTTTATTAGAGTCAACGATGGTACATACATTAAGAGCTTTACGTAATGATTATGATCTACTTGTTAATACTATGGATGTTTTTGTTAAAGAACCATCTCTTGATTGGTTGGTGAGTATTTTTGATTTCTTCTCCACAAAAATAAATAAATATAAAGTGTATTTCAAAAAGATTTATCTTACCTTAAATCTAGATCTTATTAATTCATTTGTTTTTGAAAATTTAGTCAAAAATAGAAGACTCCCAAATCAAAATTTGTTATACTGATATTTCCAATTTTATTTTCAGAATTTTGCAGAGAAGCAAATGAATGAGAAAATGGGACCAGATGGTGAGTTCGAGACATTTTCACTTAGGCCATACAAAAAAAAAAAAATATTCTGGTTTTCAGACAGTCCTTACCAAAAACATGATGCAGGAGGGAAATTTTTATTTTTGTGTTTGTATTTTGTTAAATTATCACTACTGGGCTAAACTTTCCCTTCAGACATCATTTGGCGTTCCTAGCCGTACGACTAGCCACCTCGGCTAAGAGGCCGGGATACTGACATGCAGAGTTCTTAGAGGAAATAAAGGCAATATGTAGTGTTCCAGCTGTAAAGTCTGAGTTCTAAGCTTGTTATAATAATAACTCCTAATGGACTATCATAGATGTTGTAGTTTCCTGTATTTGATATATAAACATAGTTATAAAAACTAAGTGTTCCAGAGTCAATTAATCCTTGAAGTTTTATATACACTGTGAAAGTCCTGACTAGATAAGTGTCACCCTAGTGTCACAGACCTTTTTCTGGAAGTTCCTGATTAGATAGTCATGTCTGTCTCTCCCTGTAGTGTCACATCAATGATTTTAAGTGCCATCACAAAGGATAGTCACAACGTAACCCTACCTGTAGTCTCACAATAAGACTGTTTTTATTTTTTAAAATAAAAACGGGTCATGCAGCTCTTTAAAGTGATGCAGGAGTATCCGAGAATGAGAATGTTTTTATTTATTTGACCTTGTGTTCTAATTTTTATATGCCCACATTTAATGTGGGCATTATTGTCATCACCCGTGTAGAGCTTTTTGTTAGGATTATCAACATTGATTTATCTTCATTTAAGTTCAAACTTTCGGAAGCTTGGAATGGAATTTGTTAAATCTACATCAAGTATATATTTCCGATAATATTTTGACTTATACAGCTGCAGAACGTGGTCTGATTTTTTTTCTGTGATGGAATGTTTTAATTCTTGATCTTATCAGCCTTTTGAAATCTTGTGAAAGCAATACAGGACAAAGTTCTTTTTGTTCATAAAGCGCTAACATTTTATGATTGCACTTAGTCACACAGTACATGTAAATATAGTGAAAATTTTGTTGTCATTTGCATTGAAAAAAGTTGCTCGATTAATTTTTCAATTCAGATAACATAATTAAACTGAACTGTGTGTCTACAAAAATCGTAAGAGACATTATACAATTTAGTTGTTTTATCTCATTTTCAAAGAAATATCTGTGTGTCTTGTAGATGATGAAATAGATGCCACTTGGTATCCCAAACAAAAAATAGAGTATGCTCAGAGAAAGTTGAAAGGCGACAATCCTTGTTACATAACACGGTAGGTAGAGTTTAATTTATCATGAATTGTGATTGAAGAATTAGCATGAGTGATGATGGAAATAGAAGAAATTAATGAGAGAAACTAATTAGCATCCTGAAACAAAGATTAATTCATTGGGAGTAATGGGACTGTAATGACACTTCTTATTGACATCAGTGAATGAAAGTATGGCATATAGATGAGAAAAGTGAGGCATAAAGGAAACTCACTGCATTTCTTTAAGCATGCCCTAGATGCTGTTCATATTCATCTTTCTTCTTCTGAGAACATACCGTAAATATGAATTGGTCAGCATATGATAAAAATGATATTTTCATTCCAATTTTAAAATGTAAACAAATGCTTCATTTATATGAAGAATATGGAGTCATTAGTCTTAAATTAACGTACTTGCAGGGCTCGTGCTTTCATTCGCAAAAGTCACAATTCGTGATGAAGAAAAATAAAATGGCCTTTTAAAATTTTATTTCAGCGCTAATAATGGACATTTTTTGGGGGGGAGGGGGGATTCGTAAAATTCTAATAGTATTTCTCCTAGATCAACCATAAAATTGATTTTCTTTTCAAACTTTTCAGCATTGTATCATAATTTAGAGTTGCCCCTGACACCAAAAGCTAAAAAGCTAACATTCAAAATTTTGCTGGTGGGTGTATAATTACCTGGCAGTCCTTTGTTTAATTTTTGCCTTCTATGTGAATGTCAGGCTTATTGTGTCTTTAAATAAATTCTGTTATTGTAGTTATAATAATAATTTTTAACCATACCATTTTATTTCAGTGATGAACTGACATTAGGACATCAAAGGAATGCAGCTTTTAAAAGTTTTGTTGATGTTGTATTGGGTGATAAAAAGGACAATGTACGAGCAACACTCCCGAAAACAGGATTAAGTTGTGAGCAACAGGTTGCAGCACTAATAGATCAAGCTACCGATCCTAATATTCTTGGCCGTGTATGGCAGGGCTGGGAAGCTTGGATCTAAAATGGAAATTACAATTATTGTTAATAATATTTTTTTTTTTTACTTGAAATTATGCATACATGTATATTAATCTTTTAAACTTTTGTTGGTATTTTCTGTAATTATAAAAAGTAAATAAATTATGTCTGTATAAATTTCTAATATGTTACATTCAAATGCTTTGTAAAGTATAGTGTTATAACATAGATGATCAGGGTAGTTTATATATGATACATTATTTTCTACACTAAGGATTTTGTTTATGGTATAAAACTACCTTGTGCTAAAGACAACCTTAAATATTAGTATAACTTCTTCTAATTAATCATTTAACATTAATTTATGATTAATGTGCTAATTAAAATCAGATGTCAATTTCATTTCATTTTATGTCCGACATTGTATTACATTGTCACGTGACATTTCCATTTATGTTGGCCTTCAAATCAGTCAAATGATCTGTAGTAATATTTCAGGATGTGTTGTTATTGGCGAGGGTAAATGTAGCAAACTTTGAAGTTTAGTTAAATAAAATGTAAGTATAGATAAAATGCACTTAGCACACCATCAGGGCGACCTTCGGTTATAATTCTTTTTCGCGATTAAATTAAATTCGGATTCAGTTAGTTCAACCATAGTCGAGAAATCACCGAAGGTCGCCCTGGTTGAATATCTGGCTAATAGCATCTGGGTTAAATTACAATGCAGTGTAAAGGTCAGGAAAATAAACTGAAATGAAATTGTAATTAATTTTAAAAAGATTGTTTAGTGTTAGTTATTTTGTTATTGTTATTTTGTTTGTTTTGTTAGGATAATGTTTGCTAGACCATCTAATAATTCTAAATAATGACATAATGTGTAATTAGCAGTGAACTGTTGTATCATAAATATTATTGTTTGTTATTTGTGTGCCCAGTCTTTAATAACTCTGTTTCACTTTAATTGAGGGAGAATGTTCAAACTTGTAGCTGTTTATAAGGTTTCTGATTAATCCAGGGAGAATGTTCAAACGTGTAGCTGTTTAATGAATGTTTTGACATAGTTCAATAATGAGCATTGTTTTCTTCTTAGACTAAGCAGAAATAATCTATTTGATTGGCTGAGACTTTGGAACTTCATACATGGAACTCGACATGAAAACTCTTGATTCTTATTGAATGAGAGTGATGAAACTTGGTGCACTGGCATATATTTCATTACATCTATACCTTGACTAAGTTTCGATAATGAGCATTTTCTGCTTAGGTTAAGCAGGGCGATAAACAATTTGACTGCTAGTTTTAAAAGATAAATGTGCAAGTAGCCTAATTAATGATTGTCATTTATTTATTTTGTGATTAAGCCTCACAGTTGACTTGTTCTCTTTTATTAAAATATGCCTCAACGTTAATATAAATCAATGAATAATCACCTTATATTTCATCTGATTTAGCACACCTTTATTAATTTAATACTTTAGCTGCTTGGTAATGTTATGACTTTCACAACTATTTTGTATTTTATTCAAGGTGGGATATGTGACATCTCTGTATTTGGTTATTATTAGTTAAATAATAAAAATCTACTCTTACTGCATATCAGTGTTAGTACTCTTTATATTTTATTTCTGAAGCCTTTAGCCAGGTCATGTATATTTAACTCTGGGATGAGGCTTTTTTTTTTTTACATGCTATTGAATTAATATTTAAAATGGTAAATTGACAGCAGACATATTATTAAACCACACAATTATTATTCTTCCATTTACTATAATAAATCAATTTTTCGTGGGCTTAGTTTTTACTTCAACATGTCATATGAGATTGTGGTTAAATTTCATCAGGTGTTCAAATCGGGGGCTATTTGGAACTGTACACGTAGTCAATGTTATCTAATAGTCACAAAAAATGGAGTTACCTCCCATGTACTATCTTCTAAAGGTTCAAAGACCAAGGGGGTTCGTAATAATTATAACCTTGATGGCCACTTCTGCGGAAATATCAAGAGTGATTTCATTACAAGAATATAAGTAGTTTAGACATCTTCTTATCGGGCATTAATACATGATTTCTTGTGGGTCTTACTTTAGGTGTACATTTTTAATTCATTAATAAAATCCATGGCCCCATATCATTTGCTGAACAAAGTCGTGTAAACCCCTGTGTTTCAAGGGGGGTAACTCGTATAAATTTTGGTCATTCTGAAAATTGGTCTTGTAAAGATGATACAAGGAATAAATCCAGTTTACCAAGCTTTTCTAGGAACTTTACTGACATGGGGCCTGACGGCGCTTGGCTCTGCACTAGTGTTTGTCTTTCAGAGTGGTCAGGTAAATATAAAACATTCCGTAATCTTACCGTACTGATCTCTTAAATATTTTATCAAATCAAGTTCACAGTCAGTCAGTGAGTGTGACACCCACCAACTGACCAAGTCTTAACTCAACTGCTCAAGACTGATGAGCAAGTGTCGCGACTAGTCACTATTGACCTAATTTTAAAGTTAATAAGTGTAATTAACTTATAATTAACTGTTTTTCTTGATAAAACATGAATACTATATTTCACTCCTATAAATCTAGATTTACTATTACTAATCTCAAATCTGTGTCTGAACTTTGAAGGTCTACTTAAAAGTGGAGTTTTGTGAATTTTAAAGTTTAACAACCAAATGCTTTATTTACGATAAAATTACTATTGAATTTAGTCGAAACATGATATGATTCAATGTAGTTCAGCTCTGAAAGTAGGTCTCATTACACTCGACCTGTACGTTCAGGAACTCTCCTATTGAATCCTTGTTGAAACCGAGATCCGCCCCAGTCAATCTTACTGGGCGACCTTTACTGCTAAACAGTGGGGTGTCAATCCATGTGAACGCCTCACTAAGATGTTCATTTATATTGTTCAGGCGTTCACAGGGACTGACACGCGACCGTTTAGCAGTAAAAAGTTGCCCAGTAAAATTGACTGGGAAGCCATTGGAATTTTGACAAGGATTCAATAGGAGAGTTCTTGAACGTACAGGCCGAGTGTAATGGGACGTACGTTCAGAGCTGAAGTAGATTCAATGTTGCTTGAGTGAGAAAAATCAGGCCCAGTAGACTTACAACTGTAAGAAGCTATAACAGGATAATAGCAATAAACCTGCATTCACAATAAATTACCCAAACTAAATACCGGTACTAGCTAAATGGGTTTGATCAGAAGATGCCAGGCAAACTGCACCTCTAGTCTCCAATGTGGATTACCCAGACTGTTGTATCAAGATTATACAGTAGCTAATTGAATGCTCTCAGAGTATCATGTAAAGCTGTAAATACCAGTCTAGCTACTGGTGGCACACAATAATCAGGCCTACATCAGTCTACAGCTTCAAAAGAAGTGAGAACATGAAAGTGATTTGTTATAATGAAATTAACAAAAATCTTAAATATCAATTACTTTTTTACAATAGTCTAATCTTAGTTGCTTATGGAACTACTTTTTTTTTTAGAGAAAAATACTTGATGGAAGTCTAGGGTTTGCTGCTGGGGTAAGTTTTTTTTCCTTCTAAAGTTCTATGCTGTGAATCTTCTATGAACATAACTGACAAGTTATTCACAGGACGTGGAGTAGGGTTGCTTGCATAGCATTTTGGGTTTTCTCTGAGTACTGTGGTTGCTTCTTATGTCTAAAAACCCTGCATGAAAATGATTTATTTAAATAAAAGATATTCAATATATATTATCTGCAAAATGATTTAGTTAGTTACACTGGCCTTTAAAAAAGAATTCTGCTGATTTTGATATTCTATTCATAGAATTGTAATGGAATAGAATGCACTTTACACCTGTTAAGTGGTACATCTTTTTGCTATCTTATCAAAGTAAATCAAAACAGAGACAACCCACAGATGATTGCATGATTTAATATCTTATCATTGTATCATATAGTACAACTTACAAGTAACTTTACATATAATCAGTCCATTGATTTGTTTTGTTTATAGGATAATAGCATCTTTATCATTTACCTCTTTTAACTCTTAAACTTACAACTTCTGTATAATTTTAGTCGGTGGTGCTGGCAGTAGCACCCTACTATATTTAATGTCCATGGACATTCTCTTCTCCTTTCTTTTGTCTCTTCCCTTTTTATATGCTCACATTGAAATGTGATATACAATAATTAATAGAATACAATATTTAAAAACCATTGTTTTATCCAACAATGGTTTTTTGATATTGTATTCTATTAATTATTGTATATCAGGATATCTGAATATCAAATGTATCATTTTGACATTGTTAAAATTGATCCCATCAAACCTTCTGTATTTGATTTGTGTTACCTGTTTCTATTGATTGGAGGGGATCACGTGGCTAAGTGGGTAAGATGCTGGCTCGCTAGCCTGGAGGTTGGGTGCTCATATCCCTGCATTGGCCGAGAAAGTTCATCCAGATTTTCCGCCGTGGTTTCCCCTTGTCAGTGATGCAGGACGGAGGGCCTGACAAGGACAGCTGTCTAGTCGTTTGGATGGCACAAAAAAACGAGGTCCTGTGTACATATTGGCGTGCACGTAAAAGATCCTTGAGAATTGGAATTTGATATAAGAGTAGGCTGTAGCGCTGCTGCCCTGCCAAAATTTCCCTCATAGCACACTGTATGGCTTATGTCCGTCTTCATTAGCCCAGTTTAGGAGCAGAACAGTAGGATGATAAACCTCATTTCATTTCTATTGATTGGAAGTTTCTCATTTTAAATTGTGGTAGTATATTGCTGTAGCCCCGTCCGTCAGTCCGAATTCACAATTGCATGTGGACGCTCAAGAGACTAAAGTTAATATCCTATTAATTTTAAATTAATACACAGTGTTTAAGGTCATGAGACGAAGAAGCGAATTGCCGGAGTTATGGCGCTTGATTATTTTGAAAAATCTTGTGTAAACTCTAGGGGAAAGTTCATATCCGATTGACTATAAAATTTGAACACAGTATTTACGGTCATGAGACGAAGAAGCCTATTGATTTTCAATAATTTCCGATAATTACTGCCAGAGTTATGGCCCTTGATCACTAGAGAAATCTTGTGGATGCACTAGAGGCTAACTTTAATATAAATTTATATACAGTGTTTAAGGTCATGAGACAAATTATCGAAACAAAACAAATTCTATTGATTTCTGATAATTACTTAATGGGTTGGTACTCGTAATCAGATTTTAGTGTGTTGTAAATGTTTTCATTACTGACAAAAAAAACAAATATGCGACAACTTAACTGCTGTGGGCGTGTGTTTTTTTGCCTGGCAACCTGTCTTTTATCTATCTATTGTGGTAGGGGGGGGGGGATGGCCGAATGGTTAGCACGTGCGCGCTGTATCATAAGACCTGTCATTGAGTCAACTGGCGTGGTTTCGAATCCCCGGTTGTACGTTACAAGGAGTAGGGTCGCCTGTCCAACTTTGTGGGTTTTCTCCGGGTCCTCCGATTTCTTCCCACTGCTAAAGACCCCTACGTGCAAGCGAATTATTGAAATAAAATTAAACCATATGTTAGTCCCGAAATGACCTAGTTTGTGTCGAGTGGACGTTAAACCCCATTTCTCTCTCTCTCTCTTTTATCTATTGTGCACAGTTCATTTATGGCCGAAACTTGACTACGATCGCTTGGTACAAAAGGGTAGTTCTAGATGGACATTACCTGTAATTTACACATATTGTTTCTGATGTATCACTCACTGTATCACAGAAAGGTCATTTATTTACATATTTCTAACGTTTAAAATAAATATATATATTATTAGCTGTTCTTCCATAAGTATGTGTTATTGTTTATTAATATTATAAACTCCCTGCAATTATTACACAACAGGCAACCAGTGTAATTCTTTAAAATGTGTGCCTAATCATTCAAATGGGACCTCAAAAAACTAGGTCCACCCGTGGAAATACTGGTGTACCGGTTAAAAAAAGCAACCTCTTAAGTTGGAAATCGAGAAATGTTTGGGTATATGGAAACGCTGCTCTCCAGGGAAAATTCTTCCCCTTCTAAGTGAATTATCTCTTACAGCACTTGACAATCTTTATGATTTTGATATTTATCTTACAGTTGTATCTTATTTTACAGGTTATGACAGCAGCTTCATATTGGTCATTATTAGCACCAGCAATAGAAACTGCTGAACAGTCAGGATTGTATGGTGTAGAAGGGCAGTGGGCATTTGTACCTGTAGCTATAGGTTTTGCTTTGGGTGCTGTATTTGTGTATGGAGCAGATGTACTCATGCCTTATTTGGTAATCAATGAATGAAATACACACGATATTTCTTTATAATTATTTTACAGGTTTATATGGGGGGTTGGATGGCCGAATGGTTAGCACGCCCACGCTGTATCATACGGTCTGTCATTGAGTCAACTGGCGGGGTTTCGATTCCCCGGTTGTACGTGACAAGGAGTAGGGTCGCCTGTCCAACCTCATGGGTTTTCTCCGGGTCCTCCGGTTTCCTCCCACTGCTAAAGACCCCTACGCGCATACAAATTATTGAAATAAAATTGAACCATGTGGTAGTCCCGAAATGACCTAGTTTGTGTCGAGTGGACGTTAAACCCATCTCTCTCTCTCTCTCTCTCTCTCTCTCACAGGATTATATGTCAATTCTACAATAAATCTGAAATTGATCAATTTATAAACCAGTGCTTTGATGTCTATCATTTTGTGTGTACATGTTGATTTTGTTAGGAATTTAAAAGATTCAAATTGCATTCAGAGATTGATTGTTCATTTTCCAGTTGTGTGCAATATGAGAATAAATTGTACGTTTGACATCTAACATAACTATTATTATATATTTGTAGGGATTTACTGGTAAAGATATAACTTCATCATTAGACAATAATACAAAACTAGAAAAAGATGGTGAATTACTCAATATACAGATCAATGAAAATGAAGGTAAATTATTATATATTTATTTGTATTGGAAGTGTGCAGAGACATGACTCTATGGTATTGAATGATAATATATACTGTATGTTAAAAATAAAAATCTATTGACCCTTTGTGTTTGGACTCACAATTTAAAAATTCTGAATTTGGTTGTGGATATTGGTTGAATATCCCTAGTATTGCACAAAGACACATTTTACCTTTCTTTTGGCAGTCCTGTGTCTAAATATATGGAGTTACTGTACACAGAGCTAAAATTGCTGTCAACAAAATTGATCTTAATACCAAATGAATATTTTATTTTTTTTCAGTAAATTCTAGAGGTAAATCAGAAACAACTCGATTAAGACGACCAGGAACAATGAATTCCAGCATTCCAACTCGTATCACAAATGATGATTCTAGTAAAAAACCTGCAGGTTATACGGAAACAAGTTGGAAAAGAATTTTATTGTTGATAATAGCTGTTACAATACATAATATACCAGGTAATATAATGTGTTTAAAATCCAGGTAAATTGTATAAAAACTGACAAAACTAAACGCTAAAGAATACAATGTCAATAAAAAAACCAAGTACAGCTGTTTTATATTTAGCAGGAACTAATCTAGATCTCATCGCAGCCATCTCAAAAATCAAAGTCTGGCAATTGATGTACCGTTGTCCAAGGAACAAGAATGCCAAGTTTCATGTCGATATACTTCAATTGGCCGAGGCTTAGACTTTAAGGTCATGAGACGAGGAAGCCTATTGATTTACAGCGATTTTCAATAATTACTGCCAGAAATATGGCCCTTGATCACATTGAAAAATCTTGTGGATGCTCTAGAGGCTAAAGTTAATATCCGATTGACTTTAAATTTATACACAGTGTTTAAGGTCATGAGAAGAAGAATCCTATTGATAATTACTGCCAGAGTTAAAGCCCTTGATCACTTTGAAAAATCTTGTGGGTGCTATAAAGGCTAAACCTCCATTTCATTCATTGATTCACTCTAGTTGCTAAAGTTAATATAAATTGTTTAAGGTCATGAGACAAACAATCGAAACAAATTCTAATGTTTTCTGATAATTACTTCAGGGATTATTACTCGAAATCAGATTTTCATGTGTTGTAAATGTTTTCATTACTGACAAAAGAAAAAATATGCGACCTTTTGACTGCCCAGACAACTTAGCTGCTGTGGGCGTATGTTTCATTGCCTGGCAATATATCTTTTAGAAGAGTGTTGCCCAATGAACAAGAAGATTTACAAAGTGTTTGCAACTAATTTTTGTTTCACAAACATGAACAAAGTGTCATTGCTATATGACAAAAATAATCCAAAGATATAAACATGCAACAAGAGAATTCACAAATGGCAAGTGAAATCAGGTGTTTATAAGCATATCCTGCCACATGTGTGACACCATCGAAAACATACCAACATGATGGCAATGATTTAGAAATGTGTTAACACAAGGGTATAAAAGGAGAGTATAGTGTAAAATCATATACTGGCTAGGAATTTATTTGATTTCAAATAAATTATTAATCTTATCTTATAGTATCTGTCAATTTCAGAGGGTTTAGCCGTAGGAGTTGGGTTTGGTGCTGTAGGAAAAACTAAAACAGCAACTTTTGAAAGTGCAAGGTCTGTATATATTATTGTTTGTCAGGGATATGAAATATAATAAGGTTTAAAGATAGGTTCCCAGAAAAGTATTTATCGGGGGGTTATTTCCAATAAAAGTATGGCAATTTTGTTATATATGGAAAGTAGAAATATCCAATCTTACTAGAAGAATACTGGATAAGCTGAAAAACACTCATGGAGCGCATACAGGACAAAACTGTAAGGGTTTCCCTAATCGACAGCCCGATGATTAGAAGTGTCTGCACGTGTGACGTCAAAGGTCGCAGGCAGAGATTGAGCGCTTGATGTACATGTTGATAAACTTTATGAAGAGTTAGATATACAACAGTTTCTGAGTTAAAAACCACTGAAAAAAACTTGGGCAGTGGATAATCCGAGAATTTAATTAGGCTTCGATATTTGTAATAAATAGTTAGCGATTAAAGACAACATCGTCTTGTGTATGCAATGAATTATCCTCCGACTTCGCCCTACTGAGAGAGGCAAGTCACGTGACACAAACATGACCTCTTTTGATCAATTTTTTTTATAGTAAGGGTATTCCTTGGCAATTCAATATTTTGAGAAGGATTTGAAGCAAAATTATGATAAATTAATTAGTTTGAATATGTTTTTAGTCCAAATCACCCAGTTTGTACGCAGGAATGTATCTTTAACGTCTTACTTTTTTGCATCAATTATAATCCAACGCTGGGATAAGATAGTACTCCTGGTTATGAAACAAATACCTTACTATCAATGATAACAAAAAAGAGGGAAAACTGCATTTATGACTATTATGTAATTTTTGCTCTGCCTTTTCCATTATTTAACAGAAATCTAGCAATAGGAATAGGTATACAGAATTTTCCTGAAGGTTTAGCAGTAAGTCTTCCACTGAGAGGATCAGGCATGTCATTATGGAAATGCTTCTGGTAAGTTTTTTCCGTGTAGATAAAATGGAGTTGTCTCCCTGGACAGATAGCCTTTTAAATATTAATGACTTATTTTAATGCTGAAATTATTATTTTTTTTTAAGTTTGGTTTTGTAAAATATTTGATTGTAAAGATTAATACATGGTAGATTATATCGTAGAAATATCTACTATTTGTCATTTGAACTGAAATTTTATTTGAAGGTATGGTCAGTTAAGTGGATTAGTAGAACCTATTGCTGGTGTATTAGGTGCTGCAGCTATTGTTATTGCTGAACCATTATTACCATATGCTCTGGCTTTTGCTGCAGGTGCTATGATATATGTAGTTGTAGATGATATTATACCTGAAGCACAAACCTGGTAAGATTTGTATTATAGATCAATAAGAACACTTTGTGCCTTATTTGAAATTTAAATGATAATAAAGAAGCAAATCTTGAATGGATATGTATTGTGGATGTAATAAAGGGGTTATATGTTTCATTTAAGTCTTTCAATTGCTGCCAATCTCTTGTATGTCTTACCAAAATTAAAATATCTTTTTATGTCATTTTCTTATCATTTTATGTAGTCTGTATAGTTAATTTATCCATAATTTATATTGCTAGGAATACACCCATTTCATGAATAAAACATCACAATCACTGTCATAGTCAACTGCTACACCCACAGTATTACAAATACATGTTTAACAGTAGCTGTCACTTCAAAGCATTTCGGACATGCAATATCAAGTACAATATAGACACAGTCTACTCATCATAGAAGAATTTTTCAATTTTGAATTTCTTTTTATTTTATTACTTTAAAAGAAAATATTTAAATAGTTTTTCTTATGTATTACCTATTGTTCTCTGAGATCATTAAATTCTACCTGTGACATATATATTTAGTTTATAAGGTGAAAATATTAGTAAGATGAGAATGTTAAGTATAGTGGTGAAGTTATAAATTTAATACAACTAGAGATAAGACAGTAGTAAGCTAGGTTGAAGTATGAATAGAAGTACTACTATTTCTAAGTTAACAGGTGATTTTCATTGATAATAGTCTAATAAATTATAAACTAGAGACCTCATTACCAGTACAGACCATGATAAAACTAGGTTTATTATATCCAACCTTATCCAGGTCAACATATTGTAGGCTTTGTTTACTCAAGATAAAATGAATCTGCCCACCAGTCTCTAAACATACTATAATACTAGTTTTATAGTGAAATTATACTGTCCTATTTCTTAGAACACACGATTTGTTGATTTAACACATAAATTCTCAAATACTGTCCTGGGCTAACAAATGGCCCTTAATGAAATGGTCAAAATGCGTTGGGTCTTATTTATAACAGCTTATTCTTTTAAAATGGTTAAGGGTTGTAATGCTATTTTTACAAAATCTAGAACCTATAGAGTTTATAAAATAATTTTAAGATTTTATGAATAAATGAATGAATGAATGAAATGAGTTTTAACTTCTATACTTTTCTGTACCTACTGGGGTAATGAAGAGGGGCATATGTCATACAGTGTGCCAGGAGGGAAATTTTGCCCAATCAGTAATTGAATTCCAACTGTTGAGGGGTCTTTTACATGCATGCCAACATGTACACAGGGATGAGTGAAAATCCACCATTTTGTGTTCATTATTTGCAGACCATAATTGTTCCTGTGCTTTTATTTTAATCTTCCTTCCTCATCATCCTTATCTGCCTGATTATAATTCCTACTTTAAAGTGATTACCATCATCATCAATCATAACTATTGCTATCATCTTCAGTATCAATTTTCATCAGTGATCAAGTTAATATATTGATGACCATTTAATATGATTTAATTTATCTGATGCATATTTTATTTTTCAGTGGAAATGGTAAATTAGCATCATGGGGAGCTGTTGTGGGATTTATAGTCATGATGTCATTAGATGTAGGATTAGGTTAATAATTGGTTCGTATTTCTATTTGTGACTTATTATAAGAATAAAAATATTTATTTGTTTACATTGCTCCAATACTCTGTGGTTATATTACAATTAAATTTGTAGCCAAATTAAGAAATTGGTACTGAATAAGCTTGACCCAAACAAGTACATAGTTTGGTGCAGTGAGTGATATGATTCTGAATATTGATAGATGTAGCTTTCTTCCTCTCGTTACCCAATGTTTCACATAAAATTTGAAAAAGATCTGTTAAAAATTGTGGCCCCGTTCCTTGGAAAACGGGATAATGGAAGGTTGCGTAATTTGTTTAGGGTTTTCCTATCATAACCCCAATAGTTCAAAACAAGTTTGAAAAATAATCTGTTAAAAACTGTAGACTCTATCTTGATAACAAGCCAATTGTTGACCTACTGACGGACATAATGCATCAACACTAAAATGTGGGCGATTAAAAATGTGAGTGCATTACAGGGCAGAATTCTTGAAAGAATATAAGGTAGACATTAACCCCATTTACATTACAAATTTTAAGCGTACCAGACAAGGAACGATTGGTTTTTTTGTAGTGTAAATGGGTCAAACATAAGCATGCCGTACTGATCGGAGTACCATGCCAATTTTGCCTACTGAAGTGAGGTGGTCTCAGCATGGTTAAACTTTCATAGTGTAAACGCTTTCCAATCTGACCATGGTGTCAGTACGGATTACTGCGCATGTGCCAAATGAACCTTGACCTTTTTTCCAGCGAACTTTGACAGTTCTGTCAAAATAGCTGCTCAAACTAAATCAACCGGCATAATTGTTTTCATCCAGGTAATTTGCATAGGGACTGAAATTAACTTTTCAGCAAAGAGTTCCATATTTGGTGTGCCTGGCACGGTTCTGAGACTGGTTACTTTAGAGTAATGTAAACTGGTCAATTTCTTGAACTTTATCGGGGCCAAGTGTAAACGAGGCTTTTGTGTATTTTTCCATTTACTTTTTGATTTTTAAAGCTTCAGACAGAGTTCCTAGTAAATTAGGAAGCTTTCTTGGATTTGTTGATAATGTTTTAGAGCTAGGAAGGACAACTTTGCTGTTGGTGGTCCTATAAGACTGTCTGACAAGCCACATCTTTCTCTCTCTTTCTCCCTATCTCATTTGACACAAACTATATATAGGGTTTTTTGGGACCAACAAGGTACAAGTATATTTCAATTATTCGCTTGCACGTAGAGACCCAGAGAAAAACCTGTAAGATTGGGCAGGTGAACCTACTCTTTGTCTCATACAAGCTTGGGATCAAAACCACACCACTTAACTTAATGACAGACCTTATGATCTAAAGTGCATGCATTAGACAACTCAACCACCCAAACGCCAGAACAAGATTTTAGTGAGAAGTATTGCATGGGCTAAATATATGCAAAAAAAAAATACTGGGTTAGGACAACAGACCAAGTACACTGCTACTGATATATTTGTTTTGAACCCAGTAAAGGGGGTTTGGTGGCCGAATGATCTCTGGCATGTGTGTTAGATCACAAAGTCTGCCATTGAGTCAAGTGGCATGGTTTCTATTCTCCACTTGTACCTGACAAGGAGTAAGGTCACCTGTCCAACCTCATGGGTTTTCTCTGGGTCTTCTGGTTTCCTCCCACTGCTAAAGACCCCTGCATGCAAGCAAATGATTAAAATAAACTAGAACCATATGTTATTCTGCAATGACCGAGTTTGTGTAAAGTGGACATTTAACTCTCTCTCTCTCTCTCTCTCTCTCTCTCTGAAGGAAATTAGTAATCCTGATGTTATTATTTATTCAAATTTTTATAAATCATTGATCAGGGTAAAATATGAAAAGCTTATTTGATAGGCAATTAATAAATGTCAGTCAAGATGAAATATTATCAAAACAAAGGAAAGGCCAATTTCACTTCTAATTAATTTACAATAACTGTAGCAGTGTTATAACTAAAAACACTGAATTCAACATGTCACTCAACTGTCAGTATACAATCTAGTTTATACTACCAGTAAATACACTATCCTGTTGACCAAATATGATTGTGAGGTCATGACCTTTGCCCAAATTGACCACACAACCCAGACAATAAAAGTGGTGTACTATTGCTATGTTAAAAAAGCAACAAATGTAGTTCTGTATATGTAGAAATCAATTTATCTTGTAACATATATGTGTGGGAGAATATATTCTACATTAGAATAAAGATAGGTTGCCGGGCAACAAAACATACACCCACAGCAGCTAAATCATCCGAGCAGTCGAAAATGGTTGTCGCATATTTTATTCTTTAGTAAGTAATGCTAGTATTTACAAGACACAGATATCAATTTCATACAGATCAAATGATAACTTTTGTCGTTAGAGCATTCACAAGGTTCAAAAGGGTGGAATAAGGGCCATAACTGTAGAAGTTATAAACAGAAATTGCTGAAATTCAATAGGGTTCTTTGTTTTACTAATCTAAATAAAGCATATAAATTTGATACAGATCGGTTGATAACTTCTGTTGTTTTTTCAGTAATTTTCATTAATTACCTTAGAGTTATGGCCCTTTCACTTTGTTGAACCATGTGAACACTCCAACGACTACAGTATGAAATTTATAGGGGATCACGGTGGCTAAGTGGGTAAGACGCTGGCTCACTAGCCTGGAGGTCGGGTGTTCAATCCTTGCATTGGCCGAGAAAGTTCATCTAGATTTTCCGGCGTGGTTTCCCCTTGTCAGTGATGCAGGACGGAGGGTCTGACAAGGATGGGATGAAAAACCGAGGTCCCGTGTACACATTGGAGTGCACGTAAAAGATCACTTGGCAGTTGGAATTCGATATAAGAGTAGGCTGTAGTACTGCTGCCCGGGCAAAATTTCCCTCATAGCACACTGTATGGCATATGCTTGTCTTCATTAGCCCAGTTTAGGAGCAAAACAGTAGGACGTTAAAACTGATTTCATTTCATTTCATGAAATTTCTATGCATTATTTAGATTATTAAAACGAAAAATCCTTTGGAATTTTAACAATTCCTATTAATTACTTCTAAAGTAATGACCCTTGCTTCACTTTGTTGTATTAAATTCGTATGCATTATTTAGATTAGTAAAACGAAGAAGCATACATTTGTATATAGAATTTCAACAATTTCTGTATATAACTTCTAAAGTTATCGTCCTTGTTGAACCATGTCAGCTGTTGACAAAAGATATCATCTGTTCTATATTAAATTGATATCAGTGTTTTGTAAATACGCACATTATCTTCAAAAGAATAAGTTTACGACAGCCCTTGTTGACTGCTCGTATAATTTAGTTGCTGCAGGTGTGGCAACCTATCTTTATACTACTTTATAGCCTGATGTTTGTCCATTTTTTGTTTGTCCATATGTCTCTGAACCAATTTTTTGTCCGGATGATACCTTTATAACAGATTTTTTTCAAATTTAATATGAAACATTGAGGTCATGAGAGGACAAACTCGATCAATATTCAGGATTGTGGAGATACCCCCCACCCCCTTTTCCAAAACATTGTTAACGCTATAGATGATCCAGTTTTTAATGGATGTTTTTCACTTCTAACATGAAACATTAGGGCTGTGAGAGGATGGACCCTATTGATTTTTCAATTTGGTGTCAAGTATAGCTGCTGATGGGGGCTATATACACACTTTTATGGCCATCCTGGAGTATTTTGCTTATTTTAAGCGAAGGAAAAGGTGTTTAAGTGACATTTTAGTAATTGATCAAATTAAATAAAACATAAAACTTTTGATGAAATTTTACAATAACTGATATTTTAGGCTTCAACAACGATTCTCTTGCCTATGAAGCACATTGTTCCTATTATATTCAGTAATTGTATTCCATAAAAGTTTGGTGTTGTATTTTAAAATATGTAACTGAGTGATCAGTGAGTATATATATGGATTATGGAATATCATATTTCATCCATTGTCCTTTTGTTACTTTTCTCTGACAATCTCATGATTGGTTTAATAACATAATTAACATTTATACTTCTTGTTAATGTGTGACTGTACTTAAAATAAAGTACATTTTAATTGAATTTTTACTCATTTTCAAATCAGATAAATAAAAATATGAAAATAAATTATATATATTGGATTTCTTTTTTCAGATCGAAAGAGGTGAAGAAGAAGAAAAATGGACCAAGTGCAATTAATAATTCCACTTTCATAAAAGCATATATTTAGTCATCATAGTTATTGATTTTTTTTTTATATTAGTATATTATTTTGTTGATTATAAGAATTGTTTAAATGAGGGATTAGAAATTAATGACTTTATAAATATATTTTATATGGAATTTTTTACTTAATGTCCCTGTAATATATGTATGTCCCTTATGATTCCAACAGGGTTTAATTTGTTATATTTTTAAATTGATTTAAATGTTTGAAGGTTAAAAAAAACTTTTTAATTAAATGTTTTACTGTTTTTAGATTCATTTGTTAATTGTCATCTATGCATTCTTTATCACTTGCACATGGAAAATGCTGATCTGAGATAGACACTTTTTTTGAGAAAATCATTTAATATTTCAAGTATATGTTTTAACCTGAAGTGACAGCCTCTTTAAATCTATGATAAAAAACATTTTTTTGTAAAATGATAAAAAAAAAAAGTAATTCTTATGTAAGAATTAGATAAAGAGCCGACGGTTCTTGCTTTAATAGTTTAAAAATAGATAATGAAATGGAAAGATATTGAAAATTTCATTCAAATTACTCATATCTGAGTGAAGTTATCATACTTTGAAGTGTTTACAATATTGTCTTGATTGTCAAATACCATTGGTACGATAGTAAAAAATGGTGAACGTGTTTGATGTTTAAAGACTAATTTATATAACATTTGAGACCAAAATCAAGACCTGCAATAGACAGATTTAGCTTTTACATAATGTATTGTTAACCAACAAAGTGAGATAATCTTTTAGAGTTAGAGGCATTGAGCAATAAACTATAACACCTACTTTTGGAAGAACAATTCCTCATTTATTTGGGCGACCACGCTTTGAAGAGTATTCTCTTAACAATTTTCAAGCAAGTGAGTGAATACTCTTCAAAATGTTGCCAAAATACATGAGTAATTATTCTTCCATAAAGTATGTGTTAAAGTTTAACATCTTTTGCTTTGTTCTAATTTGTTGTGACACCTTTACATACCTAATAGATGACCCAGTATAAATTTTAAAACACTTTGAAATAGTTCAGTCTGTCATAATGATGACTCCCATCTATTGAAACCAAAAATGGCTTTACAGCATGGGGGGTCTTTATTAAGGCTTGTAAATATGTTTGTGTTTAAATTTTTGAAGATACTGTCACTTAAAGTCAATTTATATTTTAATTGCTAAAACAGTCAGAATGTTAGTATGACCAATATTTGACTAGTATGTTAGATTTTAATAGGAAGAGGCCAGAAATTTGAAATGGAATCAGTTTCATAACTTTGGAATTTACAATTATTGGAGCCTTAATTAGTTCCATAGTTATGAGGGCCTGTAAAACTTATTTTAACATCTATTTTATCACTGTTTGGGGGGATGAAAAAAATTGACCTATACATAAGATGGATAGAAATTTATTTTACGTGGAAAATGCTGATCTGAGATGGACACTTTCATGTGAATATCATATACATATCATTTGTAATTTATTCCAAATATATTCTATATATGCAATAATCGTTTAACATTTAGAGTCTGATTAATATGAGAATACATATCTGATCATTGAAACTGGTTATAAATGAAATTGACAACCTTGTTCCTTTCTTGCCAAAAAAATTATGTATTAGGATTGATATTAATTCAACCATACTAAATACACATTTATTATTATACAATCTTATCCAAGCAAGAAATTATTCGAATGTCTTGAGTGTTTTAGCAGTCTGCCATCTGCAAGTTTTGCACCTGTTGGTAAATTGTGTACCTAATCACTTTAAATCATATTAACATCAGATCTCTCTTAAAACAACCTGTCTTCTGCCACTGTCAAAGTTTAATATATAATATGAACATTATTTTAAATGAAATCTTTCAGCAGGTCTTTTATATGCATTTGAATTTTAAGTTCTTTTAATACTCATGTTTTTTAATGTAGACCAATTATAAATTTGAGATAAACATCTATCTACTGTAATCCTGCCACAACACACAACTGGTATTTGCACCATGGGCATTATTGAATCATGTACCGTATTATTTTGATGCTTTCACCCTTACATGAAACTGTCATGTATTTTTCATTCCCAACATTACAATAATGGTGTGCATACCAACATTACAATAATCGTGTATGCACCACCCTTGACATCAACTGACTCTCATATTTTAAAGTTGTTGATAAGAATGGTCCGTATACCCCTAGTGATACTCTATTTGCGACATACTGCTATTTTGTAGAAATTATATGCATAAAGAATCACGATTGTTTTATCTAAGTTATATTTTTATTTTCCGAAGAATAATAGCATACATAAATGTCAGTGTGTACGGATTTAACGAATTGATTTTTTATTGGAATATGCGGAGAATTTGTGATAAATGTTCTTGTTATATATGAAATGGTATTTTGGAATAAATGATTTACATTATTTTCCTGTATAAGTGGTCGTCTAATTGTTCAGATGGAATGAAACCCAGTGGCCCCATGTACATACTGGAAGATAGAATTCGAAGAAGGTTAAGTAGCGTTCTTTCCCCACCCTTGCACGAATCGAGAATCACCTGCGTTCCACCAAGGTTCGGGAGGGCACGTAAAATATGTGTTACATTAGTGGCGTTAATGTTTCTATGTTACATTTTGCAGGTTAATTTTTTGTCACTTTTGTTTCCAAGGAACAGGAGATTATCAATTGCAGAACCTGTACAGTGTCCCATTAGAATCATCGGTCTACATTCTGTGATTTGTTGAACATTATACCTCCATTGATGATTATATTAGATTGCAAATTTGGAAGACCATGTGGTAGGGTCATATCGGAAAATTATTGAGTGTAAAGGTAATTGATAAACGAATATTTTAAGATTAATATAAGAATCTTTCGTCAAGTAGAAGAAAAGGCTACCCTAAAAACATAACCACTACTCCCGTTTTCAATATCCTATAGGTGTAAATAGAAAAGGATTAAAATTATTATTAGTTTGTTGTAACACTACATATATATATTTATGTTAAAATACTGTCTATATCCTGCCTGTTGGTTCGGCTAACATGTAATCAGACCCAAATATGTCAACTATTTCCTGTCTCATGTCTAAGGTTTCAAAAAAGCTGTTGAACATTTAACGCTATGACTTTATTCTGATTGTTAGGTGTTCTCATTATGTCTACTATAACTTTGCTGTTAAAACCACAAAATACTGTTCCGGCCAAATTGGTTAAGAGTATGGCCAGGCCAGCACGAACTATGATTTTTTTGTGCAGTACACAACTGGGCTCTTAGCAATTAGTTTTATTATTTATCGCATGAATTGGTCTAAAAAATCTCAAACATGGTTAGCGATAGCGCATAAGCGATATATAACTAGTAACCAATGAAATTAAATTGGGTTTAAAGTCCTATTTTTCTGCACCAATCGGGCTAATGAAGACGGGCATACGCCAGGGATATTTTGCCCTGGTAGTCGTGCTACAACTCTTATTTCGATTTTCAACTTTCGTTGGATCTTTAACGCGCTGTCAATGGTGTACACAGGGCCTCGGTGTTTTGTCCTATCCGAAGGACTAGGCAAGTTGTAGACGCCCGCCCAGTACATCCTCGAGTCGATTTGTAGCTTTTTTAGAGTCGCGGTATATTTTGTACACTCTCCCCCAAAATTCTTAAACCTAACCCTGTACCAAGCCCTAATGCTTACCTTAACCCTAACCTATAATCTCGCCAACAATCACGTGCCCTAACCTTATTTACATCTCAGCGACCTTGACTAAAATTGAGCTGGCCTTAAACAGATTTAGCCATTTGATATGTGGCGAAAAGAGCGCCGTTATTCCCCTTTTACTCAGCCCTTGACCAACTACGCTTACAAGAAGAAATAATGCTGGAAAATCTAGGGAACTTTCTCAGACAACATGGCACGGGATTTAAGCCAACGTCATACCTTCGAGCCAATCTGGCCCTTAATAATTTATGTAACATAGCTCGAAACTGCCAACCACCAGCAATCATATTTGAATCCAATTTCCTTTCGAGGAATTTAAGATAAATGGTTTAACAAGTACATAAAATAAACATAATCGTCATGGAATTTTAATGCAGACGTGATAATGAAACCTACAAATGAACTTTAAGATAGAAAAAATGTTGGTTGGATGGCTAAGGTCGTAGAATATTGGTTAATGCAGGGTCACATTTCACGCAGTGTCTATCTAAAAATGCCTTGTGTACCACTTGTACCATTTTGTAACTTTTGTTCTTTCTTTCCCTTCGATAAACATTGAATCTTCCTTTTCCGGTCTACCTAGTAACCATTGAACCTAACCCAAGCCTAAAAAGGTATAGTTTTAAATCCACCGGCGGTGCTTATTAAAATGCTCAGTTACTAAAACTTTGTCAGTCGTTGATAGTGACGCGCCGGAGGGGGATGGGACTGCAACATGTGCAATTTCTAAACTGCAATGATCTTTACATCACACACTTCATAAACGTCTCTCTTTTCATGGCGGTTGATCTTATTTTCGACGACGTGTTATGGGCACTTCCACACGAACGCGCTGGTTCATCTCTAAGCATTTCATTTGAATGTCGCGTAGTATACATGTATAATATGTATAAGTAAGATGCTGGCTCACTGACGGGGGTTCGATACTCGTGTTGGTCTAGAAGTTCCTCCAGATAGAGTCGAGCAATCATGATGCTTTGTACTTGGTGCGTGGAGAGGCTTTAGATTCCCCTAGACCTGAAATGATCCGATGGTTGACAAAGATTCATCTGTTGAACCTGATATCCAAAACTTAAGAAGGTTGATTGTCGCACTCACCTTTCTGCGTACTATTCCAACCGTGTGCAAGACTATTCTTTAAAAAAAATAATTCACTCCTACAGTCAATTATTGTGCCAACGAGCATTCTCTTTTCCAAATCCTTGTACTCTTATGCATGAACAAGTGGACATCAGAAAATAGCCTTCAGTTAGATTATTCATGCTGTTTTAATAGCCCAGGATGTGGGTACATGGCAAAAACAATAAAACGTAAAGAATGTCAATGATAACTTAGTTCAAGTGCAGGAAAGCGAACATAATGTTCAGAACTGTAAAAAGATAAACTTATTAAGAAGATATATATATATATATATATATATATATGACAGCTGTTCAGCGGCCATAACATGGTTTGTAAATTCTTTAAAACATATAATAGCATCAAGAAGCTGTATAATACGACCACACCAACTGGTCTGTTAATTATATGTACATGGCGTAATATATGTGTCATGTGAACAGATCTAAGATAACATCTCTTCCGTGTCGATCCAACAGATGGTTTTCAGTTAAGAATCTTGTGATGCGGGGGTGGTATGTTGTTCTGGTGTTACAAATTACATTACACATATGTAACCACAGTAAAGACACACACATTAAAGTGGTCGTGGTCGTCTACTGGTGATTCCATCAGCGATTACCATTGCTTCCATCAGTGATTACCATTGCTTCCATCGGTGTTTAACCATTGTTTTCATGCAAGTGATTACCAATGACCCGTCAATGATTAAGCTTGATTCCTTCATTATTACCGATGATTCCTTTAGCGACTACCAATGACCCCTGGAGAGCTATTCCGTCAGCGATAACAGCAGTGCGATCTTGAGTTTTAAAATGTTGTAGGGGCAAGAGCAGGGTTTATGATATGAAAAATATGATTTCTCAATATATAAAAGCTGACAAAAATCAATTCATTAGAAGTTGAATCTTATTCAAGGCTCAGCTAACCAAGAAAACCCCACCCGTACATAAGCACTCCCTCTGATAACAAGATAATATTTTGATCATAGAATTCTTACATTATGTCACAATAGGTGCCATATATGTTGGGTTTATTTTGGTATAGCTTATTATTGGAGTTGACCCGACTCATAAAACGGGTGTCGTGCATGTGGTGAGTTAGGCTTCATGTTTCCGAAACATGTTCAACAGAGGTTGTGGATTTTGTGTTTTGTATTTCACGTAAACTGAAGACAATCTGAATAACCCTAAAACCTTCCTAAATTAACCAATAGTTAATAATTAAACGCGGTACGATAAAAATAGTTCCTTATGTCGGAGGATAGTGTGTGTGGACTGTGGAGTCAATCATTTCCGTGTATTTGATTTGTAGGTATGCACTATGTAGGGATTCCCATCCGCTTCCATCTTGGGATATACCCGTTTAACACCTTGCATAAATTAGCCGGAATTATCACGTACTTGTGATCTGATTGGTCCAATATAATTTATGTTTCTGACAGGCTAACTGAGTAAGAGTAATTTTCTTGGCAAGCTTGTAAGAACCCTGAAATTATCCGAAAAACCAGGTCAGACATTCATTGTTTAGAGCTATTTATCATTTAATTCATCCAATCATTTTCATTGTTTGGTCTATCACGATTACCAACCCAGTGAAATATATTTAGGCATACAAAGATAAATGATTGAATGCATTACGATGTAATAATATATCTTTGACAAAACAGAACCTACATAAACTACTTGAAGGTAATGAAATTTTTAAAAAAATTTAAATCTGTGCTAAATTCATCACCTTTGAGTGACGCCCAACATTTCCAGTACATGTTTTCTTCGCTCCATATTCCGGTGTGGTTTCCCCCTCGTCATTGGCAGTTGTCTAGTCGTTCGGATGGGACGAAAAACCGAGGTCCCGTTTACACATTAGCGTGCACGTAAAATATCCTTTGGCAGTTGGAATTCGGTACAAGTGTAGGTCGTAGCCCTGCTGTCCAGGCAATATTTCCCCCATAGCACACTGTATGGCGTATCCCCGTCTTCATTAGCCCCGTCGGAGCAGAACAGTGGGACGTTAAACCCCATTTCATTTCATTTCACTCCATATTGAACCTCAGGAAAACATTTCGCCGGGGACTTTGCTCTCCAAACCGTTTTTTTTAATTTTTGTGATGTTTTCCCACACCAGTTCCAAATCTTTTCAGCTATCCTGTACACACAGTGAAATCGTTGTAGGCCTACGTGGTTTTAGACTGAAGTTATTTGAATGAGTTATTAGCTAGATCAGGGTTATTGCACGTGTAAAGCAGTCTTCTTTATTTACAACACGATGTTAGTGGGCTAGTACAGACAAGGTCATTATGGTACCATGTAGGTCAGACTAGAGTTATACTCTGTAGTTGATGGTAATATTCTTTGACAAGGAACCATGTGGTAATAGTCATATCCAACTGGTATATAAAAACAATTGTAACAGGTGCAACTATTATATACATAATGTTTTATTTATTGGTTTGAACTATTGATGTTGTAATAATAAAAGGTTATTCACCTTCACTTACAGGTATGGTTTAGGTCGCTATTTTATCTGGATTAGTAAGTGCAGGAGGACCACACCACTCATAAACTATTAAACAAGACAAACTCACGGACAA